TGCGTTGTTCGACGAGGACTCCTCGTTTTTTTGTCTTTTCTTTTTTTTTCTTGGAAATTGGAGAGATCAAAGGGAAAAGTGACTGTCTCAAGGTGTAAAGAAAAGTTAAACAGAGTTGGGTGTTTTGAATTTATTTACTGAGTGTCCAATTCAGGCGGGAACTTGAAAGTTTTGGAAAAAGGAAATAAGTTAACTGTATTAAAGTTCTTTTACATGACTTATAGGGCTACATAGGGACGAAAAATTGAATTTCGCGTTTTTTTTTTCCACAGAAGAATTTCAAAATCAGAAATTCGGCGATTTTGAAGAGAAAAATCGGTTTTTCCATCGATTTTCCTCAGTTCCTAGCATCAAACCACAGTTTTCTAGGCACCAAAAAAAAAGATATATGAATTTGAAATCATCATTTTTCTTCTTTTAATGTAAATTATTTATTTCAAATAAAAATTCAAAGTTTTTACGTGAACTTTTCGCACACAGAATTTTTCAATTTCTATGAAAAAGAAACCACCAAAAGCTGAATTATTTTATCCAAATCAACGAATCATCCAAATTTGACTGGTTTCTTGTTTTTGCCGGCTTTATTGTGTCCCTGGACGCCGGCGACGACGGCTAGTAGAAGGAGAACCGTTGAAATCCAAGAATAGCCGAACATTTTTTCATTTCCCTTTGGTAAATTTGACTTTTATTCGGTCGCTTTTGATAGTTTCTCACATAATAACGATGGTTTATGAAGCAGTTTTATGGAGAAAAATGATGGAAAACTTTGGACTTTTTGGGAAAATCGAAAAAAAAGGGGCATGTCAAAAGCAGACAAAATGAGTCAATTGAATTTTTTTTTGCAATGAGGGAATAGTTTTCATTGGCTGAAGATTTTATGTTAAAATCATTTTTTCCAATTTTCCAGTTTATTTCGAGTCGATTTCGCGTCTAACTGTATAACATTACAATTATATAAACTGTATTAATGCGTTTAAACTTTGGAATTTTGTTGATGATGAGTAGTTGGAGGACGTTTAAAAAATGCGACCGCTTTTTTGTGTTCCATAACATTTTAATAAAATACGGGCGTTTTTCGAATTTTTTTTTATTACAACGAAAGTTTGATAGCCTTTGATCAGTATAGTGGTGCTTCTTCTGTATTTTTTTTGACACTATTGTTTTTTTTTTCAAATGAATTAAGAGACTTAATGTGTGGCTCATAAGTTCAATCCATTGCATATTAATAAAATACGGGCGTTTTTTTGGTTAGAAAAACTTGTTTTTTTCAACTTATTTTCAAGATTTAATGTGTCCTCTGAGTTCATTTTTTTCATCTTCTTTTCGGTTTAATACAGATTCAGTAATTGTAAAAAAATCTTTTTCGAAAAACTCCTACTTTGAAGCCTAATTTTTTTAAGTAATAAAAAAACTCATTTTAATGAGTCTATTAATTTTGTCGTAGTACTTTTTTTGAATCGTCTTTTTCAAAAAGGAAATTCATGAAAAAAATGCAAAAAAATTAAAAAAAAAGTGCCAGATAGAGTGAAAGAGAAAACATTAAGGTACGCCCGTATTTTATTAATTTGCTTTGTAGCGCAAAAAAGCGGTCGCATTTTGTGAACGTCTGGACTTTATAAGATCTCTGACATGGAGCGCCAAAAGGGCGCCACAACTTTTTCTCTGACTCACACTATTTCGTCGTTATCTATCTGCAAGAAAACGACGAAATAGTGTAGGTCAGGGAAAGAGTTGTGGTGCCCTTTTGGCGAAAATGCCAGAGATGCCGCCAGAACTTTTCATCAAACTTGGGTATTATTTTTTTAAATCAACGTTTTCAAGAAGAAACGGACATGTTTCCTTCTCACAAGCACTCAAGCCATTTCGAGTCCGAAAACTTTAAAGTTGATCTTTCTGTTCTTTTCAACTTCTTTAAATTGTTCATTAACATCTGTTCTCTTCAAACTCATCACCGATTCCACGCGTTCGGCCTCTAGAAAGAGAACCGAAAAAAGAGAGCCAAAACAAAAGTGCTCGGCGAGCCCCGAAAACCGAACATAAAACTTTTACGACACGTTTTCCTCCCCTAGTTTAACGACGTCGGTCGCTTCTCTTTGATCTTCCGCTCCTTCGACTATGCAAATGTGCTCCGTCGCTCCTTTTTCGACGTCTTGTTAGCGGGAAGTGATGGGACTGTATTCCTACTCTGACATGGAGCGCATGAAGGCCGCCACCACTCTTTCTCTGACCCACGCTGTTTCGTCGTTATCTAGCTGCGAGAAAACGACGAAATAGTGTAGGTCAGAGAAAGAGTGGTGGCGGCCTTCAAGCGCCCTATTTCAGGGTATGAACTGATTTTGGAGAAGGCTTAATTTTTTCCCATAATTTTTGAATCAGGAGAGTCCAATCGAAATAATCTTTGTGAGAACGGTACCTTGATCTCAAGACTAGTAGTTTAAGCCGTTTTCAACGTCAAACGTTTATCGAAACCCTTTTTCAAGTGTTTACTTTAGTTTTGAAGACTACAGTAGCTTCATAACGGTGACAGTAATCCATTTTTCAACCAGAGAGTTTTTTTAGACGATTTTTGTGCACAGTTTTTTTTTTCGAGGTGCATTTTTCAAGCTAAAACCGTACTTTAATATCCCAGATAAATCGATTTTTCAACTAGATATTATTTTGACGAGTCCTTCGAAAATTTAAAAATTCAAATTAATAGATAATTTATCTTTTCAACTAACTTTATCAGAAATATTCCAACTTCTAAATTTTCTCGAGCTTCAAATCGTACTTCCAAGCCAAAAAAATAACCGATGTTTTTTATACCGTAATCTCAAAGTTACGATAAAATTCAAATATTCAAAGTTACGATATCTTTGTAACATTTCAAATAATTATTATTCAGCTATAGACTATCCAGAAATCATTTTGTAGTTTCATGAACAGGGCATCACCTAAAATAACACAAAAAACGGCTCTTCGCCTCGAGACCTTTTTGAGTTTTGTCTATGCTCCTTTAAACACATTAACGAGAATTTTTATTAATTTTTTTGAGCTATTTTTTCTGCAAGTTTTTAGGCTCAAGTTAACTCAATTTAAGAGCAAAGACCATGTTTCAATGGCTGAAAAATCAAATAAAACAACTTGAAACACTGAGCCGCTTTTTGAAGCACAAAGAACCATTGATTCATACCTTTCTAAAGGCCTTTTTTCTCCTATCTCCGTGTTCTTTTTGAATGGAACGACCGTTCTCGCGTCTTATCTCATCGCCCTTTCAAAAACGCCGCCTTCCATGCCTTTTATGCCCAAACCAAACGCCTCGGTTGAGTAATACCTAGGTTTTTACAATCCTGGGAACGTCCTACAACAGAAAAAGAAAGGCCAGCGATCTTCATCCGAAACACATTTTCGCCCCACGGCGAAAAAAAGACGAATGACAGGCATCGTCGTAAATCCGTCAGAGTGCATCGTAAAACGACAAGAAAAAAAGAGAAGGCCTTGGAACGGCGGCCTTCATTTTTTGGACCAAGGAAAAAGACTGAGAAAATGAATAATTTTTGGTTTGAGGCCACCTTTTTCTATTGAAAATTCGGAAATTTTTGAATTTTATAAAAACCAGCTTCCCTCCTTGGACTTTCAAATTATGATGACTTTTAAAAAATATTACACGACGTAATTTCCATGAAGTAGGATGAGCTAGAAGAATCAAATAAACAGTTTATTCAAGTATAGAAAGACACAATTATTTTTTTACATGAAAAAATAATCAAAGGTACTGAAATATCAAGTTTTCAACTTTAAACGACAGATTTTTAGAATTTTTCCTTTTTATTATTCTCTCTGTAAACTTTACTGAAGAATTTGAAGAATTTTTCGATTTTTTAAAGGAATCTTTTGATTTAACGAAAATGAAGCTAATTTAGGATATGACTCATTGTTTTAACCTTGATTTCCGATTTTAGTTCTGAAAAATTAACGAAAAGATGAAAAAGCGGTTATTAAAATTATCTCTAACTCTCCAAAATTAAGTTGTCTTTCTCAGTCTCTGACCAAATTTCGCGCCACTACTTTAAAAAAACGGTACACACTTCCGCTATATACATTTGTATAATCAAGTTATTCCTTCAAAATTTAAATTTTTAGATAACATCCTTGCTGGAGTGGCTCAAGGAGCACAGTTGAGAGAATTCAAATTTCTTTTTTGTTTAAAAACGAATTTTCTAAGTTATAGAAGCTTAGAAAGGTTTTGAAAAGGTATTTTTGATCATTAAAGGCTTTGAGTTTGCAAAGAAGAGTTTGCTTCAAAATTGAAATTTTCTGCTAGTTTCCGATATTTTTTACTTCAAACTGACCCAATATTTATTGTCAAAATTTTCAAACTCCTGCCAACATACACCATATATTCAACCGTGGAAGGTCTGTTGGGCGTGGCCTGAGGAATTTATTGGTTCGAGGCTCTTTTGATCCTCCCGCCTCCTCCTGAAGGGGGCGGAGCCAATGGTCCGCCTCTCTTAGGACCCATTTTGAATTTGGAAAACCCGCGGCTGCTATTTATATTCTTGCTGTTTCTGGCTAGATTTTTGGAAGGTTTGTTCGAGGGTTCTCCACTTTAGGGATCACTCAGAAAAATTATCGAGCTTTTTATTTTTTTTTTAATTAAAGCAGGTTGAATGGGCTTTAAAGAAAATTTTAGTTTTTTGAATTTTTTTGGAGAGTCGTAATATTTTCAAAGGGTTCCTAGAGATTTTGTGATTTTACTAATTTTATTATTAAAAATAATGAGATCAATCAAAAAAATTTTTTTGGACCCCCGACATCACCGAGAAGTCCAATTTTTTTATGCAATTTCCAATTATTCTTTCGAATCTCCACTCTGTACAGACTGCTCTGAAAAACGTTATTTTTAGTATCTAAAACTTTAAATAAGGCCTTTCCAAAGTGTGTTCACTGAAGAGTTTGAACTTTCAAAAAAAAAACTCTTTCCTCCAAAAGTTTTCCGTTTGAAAAACTTCCAAACGATAATGTCTCCGGGTGGCGGTCTGTTTTCTGTTTCGAATCAACAGACGTCGGCCGAGGGACGGCCGTTAAATTTATGGGCCGAAACAGGCCGGCCGGTTGGCTGAGTATCCGACGGCAAGGGCGCCAGAAAGTTTTATGACGGCTCTTAACGTCCGTTTGGCCGTGTGAACGACGCGTTTGAATTTCGAATCAATGACGTTTCGATTTTGAAATAGATGGGTTGATCGGAGCTGATATGGATAGATTTAGGAAGAATTTTGAAGCTTGAAAAGCTAGGTTGGGTCTTTTTAACTGGAAATAGGGGCTTTAGAGAAAAATCATAGATTTTATCCTTTCTTAACGTTAAGTAGTACTTGTAGATTCAAAAATTTCTTTTTTTTTTTGAATTTTTAGTGTGGAGGGCTTGTTATCGACTCATTATCTGAACAGTTTTGATCCCAATTTCATCTATAAGTCAGCCTTATCTGCCCTGTAGTAACCCTAACAGAAAAATTATTCTTTAAAGAATCCCTAGTCCTAAAAAAGGTCCGTAGACCCTCTAATACCCAGGTAACCATTTTTAAGCCGGTATGGATGAACCATCAGAAAACTATATATTTTTTCGATTTTCAAAAAAACGTCTTTTTATGGCCCATTCCATCAGCCTCATCTACCCTGTGTTAAAGTACTTATCGCTCCAGTAAAGTTCTTTCAAGCCCCATTATTGATAAATTATCAAGTGATCATATTTTCATGCCCATCTCGGTCAGTCTCATCTACCCTGTAGTACCCTTCAATCAGCAGAATAAATCTTTTAAGAATCCTTAGTTTTAAAAAAAAGTACTTACTACTCAGAAAATCCAATTTTCCTCAGTCAGCCTCATCTACCCTGTAGTACCGAGCTGTGTGTCGTCATTTGCTATCACACGCAACTCGTCTACAAGGTGGTTGATGTGTGACTATTTTTCTGGAAAGTGCGAACAGTTCTCGGATAGACCTCATTTGTCGCTTGAACTGCTCTGAAGCTCTTTTTTAGAAGTTTTGTAAAGAGCTTATTCAAAAATAAGTTCTTGAATGGGTCGAGAGCCACCGCAGAATGAATATTCAAAAAAAAAAACTCTTGAAAATGAACCTTCCTCACGTTAGAAACGTGAGTCATGAAGGGGGAAATGGACGTCTGACCTGTTTTATTGCACGATTTTTGAGCCGTTTGGGTCGTCTGCGGTCTCGAGCGAGCCATCGTCTCTTTTGTTCCTGAAGGTCGGTTTGAAAAAGGGAGGCTGGTTACAGTAGATTACTGTAGGGTCCTTTGAGTGGAAGTACTCTCTATATTAAAATTGAGACAGGTCGACGGACCAAACCGGAGGCTTCTGAGCATTCTAGTGATCACTTCAGCAGCATCAGCCCCTTAAGTGATCCCTAGAATGTCTCGGAAACGTCCGAGTTACGGTAGCTTACTGTAGGGGTTTTTTTTTTTGAGACCAAGACTATCAAAAGTGCACTCTAATGAACCAAGGTGTGTCCCTAGAATTAAAGATCACGGAGAAAGCAGAGAGTCTGATGTCTCTGCTTTCTCCATGCTCTCTTACTCGAAATTTCCCCCTTATACCCGCCTATTTATTCATATTAGAGCCCATTTTCAAGTTGCGAGGAATGGACTATGACCCCATAATCAGTCGATTGGTCTGTTTTTGATGAATTAGAAGTCATAAATAAGCTTTTTCTGCAGATTGGTAGCATTATAGAATTTCTATTGAGTTTTGAAAAACCTTGGTCGCACGTAGAATGGCTTTGAAGCGTTTGCGCCCGGCCCAGAACGATTCAAGCTTCCGAAAATCGGCTTCTTTTTAATCCCCAAATGCTTAGAGCCATTCCAAATGCGACCACGTTGCCGATTACATCAATAAATTATCAGCTGACTCTTTTTTGAGATATAAAGTACCATTCATTCAAAGCTACAGTACCCTTTTCCTTACAGAATGACCAATTTTCTGAACGACGTTCTCCCCATGTTGACGTTGGTCTTCATGTCGGTGACGCTTCTTGTCCAATGCGGGAAAAAGAAGCCAAAAAAATCATCATCATCTGCGGTCTCAGCTTCAAATGAAAAAAAAAACGGAAAACTTTTTTTTAGCCACCTCCGCCGGCTGTCAACAAAGAAAAGTCAAAGATGACCGAAGTCAGTAAGGCCCCCGAAACGAAGAAGAACCCCACGAAAGAGCCACCGAAAGAAGCTTCCAAAAAAGAGGACGACAAGAAGGAGGAGTCCAAGAAGAAGGACATTGAGTCGAAGAAGTCGGTCAAGGAAGAGAAGAAGGAGGAGAAGAAGGAGGAGAAGAAGGAGGAGAAAAAAGAGGAAGAGAAAAAGGAGGAGAAAAAGGAGGAGGAGAAGAAGAGTGACAAGAAGGAGGAAGAGAAGAAGGGTGAGAGGAATTTAGAAAGTTTTGAAAAGTCTAGCTTTAAGGGTGTGGTCTCACGTAGTTTCTGAAAACTCTTAGACAAAAATTTTAAAAGATAATAGATTTTGACTCTTTTTCTGAATTTACACATTTTAGAAGAGGAAAAGAAGGAAGCGGATGAAGATGCGAAGAAGAAGGAAGAAAAGAAAGAGGAGGAAAAGAAGGAGGAAGAGAAGAAGGAGGAGGAAAAGAAAGAGGAGGAAAAGAAGGAGGAAGAGAAGAAGGAGGAGGAGAAGAAAGAAGACAAGAAAGAGGAGGAAAAGAAAGAGGAGAAGAAGGATGATAAAAAGGATGAAAAGATCGAGAGCAAGCGAGGCAGCAAACGTGGAGGCCCTGCCGAGAGCAAGAAAGGCGATAAAAAGGACCTCGGTCATGGTGACTTTCTCAAGAAGTGACCAAAAATGGGTTGAATTCCAGTGGAAGTGGCGACGACCGACGTAGTTTTTGACGCGAAGGCTCAGACGCAGCGTACGGTCAAGGTGAAGAACACCCTGGACAAGAAGTTGTTCGTCAAGCTCAAGACGTCCAACAATGTTCTTTATCAGTGAGTTTGGAAGAAATAGCCGCCAAAAATGCATTGAGAATTGATTAAATGCGCTCTATGGATAACTTCAGAAATAGTTTTGAAAATGCGAGAGTGTGTTTGAGGTTCCGGAGCAGTTCTAGGGAAGGCGGATGCTCCTAAAGTTGTCCCTAGAAATGTTCCGAGATGTCAGGTTAGCCTTACACAATATGGCAATGAAAAGGAAAAAATGGCTGAAATTAGCGTTGCAATGAGTTTTGTGCGCTCTAATGATAATTTATAGATTTTTTTCTATAGCTCGGACATTGGTCACGCGAAACGGACGTGCTCTGGACGTTTCTGGGCGATTCTAGGAATTCCTTAAGAGTTCTGAGGCTACTAAAGTGGTCACTAGAAATGCCCCGACACGTCCGATTCGCGTCCCGTACGCGTTACCAAGGTCTGAGAGGTCAGAACATTTATAAAGTTGATATGTAAAAAAATCCTCAGTAAGGTCCTTTTCCTATACGGTACGTTTGGGCGATTCAAAAGGGGTCCTGGCACGAAAAAAAAAGGAGAGAGCACAGACAGGCCACGCCCCCTTTTTCTATACTGATTTCGCCAAACTTCCAGGGTGAATCCAGTCTTTGCGACCCTCGAGCCGAAAGGCACCCTGGAAATTGTCGTGACCCGCAAGCCCGGCCCCGGCAAGCCCGACAAGCTGGAAGTGGTCACTATGGAGGTTCTCACCTTTCGGAAGTTGATGATCAGTTTGATCGCTTCTTTCAGGGCAAGGGCGACGGCAAGGACCTTGCCAAGGCGTTCAAGGATCAGCCGCCCGCCGAGATTGGCTACTTCAACATCAAGATGAACGCCAAATAGAGCCGTTTCTTCCGGAAACTGTATAAATTTGGTTTTTTCGATGGTTTTGGAGTTTTTTTGGTATGAGGAAAAAGAGCGATTTCCTGAAACTTTCTAGATTTTGAATTTAATGGGTTGGATCAAAGATAAGGCTTTTTTAGGAAGTTTAACTATTTATTGAAGGCTGGAAGAATATTTATTGAACCTTGATTATTCCCCCGCGCGAAAGTCGTTCCAAGTCGGGCGCGTCTTGAAAAAAGTTGAATTTATTGAATCAGATCAAACAAAATTAGGCTTTGCTCCAAGCTCAAGGAAGTTTAACTATTTATTGATGGCTGGAAGAATATTTATTGAACCTTGATTATTCCCCCGCGCGCAAGTCGTTTCAAGTCGGGCGCGTCTTGAAAAAGTGGAATTTATTGAATCAGATCAAAAAAAAATTAGGCTTTGCTTCGAGCTCAAGGAAGTTCAACTACTTATTGTATTTATTGATGGCTGGAAGAATATTTAAGAATACTTGATTATTCCACCGCGCGCAAGTCGTTTCAAGTCGGGCGCATCTTGAAAAAAAAATTCCAAGCTTATTCCTCGGCGTCCTTTTGAATGGAGGTTCATGGAGTTTGGTTGAAAATCAGAAAAAAAAACTTTGGGAATTTCGGAACTAAAGTAATATAAATAAATGACCAAGGAGAGCTCAATTTTGTTTTGAAAATTTCAGGACAGAAGTGGTAACTTTAGTGATTTTTTCAAGACTCAAGAGGTTTTAGAGTTGAGTTAGAGCGATCCAGACTGAAAGTCCAAAAGAATGAAGTTGGGTGAAATGTTTTGTTTCGAAACTGGCTACGGAAAATTTCGTCCCAGATTTTGAATATTAATGTGATTTTTTGTCCCACAAGGAATGTCATTTTCTTTTGCGGTTGGGATTTTCCTGAAAACTGGCCAGGACTCTCCTTGATGTACCAGATGAAGGTCTTGAAAGTTTTAACCTGAAAAATTTCCTATTTTTCAAGAAAAAGGACCCTCTAAATGGCCTATTTTAATGGGAGGGTTTTCTTTGTGTTTGAAGTGTCCTCTCTGAAAAACTAGGCATTTTTGCAAGTTGAGACTTTCAGGAATTCAATCTGGTTCATCAAGGAGTCATCTGGCCAATTTTCAGGAAAATCCCGACCGTAACCTTTCTTATCAGAAACTCTGCGCAGTTTCGATAATTTTCGCTCGAAATCGACTTCTTTTTGATATTCCAACCCTTAAAAAATTATTTATTGTTGCAAAATGTGTTCGTTGGGGAACGACGCCTTCCACATGTAGTAAATCAGTCCACAGTGTCGCAGAAACCGGAAAAAGATGGTCACGATGAGCAGAAGGAACAGATCTGAACGATTTTCTTGTTTTTTTGGTATTTATTATGGAATAATTCACTTCTGGCAACCACACTCTCATCGTTGGCTCTGAGGTTGATGTAGCTGTCGGTGAAGGCGATGACGAAAAATAATAAGAGAATCGATTCGACGAGCTTCAAAAAGTTTGAAATATGAAAAATACTTTGGCGGGAAATTTTGTAGGCTTTTATAAGTATTTTAAGCCTCAGAAAGGTCCCACGGACCTGGGGAACGCGCCCGGACGTTTCTGAGAAGTCTAGAGACCACTCTAGTGGCGTCAACCTTCTCAAGTGGTCCCTAGAGTTGCCCGTAAACGACCAGGACGCGAATCGGACGTGTCGGGGCATTTCTAGTGACCACTTAAGTGATCCTAGAATAGCCCAGAAACGTCCGGAGCACGTCCGTTTTGCGTTACCAATGTCCGAGTCCTTGAAAAATAAAAAAAAGCCGAATTTATCAATAGAGCAACTTTTCTGCAAAGGCAAGCAGTACAAAATTTCAGCTTTTTTTAACCAAAAGTACTGACTTCTAAACGATTCCCTCTATAGGAAAGCTCTATTTTTTGTCCAAAATTTTTTAAAATTTTCTCGAAACCAACCATAACAATCGTCAGAGTTTTGAAGGCCGCCTTCTTGCGCGAAAAATAAACAATGACAAAAATAAGAAGGGTGATACCATCGTAAAAGGCGAACCAAGTCCATTCCCGAGCATTTCCCAAGCTTTTCGACCTGAAAATTAGCGATAGAACTCCTATTCTCTATAATGTCTGCGCCCTCTTTTCTCTCACCTAGTAGAAAATTTAAACAGCGTGTAAAAATGAGAAAGCGCAGAGAAAGCAGAAAAAAACTCACCACTTGTAGTGAACAATGACTAGCTTTTGGATGAATAGAAACAAGCCGAGGAGAACGAAGACTTTGAGCCAAAACTGCAAAGGAAAAAGTTGATATTTGCAGTGGTTTCAATGCCAAATTAGTTTAGAACATTTATGGAACTTTGATTACGCCTCTGCGCGCAAGTCGTTTCAGGTCGGACGCGTCTTGAAAGTATTGGTCGCACGGGGAATGGCTCTAAAGTGCGACCGGCTCAAAACGACTTGACTTTGTTAGATGTCGGAGCAAGCTTTTTTTTTCCGACCGCAACGCTTTGAGCCATTCCACGTGCGGTCATGGCGCTCCAGCTAGGAAGATTCGCCATTTTTTCAAGTTTTAGTTGTACCTTTTCACTTTCAATTTTGAATTCTTCCAGTCAGAGTTTTGGCACTTTTTTTCCTAACTTAAACCTTTCCCGATTTTTCGAAGTATTTTCACACATTTTTCAAATCTGACTAGTTTTAACAAATCCAAAAAATTTTTTCGACAAGCTCGGACCTTGGTATCGGAAACCAAGAATGCTGATGCCCCTAAAGGGATCACTAGAAATGCTAAGAAACGTTCGGTACCGAGGGGTCCCAGTATTTGATCATGTTTGGACCACAAGGGGAGCAGAACCTTCCACTGGCATGGGTACTACTTGACTATTCCAAAAAAGACCCAATTTTCAAACTTTCTTAACTTGGCACCAGGTTAATTGAACCTCTAGGGACCCAATGAACAACTCCAGGAAAAATTACTTATTTTTAAACTTTCTCAAATTCAAGCGAAATGAATTAAGACTCTAGAGACTAGATAGAGTATTTCAGGAAAAATTCAAAAGTCTGGACTTTCTTAGTTTCATGCCAGGTTAACAGAGACCCAAAAAACAGTCCTAGAAAAAATTTTGATGCCTTAACTTCCTCAACTTGACTTCTGAGACCCAATGAAAAAATATTCCAAAAAAAAATACTAGTTTTTAAACTTTCTTGACTTTGCTAGGCCCATCTCACTAAAGAACGGTTTAAACCCCGCCCCCTTCCGGTTTAAATTTTTGATGAAACTTTGCTAAAGTTTACTTTAGGACCCCCTGATTCTTGAACAAGAAAAAAGTTTCTCGCAATAGATCTCGTTTTCGAGTTAGGACGTTACAAAGGCTTCAAACAGCGCTTTTTTGTCATAATTCGTGTATTTTGCGAAGTTTGAAGCTCCAAAAACAGTTCCCTAGTCAGTTGAACCTTCAGAATCCCAATAAAAACTGTTCCAGAAAGAAAAACCGACCCCAACGGTGCGACAGGGACAGACTTCGGCGCTGTAGTCGACGTCGTCAAAGTGGAACAAGCGACGGTCGATCTGAAGAGGCGGCTCTCTTGGCCGCTCGACCGACGGTTCGAACCGCGTTGTGTTGATGACGAGCGTATTCGAGGGCTTCAGAGACGGGATCACCGAGTCATCGGAACCGCCGACTGATCTCCTACTACTAGAAGAAAAAGGTACGTTGAAGCGAATTAAAAAGTTCTGCCAAGAAGGTGGTTTTGGCTTTCATGCTTCACACACAAAAAAAAAAACAAAACTTGGGCTTTTGAAAAAAATCGAAGCTTCTGACCTTCTAGAACTTTATACTCTCACTTTGGGTCAGAAGAATTTTCCGAAAATCGGCCAGGATTTTTTTTTTGACATTCCGAATGAAGATCCTTTAAGTTCTATTTTGGAGAACGAGGTACTCAACTACACAGAAGCCCTGTAAAATTGGGCTATTTCCAGATTATGAACCCTCATTCTTCGAAAAATAGGAATATTTCGATGTGGATACTTTCAGGATCTTCATAAGCTTCATCTGACCAAGTTTCAGAAAATTCTGAAGTTTCGAAGGAAATCACCTCCGTGTGAGGATTAGGACAATAAAAATCACATTTTCCGAGAGTCTTTGTCATTCTCACACTCGTCCAGTGATTGCTGAACAAAGAATTGAATTTTTCAAGTTCTAGAAAACTTGCCGAAGAATCCTTAAGCGGCATCATGTTTAGAAATAACTTGGAAGATTTTGTTGACGTCTCTTTTTTCTCTCACGTATGATTTATAGCTGATTCACGGCTAGCTTGGGACGCTAAGGGGACGTATCCTGTCTGCGCTCTTCACAAGCCAGGCGCCTACTCATGCATTATCGTGTCAGGACCCATTTTTCGCTCATACTCATACTTTCTAGCTTCTCTTCTCCCTCTTTTCTCTGGCGAATAGCATTCTGGCAGAACTTTCTCAAGTCTCGACAAGATGACACTAGGAAAACAGTGAAGTAACCCCTCAATAGACTCGATTTGAGTGACCACTGAAGGACCCCAAGATGCACCCAAGCGACCCATTTGCAGAACCCTTGAAAATCTGGCGAAATCAAACTCCGAACACAACATGATCGTGAAATTTATTCAACGATACACGAGTAAAAATTTTAGTCGATGCCTTCCTAGAGCGGCATGACTTGACGGCCGGACTTGTCGCGCTTGGCGATCTCGTTGGCAATAGCTGAAAATTGATAGTTTTTCTGTTATTTCTTTACTTCCTTAAACCGAAAAAGATGTTTTCGATAAACTCACTTTCGGTCGGCATCTGCATCGACCCTTTCTTCTGCATTTTGGCATCGGTTTCCTTCGCGATACCATCCATCTTACCCATCTCTCGACCACCTTCCTTCCTTTCGTCAACTTCACCCGACGCTTTTCCCATCTCCATGGGGTTACCATCCAAAGGCTTCACGGCCGGTGGCTTTGCAGCGACTTTCGGCTTCTTCGGGCCCTCCGCGGACGGCTTGCCCTTATTCGGATTCTCAGCCGAGGCCGTTGAGCTCAAATCTTGACGGCTCCCCGTCGAACTTTTGCGGTTAGCCGGCGAGGCCGAGACCGAGGCTGAGGCCGACTTGCGAACCCCGAATGCAATGAATGTCATCGCGCCAAATGCCACCGCAAGCAAAACTATTACGATGACGCAGGGGACAACCACCGCCGTACCTGCAAACTTTTCTCTAATCTCTCAAAAAAAAAAGTTTTTCATATTTCCGAAACTGAAAGGTTCCTGGTGTTTAAAAATTTTCCAAATTTTTTACAGCTTCAAGTCTGGAATCATTATCTCCCAAAAATTTTTGATCAGTCTGCCTTTTTTTTTCATTTTGTTAAAAGTCAAAAAATTTACTAGAACAATCTGCGTCCTTGCTTTCCGCAGCAGCCAGCTTAGCGGTGCATTGCGAACACGTGAGATTGTTTTGGCCGGAAACGCCGAAAGATCCTCTCCCTTTAAGGCTCTCGCATGGGGCCAGCGTCTGTAAGAAGTTTGTTTTAATTAATAGTCTGAAAATTGACAGGTTGATTTAAGATTGAAAATTTTCTATTGATTTGCTTGAAAGTAAGGAAAAATTGGCCAATCGCGTTTTTTTTAGAGACTTCCAAGGGTTATTAGTTCAACTTTAGTTCAAGTTCAACAATTTTTCGAGATGAATTACTTCGTTCAAGATCTTGTCCAGCCGTTTTTTTACAGTGGCATCGAGCGGGCCTTGGATGTCGATGAGTTCGGCGCCGTCGCAGTAAGGCTGGAGGTTCTCGACTGTCAGCGTTTTCAACTTTTCAAACGAGGTATCGTCGAGTTTGGCATGATCCAAAGATATGGCCGGGCCTATAACGGAAAAAGTTAAACAAGTGACAAAACAATTGAAAACAAAATCAGAACAAGCGGAAAAACCAGCCTTTTCCACTATGCAACAACTCAATCAGCTCAGGGAATCCCATCGATCTTTTCGAGTTCTTAATGACAGAGAGGGTTCCCGTCTTTGTAGCCGAAATCAGGAAAGAATAAACGGCAAGTGCTTGAGAATCAGTTTCCTCGACGATGACGGGTCCTTCCGTGCATTTCACGTTCTTCGAGCACTCCGGAGGAATAAACTCCCCGGTTGGAAGACTGGCGATTATTCTCTTGCAACATTGTCCTGAAAAAACCATAAGGAGTAAAAAATTCCGACTCAAAAGGAAGCCCGTCTCTAACTTTTTGCAATCGCGACGCGGTTTATGTTTAAAGAAAAGTCCCACTGCTACTGTGACCTATCAGCCTTTTCAGAGCAATCTTTGACCCGTTTGGAGTCTTTAATAGACTAGAGACTACTTGCCGAAGTAAAAGTTTATAAATAAATAGTTGGGGAAATGGAAATATACCCTGAGCAGAGCTTTGAGATGGCCAGGCGAGAACGATAAGAATGAGGGCGATAGGCTTGGTACCAAACCATATCCATGCTGAAATTTTGAAGATTACATTTTATTTTAGAGGTTTGAAGTTTTCTTGGTACTACTTCATACAGTCGATTCGCGGCTGGCTCGGGACTCGAAATAATATCTTTCGTGGCAAAAGGAGTTTACGGAGCCTCCCATGCCCCTTTAATAGTAACCTGATTCGAGCACCGAAGCTATTTTATAGGCGCATGGGGAGGCTTCGCAAAGTTCACTGGCAAGGATAGTCATTTTTACTCTGCTTGGACTTGAATTCACCTAAAAATTGGCCAGGACTATACGAAATGTACCAGACTAAGGTCCTTGAAGTCTCAACCTGGGAAACTTTCCAAATCCAGAGAAAGATCCCTCAAAGTCGAAAAACCACAAAAATATGCCGCCTTTGTCTTTGAGGGATTACTTCTAGAGCTAGAAAGTTTTGAAAGTTGAGAATTTCCGGATTTTCATCTGGTACAGGAGTATCCAGGCCAACTTCCGGAGATTTCCAGAAGCAGAGTAAAGTTACCATCCTTCGTCCCATCCGTTGTAGTTCCGAGCCAGCCGGGAGCCGAGTTGGAGCCGAAAGTGGAGCCGTCGGATGCCTCAGAACTGACCCATTTGGATGTCGACCTCCTGGCTGTGGACTTGAAGGAAAGAATGACCACCTATCGACGTTCCAACTCATGTTGACCGCGTGGATTTTATTTTTCTCTTTCACGTCGGTTCACGTGAGTTCAACTTTGAGTTTTTTTTCATTCTTTATTCCCATCATACATGGGCTAACCAACTACTTTTTGTGACGTCATCACGTACCCCCCTTGAAAAAGTACGTACTCCCCTCGAAAAAGTACGTACCCCCCCGCGGATGACTATCAATGTGAAATGATTATTAAAGTTAATATAAGAATTGAATGAGACTATTATCTTATTTCGCGGGCTTTTGGAAGTATATTCAGCTAGGTGTCAACACTGCAAAACAGAAATATTTCAACTTTTAGCGCAGACCCCCTAAATCCGAAAATCGATCTGTTTTCAATGTTATCCTACATTATGAATCGATTTTTATGATCTGGCAGAGTTTCAAGCCGTTGGGATGAGTTTTAAGGAAAATAGATTTTTGGACCACCGGGAAGGGATATTTTGAAAATTTGAATTTTTTGGCTCAAAATCAATATTAAACTTGAGTTAACTCTGAATGAGGTATATCCTCCGAATTTCCAACCTTCCGGACGTTTTTTGACCAAGTTACAGTGTTTCAAAGTGTTATCACTTGACGGTTTGCGTACCCCCGTACTCCCCCAAAAATCGGAAAGTCGATCTGTTTTTCAATGTTATTCCACATTATAAAGGGAGTTTTATGATCTGGCCAAGTTTCAGGCCGTTGGGATGAGTTTTAAGGAAAAATAGATTTTTTTGGACCACCGGGAAGGGATATTTTGAAATTTTTGAATTTTTTTGGCTCAAAAATCAATATTAATCTTGAGTTAACTCTAAATGAGGTATATCCTCCAAATTTCCAACCTTCCGGACGTTTTTTGACCAAGTTACAGTGTTTCAAAGTGTTATCACTTGACGGTTTGCGTACCCCCCGTACCCCCCCAAAATCGGAAAATCGATCTGTTTTCAATGTTATTCCACATTATAAAGGGAGTTTTATGATCTGGCCAAGTTTCAGGCCGTTGGGATGAGTTTTAAGGAAAAATAATTTTTTTGGGCCACAGTAGATGTATGAATGTATGCTGATCACGATTTTGCTAGTTTTTTTAATTGTTAAACTTGTTTTTTTTTATCGTTCACATGTGTGGTAACGCCGTAGGGTGAGTTGAAAAAAAATGAGCGTTAGGGTGAAACTTTCTCTAAATCAAACATGTTGTAGAACACGATTTTTTAGGATTTTTTGAAAAAAAAAACCGAATATCATCACTCAAGCCGTTTTCGAGATACTGTGGCTCAAAAAAAGGGGTACGGTAGAACCCTTCAAAAAAATCTATATCTTGACATAAAAATCGACGAAACTCATCCAAAGTTTGTAATAAGGTGCAATATAATCTTATTCAATTTTTTTAAAAAAATCTTAAACCTCATTTTTGCTCATTATTGCTCATATTACAGAGTTTTTTTCAAAAACCACAAAAAAAGTACTCTTTATTGAGTCAAACATGGATTATTCGAATTTTCCATCTAACACCCGAAAATTCCAAAAAACATGTGATTTTGGGTAAGTTTCCCGAATAACTTTTTTATCTCCTGTTTTTTTGGATTGAAACTAGCAAAATCGTGATCAACGCGCATTCTTACATCCACTAGGTCATTTGCAAAACGAAACGAGGAAAAAATTCAAAATTTCAAATATCACTTCCCGGTGGTCCAAAAAAATCTATTTTTCCTTAAAAACTCATCCCAACGGCCTGAAACTTGGCCAGATCATAAAACTCCCTTTATAATGTGGAATAACATTGAAAAACAGATCGATTTTTCCGATTTTGGGGGGTACGGGGGTACGCAAACCGTCAAGTGAAAACACTTTGAAACACTGTAACTTGGTCAAAAAAACGTCCGGAAGGTTGGAAATTTGGAGGATATACCTTATTTAGAGTTAACTCAAGATCAATATTGATTTTGAGCCAAAAAAATTCAAAAATTTCAAAATATCCCTTCCCGGTGGTCCAAAAAAATCTATTTTTCCTTAAAAACTCATCCCAACGGCCTGAAACTTGGCCAGATCATAAAAACTCCCTTTATAATGTGGAATAACATTGAAAAACAGATCGATTTTTCCGATTTTTGGGGGTACGGGGGGTACGCAAACCGTCAAGTGAAAACACTTTGAAACACTGTAACTTGGTCAAAAAAACGTCCGGAAGGTTGGAAATTTGGAGGATATACCTTATTCAGAGTTAACTCAAGTTTAATATTGATTTTGAGCCAAAAAATTCAAAATTTCAAAATATCCCTTCCCGGTGGTCCAAAAATCTATTTTCCTTAAAACTCATCCCAACGTCCTGAAACTTGGCCAGATCATAAAACTCGATTCATAATGTAGAATAACATTGAAAACAGATCGACTTTCCGATTTTGAGGGAGTACGGGGGGGTACGCAAACCGTCAAGTGATAACGCTTTGAAACACTTTAACTTGGTCAAAAAACGTCCGGAAGGTTGGAAATTTGGAGGATATACCTTATTTAGAGTTAACTCAAGATTAATATTGATTTTGAGCCAAAAAATTCAAAATTTCAAAATATCCCTTCCCGGTGGTCCAAAAATCTATTTTCCTTAAAACTCATCCCAACGGCCTGAAACTTGGCCAGATCATAAAACTCCCTTTATAATGTGGAATAACATTGAAAACAGATCGATTTTCCGATTTTGGGGGGGTACGGGGGGTACGCAAACCGTCAAGTGATAACGCTTTGAAACACTGTAACTTGGTCAAAAAACGTCCGGAAGGTTGGAAATTTGGAGGATATACCTTATTTAGAGTTAACTCAAGATCAATATTGATTTTGAGCCAAAAAATTCAAAATTTCAAAATATCCCTTCCCGGTGGTCCAAAAATCTATTTTCCTTAAAACTCATCCCAACGGCCTGAAACTTGGCCAGATCATAAAACTCGATTCATAATGTAGAATAACATTGAAAACAGATCGACTTTCCGATTTTGAGGGAGTACGGGGGGGTACGCAAACCGTCAAGTGATAACGCTTTGAAACACTGTAACTTGGTCAAAAAACGTCCGGAAGGTTGGAAATTTGGAGGATATACCTTATTTAGAGTTAACTCAAGATTAATATTGATTTTGAGCCAAAAAATGCAAAATTTCAAAATATCCCTTCCCGGTGGTCCAAAAATCTATTTTCCTTAAAACTCATCCAGAAGGTCTGAAACTCTGCCAGATCATAAAACTCGATTCATAATGTAGAATAACATTGAAAACAGATCGACTTTCCGATTTTGAGGGAGTACGGGGGGGTACGCAAACCGTCAAGTGATAACGCTTTGAAACACTTTAACTTGGTCAAAAAACGTCCGGAAGGTTGGAAATTTGGAGGATATACCTTATTTAGAGTTAACTCAAGATTAATATTGATTTTGAGCCAAAAAATTCAAAATTTCAAAATATCCCTTCCCGGTGGTCCAAAAAAATCTATTTTTCCTTAAAACTCATCCCAACGGCCTGAAACTTGGCCAGATCATAAAAACTCCCTTTATAATGTGGAATAACATTGAAAAACAGATCGATTTTTCCGATTTTTGGGGGGGGTATGGGGGTACGCAAACCGTCAAGTGATAACGCTTTGAAACACTGTAACTTGGTCAAAAAAACGTCCGGAAGGTTGGAAATTTGGAGGATATACCTTATTTAGAGTTAACTCAAGATTAATATTGATTTTGAGCCAAAAAATGCAAAATTTCAAAATATCCCTTCCCGGTGGTCCAAAAAAATCTATTTTTCCTTAAAAACTCATCCAGAAGGTCTGAAACTCTGCCAGATCATAAAAACTCGATTCATAATGTAGGATAACATTGAAAAACAGATCGATTTTCGGATTTTGGGGGGGGGTACGGGGGGTACGCAAACCGTCAAGTGATAACGCTTTGAAACACTGTAACTTGGTCAAAAAACGTCCGGAAGGTTGGAAATTTGGAGGATATACCTCATTTAGGGTTAACTCAAAGTTGATAATGATTTTGAGCCAAAAAATTGTAGATTTCCAGAAATCATTTTCTTATGGGGTCAGAAGTTGATTATTTTTCAATTTTCCAAACGGCTTAAAAATTTGATGAGCATGTATATATCATCCATTGGTACCATTTAAACTAGAATTCAGGTCGATTAATCAGCTCTGGAATTTTTTTTATAAGGCTATTTCTACGATTCCTCTCGATTTTTTTCTACCGTTTGGAGCTAGGCAAAAAGATAGGCAACGAATTTCCCACTAAATGTACTTTAAAAAAAGCTCGATAAATAATATGGATGCATTTTCCGCGGCTTAGAAAGCCATCTGAATGAATAGGGGGCCCGAAAGTGAAAAAAACAGCCTGTTAGCCCACGTATGATTCCCATTCTCTTCTTTCTCACGTCACGCTTTTTTTTTTTTCAAAATTTCTTTTACTCAAAAAAAATACAGCTCACATCGTTCCCCATAAAGCACTTTTTGAAAAAGATTTCATAGGCAAGTTCCAAATTTTTTTGCCCTTGGAGCGCGTTTACTGAACTTTTTTTAAATCTTTCCTCTCCCTCATTAATTTATTTTTGGTGTCAAGTGGAACTTCTGAAAAGAAAAACCTTTGCGCTTATTTTTTTATAAGAATGTCTGAAAGCTTTTTTTCAGAAATTTATAAGTTCTCAACTTTAAAAAAATAAAAATCAACAGATCTCGTCGAAATTTTTTTTCACAAGATGCGAGCTCTTTCAAACCTTCATTACTCAGTATTTCTCATGTTATATTTTTCCCTGAAAATTCTTATCTGTGCAATTTTTCCGTTCGAAATAGCAACATTGTCATCAGAACCGGATTAGGAAAACAATTTTTTTGCAACTCGAAAAAAGTTCCAAGTTCTTGGAAAGACAATTTTGCGAAAAAGAGAAAATGAAATAAGTTTCTGATTTCAATTTTTTGATGCCGTGAAAAAGTTAGGTCGCTTCCAAGAAATGCTTGACCACTGGGAGAATTAAGTGAACACTTAAGGGATTTTTGTGCAAAACACTACTTCTTTAGTGAACACTTCCCTGTCCAACACAACCCCTTGTAGATCAAAAGATAAGATGCAAAACTAGCATTTCCCTTTTTCAGAGTCATTTCTTGTCGTGTCTCTGATCGTACTCGTAGGTTTGTTGATATTTTTCTGATCGTCTGATCGTACTCGTAGGTTGTACGATCTCTGATCGTACTCGTAGGTTTGTTGATATTTTTGAGCTCAAAAGTTGGTTTCAGCGTTTTCGGATGAGTTGACTTGAGCGATGAAGATGAAGCTGTATCAAAAAAGAGTCAAGTCAATCTGAATCCGAAATCCTGAGCCTCAGTAGGACATTTTCGGGGTAGTCTGGAGGACACAGTAGAAAAAAAGACATAGGCGAATCGAGAAAGGGTATCGCGAGACCCTTTGAGATATATCGCAGGCTTTGAAGTCTCACGATGGTACTTCTGAGATTTTTGAGCAAAATGAGAGAGGCTTGAGAGAGACTCTGGAGTACCTCCGCGATGGCTCAGATATAGCTGAAAGGTATGCCCGAGGACACATTATGGGGCCTTCACGATTCATTTTGAGAGATACCTTTGTGGACCCATTTTGGTACTTTCTCGATTCGCCTGTGGAAGAAATAATATACGACAAGGTTGGTTCAATCTAAAAATCTAGAGAAAAATGGAAGGTTTTCATATATTTCCCACTTTTATTCAGTCTTCAGAGATGATTCTCTGCTGAATCGTGGAAATTGTTTGTCTGTTCCCGAAACTGTCGTTGATCAAACACGTAGCGCGTCAAGTCTTTTTTGATAGAGTAGTAGACGCTTTGAGCGTTCCGACGATCGCTACTGCTCCATCACACTACCTTATAAACACCAAAGGGTTTCTGGAAGGTTTTCTGTGGCGATTTTCTCGAGAACATCTCATTGGAACACTTGTCGAAGAGGCTCGGCAGGACGACTGAATCTTTTTCCCTTTTTGGACCGGCTTTCTATCTTCTATAAAAGACTACACAATTTGTTTTTTTTTTTTGCGTTGTTACGGTTGTTCTAGTGACAGTCCTTATATTCCAATACTACGAAACGAGCTTATGGCTGTTTGCCCTTATAGTCTGAACTTTAAATTCGGCGTATACGTATCTATCAGATCGCGTGAGCCGATCTCACGAGCTTTGCGTAATGAGACTCATTCCCAGCTGTTCAAAGCTCTTCGGTCGACGCGACTGATCATCAGATCAGTCGGGGTCCTGTCGGAGTTAGACAGGATCCTGGTGAGAACCAGGAGATCTCGTACACCTGTTTCGAACCAAAAATCGGATCCAACTTTGAACCGAGGTCTGAGGCCGTGTGCTAAACAACCCACGGGGACCGCGCTTAAACCAACGGAGACAGATATCTGTAAATTAAGAGAAAGTAGATCCGTGAAGGAACCAGGGTCCGGGGTCTCACTGACAGTCAGAGTCACTAGCCGGACCAGAGCAACAAGAAATTGTTGATCCCAAATAGGACCAATTCTGGAACTACTAAGTAAATTTCGTCGAGATCAGGGTCCTCGGGAACGAATCAGGAAAGAACAAAGAAATTTGTCAACCTGAGAAAGACCAGTTGAGGTTTCCAGTAACAGACTGAAGCCGTTAGTTCTTTTCCCTCATCCGTTACTTACGGAACCCGAGGAAGTGATGTAGCTCAAAGTCCTTCTTAGGTCAAAAGATGATTTTTTTTTATGAAAAAAATACATTTTTTCACAAACCTTGGGGTTCTATACTATACTGTAACTTATTTTAATTTGAAAACTGAACCGCTAAAATCGTTGGATTCAATAGAAAAGCAAGAAGAAAGACCAAAAGGGCAAAATTTCTGTTCTAATTTTGGCTATTATTTCACTATTTTTTGGATCATCTTTTTTCGGAAAACTCTTTCGTTCAACTCTTAAAGCGATCTTCAGAATCTGAGCAGCTCCATCCCATTTTCTATTTTTTTTCCCCTTCGCCACAACCCAATTTTCTTTTTCATTAAAGATTTTTTCGTCCTTTTCTTTACATGGTTCACATAGCCAAATTTGGATTGTCCCATTTATTCGACACTCAAGAAAAAATGAAGGAAGTCGGAGCGTTCGGCCCATTTTCTTTGAACGGCTCGGCGACATGTTCCAGGCCAGCAGCCGTCCTCGAAAAGGGTTCGGTAGGCTTCTCATTCATCGAACTTGGCTCCTGGCGGGCTGCAGCCTGCTGCCAACTGTTCGGAACTCTCATAATGAACGCATAAAACGCCATCGCAACCAGTAACACAAAGAGTGCGATTATGACGCCGATCGCCATATATTTTTCTGCAAAGTAGTTATTATACTTGATCGTCTTATCGAAGAAGATGAGCAAGAAAAATAGTATTTCTTAGATTGGGACCTTTAATAGATTTTTGGCCTTACAAAGGCCATTATTTTTCAAATAGGCCTGTTTATACATGTTTGCAGTCAATCCAAAAAGAAACAAGGAAATGCGGACATTCCAAAAATATTAGAGAAAAATAGTTTGGGACCGCAAAGAGGCATTTTGCAGCGAATTTGCTCTAACGACGAAACGTTCTAACCTCTCGGACCTTGGTAACGCGAACGGGACGCGAATCGGAAGTGTAGGGGCATTTCTAGGGACTACTTTAGTGGCCTCAGCGCTCTTAAGTGATCCTTAGAATTGCCCAGAAACGTCCGGAGCACGTCCGTTTGGCGTTACCAATGTCCGAGCTGGGTAGCGCAATTCCTAGTTATCACTTTAGCCCCTTAAGTGATTATTAGAAATGCTCAGAAAATTGCGGGGTGTTTGATTTTTAAAGTTTCAACTTTTCCTGTCTCTCTGTTCGTTCACCGAAACATGACCCAAGCTTGATGTTCATCTCAAAGAGAATTTTTTAAAGGCAACAAAAATCTCTCCAATCTCATTTTTAATGACCCTACGTCTTCTGAATTCACTTTATAGAAGGTTGTCAAGCAATAAAATTTTCAGAAAGATTACTTATCGGCGAACACGCATTGAAATCGGCGTCGACAAGCATTTGACTGCAAGATGGGCAAGATGGGCAAGTAATCAAATGATTATTTTGGCCCGCAGAGCTCGAGGAGCATGGAGAGCTTGAAGAAGCTGAACCGCCCGAACTTCCTGTGTCCTTGAGGCTCTTGCAAGGGGCCAGCGTCTGTAAGAAGTTTGTTTTAATTAATAGTATGAAAATTGATAGGATGATTTCAGATTGAAAATTTTCTATTAATTTGCTTGAAAGTAAGGAAAAATTGGCCAATTGCGTATTTTTCGAGACTTCCAAGGGTTATTAGTTCAACTTTAGTTCAAGTTCAACCATTTTTCGAGATGAATTACTTCGTTCAAGATCTTGTCCAGCCGTTTTTTTACAGTGGCATCGAGCGGGCCTTGGATGTCGATGAGTTTGGCGCCGTTGCAGTAAGGCTGGAGGTTCTCGACTGTCAGCGTTTTCAACTTTTTAAACGAGTTATCCTCGAGTTTTGCATTATCCAAGAATACGGCTGGGCCTGTAAATGAAAGAAGTTGAACAAGGGAAAATAAAATTGAAAAGAGAATGAGAATGAGAAAAGCGGAAAAACGAACCAGGTCCCTTATGAATTAAGGCGGTCACTTGAGAAAGCGCCATCATTTTGTCTTTGTTGTTGATGACAGAAAGAGTTCCGATCTTTGTAGCCGAACTTAGGAAATTACCAACGGCAGTTGCTTGAGAATCGGTATCTTCAATCATAACAGGTGCTTCCGTGCACTTCACGTTTTTCGAGCACTCGGGAGGAATGGCGTCGCCGGACGGGTAGCTCAGAATCATTTTCTTACAGCATTGGTCTGAAAAGGTTACCATTAGATTGAAATTTGAAAATTTGTTGAAACTAAATATCCCGACTCAAAAAAAAAGTATGAGCGCAACTTGTTGCGATCGCGACGCGGATTTCGTTTAAAAAAAGTCCCACTGCTACTGTGACCTATCAGCCCTTTCAAAGAAATCTTTGACCCGTTTGGAGTCTTTAGTAGATGACTAGAGACTACTTGCCGAAGTAAAAGTTTATAAATAAATAGTTGGGGAAATGGAAATATACCTTGAGCAGAGCTTTGAGATGGCCAGGCCAGAAAGATAAGAATGAGGGCGATAGGCTTGGTACCAAACCATATCCATGCTGAAATTTCGAAGATTACATTTTATTTTAGAGGTTTGAAGTTTTCTTGGTATTACTTCATACAGTCGATTCGCGGCTGGCTTGAAACGAAAAATCTTATCGTTCGTGGCGAAAGAAACTCGCGGAGCCGCCCCATGCCCCTTTAATAGTAACCTGATTCGAGCACCGAAGCTATTTTATAGGCGCATGGGGAGGCTTCGCAAATTTCACTGACAAGGATAGTCATTTTTACTCTGCTTGGACTTGAATTCACCTAAAACTTGGCCAGGACTGTACGAAATGTACCAGACTAAGGTCCTTGAAGTCTCAACCTGAGAAACTTTCTAAATTCAGAGAAAGATCCCTCAAAGTCGAAAAACCACAAAAATATGCCGCCTTTGTCTTTGAGGGATTACTTCTAGAGCTAGAAAGTTTTGAAAGTTGAGAATTTCCGGATTTTCATCTGGTACAGGAGTATCCAGGCCAACTTCCGGAGATTTCCAGAAGCAGAGTAAAGTTACCATCCTTCGTCCCGTCCGTTGTTGTTCCGAGCCAGCCGGGAGCCGAAGTTGGAGCCGAAAGTGGAGCCGTCGGGTGCCTCAGAACTGACCCATTTCGATTTCGACCTCTTGGCGGTGATGTCGAAGTGTGCAATGACCACCTATCGACGTCCCAACTCATGTTGACCTCGTCGATTTCATATTCCACCAGTAACAGCGGTTCAACTAAGTTCGAGTCGAAGTTTATTTTTTTATACTGTTTTTCTGTCCACTCTCTTCTTTCTCACGTCACGGTAGAATTTTTTCATACTTTTTGTTACACAAATGTATAACTACCGCCCTTTTTTGCCCAACCTGATTTTCTGCAGTTTTTAATCGTTTTTGGACATTTACCAGTTCATTTCGCCTTACCATTTGTTGTTCTACCCGTTACCTTCAGCTACCTGAAAATTAGCTACCCGAAAATGCGTTATTCACCAAATGTTTAGTCTTAAGGTCTACGATGCCTCCGATAAGACCTGAGTCATTGAAAAACCTTGGAGAATCTTGTTGACTAAACTCATGGTCTGTTTTTGTCTTGAGACTTGGCACATGCAGGTTTTTAGTTTGAATAGATAGTTGTACAGAACAACATACAATCCAAAAATAAGGGCCTCTATACAGCCATAATTGCAGATGTTATCAGCACCCGCTAAAGAAAAAAAAAATGGCGCTAGAATCGAACCCGTGCGAAGAACCGCGTACGCACACGCTACGCGTCCCGCTCACTTCTCCGCCCTCCTCGCCCTTCAAGTCAGGATGAATCGACTATCGCGCTTCTCCGATCTCAACCTTAACTAGAAAAGACAGCAGCAGCCTTTCTTCTTCGGACTCTATCACTTCATCATCTTCACGGGTTGACGTGAAGAAAGAGCTAGCCAAGATTGTCATAAGTCCGAGCGATAGAAATTTCGAACTGCTGACTGGGAACGCCCAGAACATCCTACTCGGGTAACCAGTTGCAAGAGCTTTTCAACTGAAAACATACTAGTTTGCAGCTGCTGTAAGTGACTACTTAGCAAGTTGCAAAAACAGAAAAGTTGCAGTTGCAAAACAGTTGCAAGTCACACGCGAAATCTGCAAGCAACTTGTTTGCGACTCGAAAAAGGTCCAACGAGTCCGTTTAAAGTCCCCTGCAACCTGTTTGCAGCTGCTGTAAGTGACTACTTAGCAAGTTGCAAAAACAGAAAAGTTGCAGTTGCAAAACAGTTGCAAGTCACACGCGAAATCTGCAAGCAACTTGTTTGCGACTCGAAAAAGGTCCAACGAGTCCGTTTAAAGTCCCCTGCAACCTGTTTGCAGCTGACTTGCAATTCACTTGCAAGGCCCTGGTTTAGCTGAAAATGCCTACCTAGCTGCAAATGACCCTCTGGTACGATGCAACTCAGCCTAGTTTTGGTTGCAAACTGTGAACTTCCCTTCGTAATACGAATTTCGTATACAAACTAGTCCGTACCGAGATTCATAGCTCTTGCAACTGGTTTCCCGAGTATCTGAACACTTATTATCAAAGGCTCCAAGCAGGACGATTGATTCCCCTTCTTCTTATTTTTTTTCCAAACGACACGCTTTCTTTTTTCTATGGACAGTGTTTTGTTTTGAAGCCAAAAACAAACTTGACAGCTTTTATTTACAAAAAAAAACATCAGGAAAATGGAGAGATTCAGGACTTTGAGAAGGCCACCTTCCACATGTAGTACAAAAGCCAGTACTCTCGGATTACTCGGAGGAAAAACGAGAAAATCAGAACGAGGACTAGCCATTCTGGAAAGTATGTTAAGCTATTCTCAATGCGACCAAAAAAACACTCACGAAACTCCAACAAATCATCGTTGTCATGGGTCCGGATGTAGGCCATCACAAGAGTCACTATCAAAAGGGTCAAAAAAAGGGCGTCGACAAGCTTTAAAGGGAAAATCAATTCAAAGTTATTCTTTGTCAAATCTGCATGTTACAGCAAGTTTGCTCTATGGACAAAATTCATGGACCTTTCCGTTTTTAACTTTCTCCTAATTCTTATTGTGAAATTAACCATTACCGAAGCTTTTGAAGGTCGAAAAGTGAAAGAATGGGATTTTCAGAAAAAGTGGTTTACGGTAAGCTACTTTCTGTACACAGTACTTTTTGGCGCCAATTCAAAATCGAAAAAGAATACAGAGTTTTTGTGCTATGGTCTGTTCAGATTTTGAATGTCAAGTCGTCGCTCAAGCTCCGCCCCTTATGGTGCGATAAACCAATCAGAAAGCGAGCCATCCACAGAGTGTTTTTGAATGACGTCATTGCACTTGACATTAAAAATGTTAACAGACTATATTTCACTTAGGAACGCCAGAGTGGTCACTGAAGGGGCAAGAAGAAAAATAGCCAATTATAGGGTTGAGTTTTAGATGGTTCCTAGAGAGGCTCACGGTCTCATCCCTAGATCCCTAAAGCTTAAGGGGTCCCTATAGGGTCTTCAAGTCTTCGTTAACGGGTCCCTATAGGGTCTTGAAGTCTTTGAAAGGCTTCCAAGGGTCCCTACGGTTACCCCATACATATCTGGAGTTCCTGAGTACTTCGAAAAACTCAACTGGGCAATATTACGTCAAAACTATCACTATTAGCAAACTTTGAAAATGAAAAGCACCGTGATAATAGTCAGCACTTTGAAGATAAGCTTTTTGCGCAATAAATAGACGACGATGAATGCGAAGACCATGATCCCGTCGTACAAGGCCATCATGTACCATCTCGTGGCGAGATCGCTTTGTCCTCCCCTTAAGTTTAGAATTTTCCAGGTTTCAGAGGTTGTTTGAGGACACTTGGGGAATAGAGTCTGTTCAGATTTTTAATGTCAAGTGCAATGACGTCATCCAGAAACACTGTGTGGATGGCTCGCTCTCTGGTTGGTTTATCGCACCATTAGGGGTGGAGCTTGAGCGATGACTTGACGTTCAAAATCTGAACAGACTATATAGCTGATACAAATATGGCTTGAACTTTCGAAAAACGGGTCGTGACACGATAAAAAACGAGAGATTGTCTGGTTGGTGGAGAGCGCAGACAAGCCACACCCCTTCATCGTCCCAAGCTAGCCGTAAAATTAAGAAGTTATAGCTTGAACCGCAGCGCTACCGCGGCGCCTTGAGCGATCCTGGTTGTAATCAGAAAATGTAAAACGTATCATTTTCTCTCAAATATAGTCCGTTTGCCGCGACTTGATAGTTTTTGCGTGTCTGGGTCTCCCTGTTCTCTCACCGACGAGGTCAGAGAAACATGGAAATAACACGTAAACATGAGAGAGACGTCGAGAGATAGGGAGGGCGCAGAGAAGTGCCGCCCATTCAAGTCGCGGAAAACGGACCATAATAAAAAAAATAAAGCTGCCTTGAACGGAAATTGATGCGCTATATACTACTTTTCCTATTGTCAGAAAAATTTTGGAAGAAAATCGAAAATTTACTCATTTTGTTTGAAATTTAAGGGTTTTTTTTTTCAAGAAAATCTGGAATCTTAAAGCGTCCGGTTCACCTGGTATCATATATGCCTTTCAAAAGCTTGCCAACGAAAATGACAAAGCCAAGGACGGTCAAAGCCTTGAGCCAGAACTGAAATTGTGATATTAAAATAAAGACGGCGATTTTTCCAGTGATGATCAAATGAGCAGAAAAGACGTAGAAATTATGAAAAAAAAATCGGAGGAAAAGGATTTGTCGGAAATTTCCCAGTGATCTGATCTTTGATCTTCAAACTCTGATCTTTAATTCGGACCACTAGTTTTTTTTTTCTACAAAGCTGACCCCGATGGTGCGGCAGGGGAAGACTTCCATCTCGTAGTCGACCTCGTCCAGCTTGATCAGAGGCTCTCGACTTTTTTCATCCGTTGGCGTTTGGGTCGGCGTGAAGGTTCTCGGCAAAACTCCCTCCGTTTCCTGGAGATCGTTGGGCGAGGTGTTCATTCCGCCTGTGGCACGTGTCTCCCTGAAAAGTGGGAGTAGGTCTTTCTCACGCTGACCCGGGATCTCAACGGGTGTGCCCGTGTTGAACCCGTGTTCACTGAAAATTTGAAGTAGGCCTCTCTTATGCCGGGGTCTCAACGGGTGTGCCCGTGTTAACTGAAGCTATTTTAGTCTTATTTGGGTTACAACGGGTGCAAGGCGGGAGTGGGAGTAGGTCTTTCTCACGCTAGCCCGGTGTCTAAACGGGTCGCCCGTAATGAGCCCGTTTTCACTGAAAATTGGAAGTAAAACTCTCTTATGTTGGCCCTAACGGGTGTGCCCGTTTTGAACCCGTGTTCACTGAAACTATTTTAGTCTTATTCGGGCCACAAAGGGTGTAAGGCGGGACAGGTGACCCGGCTGCGTTTAGAAAAGTGGGAGTAGGTCTTTCTCATGCTGGTCCGGTGTCTAAACGGGTGTGCCCGTGTTGAACCCGGGTACACTGAAAATTTGAATAGGCTTCTCTTATGCTGGTCCGGGGTATCAACGGGTGTGCCCGTTTCCAATGAAGCTATTTTAGTCTCGGACTACAACGGGTGCGAGGCGGGGCATGTGACCCGGCTGCCTTCATTTCGAAAATCTGAGACCCAAATGGGGTGAAACGATACCTCAGCCGTGCTGAAAAATGCCGAAAAAAAAAAATCAATAAAGGGTATTGAGGGTTGACCCGGGCTCACACGGGCTCTCAGCGGGCCTGTCCGTAGCGCCCGTGCTAGCCCGGGTTATCCCTCATCACACTTTATCGATTTTTTTTCCCGTAAGCTTTTTATTGAACCGTCTATGGTGCCGTGTTCAAAGTGATCACGCAAACTTCAAAATCATCTCTAAGTCTCCAAAATTCAATTGTCTTTTTCACTCTCTGACGGCTAGATTTTTGGCGAGTCACTACATGGAACGACATTCAGTCAAATCTGACGTCACTTTTAACCAGAAAATTTTCATTTTTTTATTTGAAAGTACTTTAAACGCGACATTGGAACTATACTCTAGTCATCCCTTCTTGAAGCAGTCTGATTTCTCTTATTTCCTTCACTATTTCCTTGTTTCTATGACCTCGCCGGTTAGAGAAAAAAGGTCGCAGACAGGTCAGAAGGAAGGAAATTGGAAAATCTTCTCACCGAGAACTTTGCTGACTTTCTGTACCGTACCCAGTTTCACAATCGTCTAATGATTTCTGAATGATTTATCTAGAAATCAAAAAAAAGATTTATAACTAACAGAAATATTCGATGTGGAATGCATGTCGTGGCGCATTGCATAAGAATAACTGAATTTTCTCGTTTGACGTCGTTTTTTACCAGTTATCTGGATTTAATAAGAGTTTATTGTGAGTGGAACAGCCATTTTACTTGGAAATTCAACTTTCCATAATCTTTCTGCAACGAAAAAAACAAAAATTTATTTCAAGTCCAATCATGTTCGCTTCTCGGAGTGACTTCCGGTTCGTTATTTATTTCTGATTCATGTCTCACTTTTTCCGGGGATTCTATAATTTCGAGATTTTCCAAATTTTCTGCCAGAATTGTTTCCTTGTCTTCTTCATTCTGAAATCAAAAATTGGATCTTGAAATTCTCTTCAAAACCACCTCATCGCCATAGTAGAATGCTAAATATGAAAGTGCGACGATTGACGTGAAAATATAGACAAGAAATCCAGAAAGGACCACTGATATGTAGACTGCAAATTCAAAATTGTGTAAAACTAGTATTTTGAATCAAACTAACTTATTTCGACGTGTGGCTGAACTAAAGAATAATGTGAATCCGATAAAATTGGCTGATCTTCTAACATTTCGGGCTGAAATTCTTTTTTTTTGGTGTTTCTTTTCGTTTTGCATTTTTTTTACAACTGTTTGAGGAAAGTGGTCATTATACACTGATAATAACTAAAACTTCAAAGAAATTTGCAAGGTTTTTTTTTTCGGAATTTTCCACTGAACACGCATGTGAATCTTTGTCGGTGTGTGCACACAAAAACGCATTTTAACGCACGACTTTTTTTCGCAAAAAACCCAAAATTATTTTTTTGTTTTAATTTTTTTAATTTTTTTATATTATTTAGGTCTATTTTAATTGTTTACAGGGATGTTTGAAGTCTTTCATGATCTTGCATCAGAATCGGCTTTTTTTGTTATCAAATAGCGTTAAAAAAATACTTCAAATATCCCGGACAAGATTTTCGGACAGATTTCGACTTTTTTTTCATGTTTATCGTGGTTCAGATTGGATAAAATTTTCATTTTTTTCAATATATTTTGTGATTTAACACATTTTCTTCATATTTTTTTGAAATTTAGTCGCTTTTTCTTATTCGATAACTATTTATTTTCAGGAAAAAAAATCTCTTTTTATTTTTTTCGAATTATAAATACAGATTTTTTTGCAAGCTGAAATATGAAATATAGATTAGAACCAAACCTTAAAACACGCTGATTTACATAGAAAATGACAATTTTTCACGTTTTTTTGCTCTTTTGTGATATTTTTCGCTTCCAATAAATTTATTTATTCGAAAAATCAAGCCCGTGATAACCGATGCATAATAAAGAGGATGGAAATACAGAATAACGGATCAAAAAATGTCCAAAAAACAATTAGGGAAAGAAGTGGAGCGCCCAGTTTTTTTCTGAAAGGAATGAAATTATTGGAAATTAAAAAACTTACGGTTATAATCTTTTTGTAAAATGAATACCATAGGTCGACAACGTGTAGGAAAGTCACTACGACGAGAATGAAAAGCTGAAAGTTTTATTTATTTTTTCAAAAATTGATGAAAAACCTGAATTTTGACAAGAGAGCCGAAAAATCTTGGAACTCTGTTGAAATATCCTAACAAGAGGACCATAAGTTCACAGAACTGAAATTTGAATCATTTTTTAAAATTTTAAAGTGCCTTTAAACATAATTTTTTTGAAAAATTAATTTACCATCACTAAAATGAAGACTTCCACATGCTTCCATTTCCCTTTGAAACTTCTGAATTTTTCATAATTTGTACCTTTTTCGCAGTATTTCAAGACTCACTCCAGAAGTCCATATGAATAATGCTTTATCACAGCTATAAAAACGCCAGTGAAGAAAAAAATAAGCAGCCAACACTGAAAAGTCATGGATTAATAAAAAATCAGTGGAAAGAAGTTTTCTTTTTTTCAAAATGGATTTTTTAAAAATTTTCTTTCTGAAAATGGAAAGTTTCAATACATCTACCGTAATATATTTAATCGTTTTACAATTTCCAATTAAGGTTTCAGTAAAAAATAAAATTCAGAACTTTTAAAAGTTGACAGCGCCCAACATAAATTTTAAATGATCTGGGAAAATGTTTAGCGGCCGCTATAGAGGCTCGCCAAGGACTACTTGGAGAGGACACTAAAGTGGCCACTAAACCCGCCTCTATAGTGACCACTATTTTCCGTTTGAGTGGCCACCGAGGTTCTCTATTTAGGGACCACTAAAGTAGTTTTTCATCCAGTATTTCTTCCAGTATCTCTGATAACTTTAAAAAAAACAGATTGGACCAGTTATGTTGATCCATTGACCCCTAAAGTGGCCACTAAAAATTTTTTTAGTGGTCTAGGAGGGAGCACTTAGACCTCTATAGTGGCCACTAATTTGACTGCTATAGTGTCCACTAAACGTCAAAACCCTATAGTGGCCACTAAAATTTTTCGCAGGAGGTTCTGATTAAAAGATAATAAATTGGCAGCGCATAAAATGAATTTTTTTTTACCTTTTCGGGAATATAATTTGAACAAAATCCTATCAAAAAATCTCGATAAAATCGCTCAGTTTCCTATTTATAGCTTTTTCTCGAAATTTGGAAGTTATTTTTTTTGCTGATGTAATCTCAAAAAATCAAATCATTTTACATCTCACCTTTGCTCTAATATGTAAGAATTTGACTTCATCGCTGTTATCGGCATCTGGCTCGAAGAAAAATATCGTCCTTGCCGGCCTCGAAAACGAAAACCCAAGAAGCTAAAAAAATATTATCAAAAAAAAAATCATTTTCAAACCCATTCTTCATGCGATTCGGTACTGCAGTAACAAGGCTTAAAATAATTTCATTCTTTTTGAAATTTCATAAAATAAAACCTTTTTTTGCCTCCCTCTCTACTCGGTATCACGTTCTTGTCGGCATTGCTGAATGGATGTCACACATTTTTTAATTTCAAGGGCTTAAAAAACTTGTTTTCCGGATTGGGTGATGGTCCTTGTTGGCTTATATGAGTCGGGGTTGGAGGTACCTTTGAGATTTGAAAATTAAAACGATTTTTTTCATGTTACTTGCCGTTGATTGTCGGCAAATCGTTTTTAGGAATTTTTCGAGTTACTGTAGGAAAAATTGTGTATTCCCTTGTGTTTGCGGACAATACTCATCAGGGAATAGTTTACGCCTATTTTTGAAAACTTTTCCAAATTTAACATAGTTTTGTTTCATTTTGTTAATTTTTTATTGATTTGAAGATTTACTGAATCTTTAGACGAGGTAGGCGTTGGTAGAGGCATCATTTTTGAACTAGAAATGAAGTTTTTTTTTATTTTTTCTATACGTAATTCATTTCGATTTGACGTTTTTTTCATATATATATAATGTAATTTTTTTATCTTTCAGGTGCCTTTGCTTCTCGATAATTTTGAAGGCGTTTTTCTGAAATAATGGTAATTTTTTTATATTATTCACCAAAAAAAATTTCTGATACTTTTCAAAGTTGAAAAGTGGCGTTCTAAGCGAAATCGTTGGAACAAAAAAACACTCACACAGCCCGTAGTGCAATTACCCGAAAAATTTCGCTGTTTGGCTACTAGTTTTGGATGGCCTTTTTCTCTGGATGAAACTTTTTTCCGTTCATGGTTTTATTACACTCTAATTGAAGTTTAGTATAACTTTAGTAAATTTAATATAGTTCGAATATTCTTAAATTTAGGGGTGAAAATTTCATGACTGATTGATATTCTAGTAATCCCTTTTCCTAAGGAAAAAAATAATTTCAGAGAAATTTATTTCAGAAGATTTTATATTGGAACTTCAAATTTAATACTTTTCAAAGATTTTGCAAGCTTTCTCGCTTTTAAAAATGTTTAAAAATGAAGCTCTTTCCTTTTTTGTTTCAATTTTAAAGCGGATCCTTCAATAAAAATCGGAAGATTAGAACTTTTTGAAAGGCTTCCATTTCCTATAGCCAAAGCCTTTACAAGGGAGGAAATTTTTCTTTTTCCTGAAAAATTTCTTTGAATGGGCCAGAGTACGCCTTGATATATCAAAAGAAGATAAAAATTTCAACTTGAAAATGTCTCCTTTTAAAGAAAAAAGGGTTTGTAATTTCAGAATACACTGTTCAACAGTTCTTCAATGACCCTGATGGGCCATTTTTTCAGGAAAAAAAAAACAGAAATCGGGAATTTTCTAACTTTTTTTCGTCCAAAAGCTCAAAAAACCGGATTTTTCTTCTTTTTTCTGTGTACTTGAGTACTGTTCCAACCAAAATAAATTCCAAAACGGTTCATTTTGCGGATTTTCAGTTGGTTTTTTCGATTTTTTCTCCGAAAACTGAGAAATCGAAAATATTTAGCCGTTTCTGGTATATAATAAGTGTCGAATTCTTCAAAATGTCATATACTGATCGAAATTATCTCCATTTTCGAAGTCTTATAAGAACTTTAAAACAAAAAAAACCCAAATTTTTTTTTTGCTGTGTACTTGAATACTGTCGCCGCAATTCCAAGCACAATAATTTTTTTAAATTTCGCTTACAAGGGAGGTCATCTTACTTTGCTGTTGGAATTCTTCCGGATTCGGCCAAAATGCTCCTGGATTTACCAGAAGACGGTTCTGAAAGTATCAACCTGCACAACTTCCTAGTTTCTGAAAAAAATACACTTGAACGTCAAAGAAACCTTCAAAATTCATCAAAACAGGCTATTTCTGATTTGATACCTTATTTCTCGAAAACCAGGAAGTCGTACAGGTTGAGACTTTCAGAATCTTTTTCTGGCACTTCAAGAAGTATTCTGGCCATTTTTCAGAAAATTCCGACCTCCCCTGTGAGTTCTGTCGCCGCACTTTCCAAGCAAATTAGTCCGATTTCCCCTGGCGACATTCGCGGATGCCACGGAAGAAAGGAAGAAAAACTCGATCCCCCCCAAGCCATCCATATATTTTTTCGGCGAAGCACTTGAATGATTATATTCTGGCCGCTAATCTCTTTTTCGGCCCACCGAAATCACGTTTTTCCTCCCCCCCTTTTTTGATCATTTGAGGCCACGCCTTTAAGCATTTTTGTCGGTTTTATCGTAAAGAGGGCAATTTTTAGTAGATTTTATCGATTCGTGATTAATTTTGATAGGTTTTTAGTGCTTTTTGGAAGATTTTGGGTCGAATTTCGGAGCTTGAATTTTTTTTTTTCTGAATGACCTTTTCATTGAGTATGATCCCCCCTTTTTGATCATTTGAGGCCACGCCTTCAAGAAATTTTTGTCGTAAAGCGTGCAATTTTTTGTAGATTTTATTGATTTGTCATCGATTTTTATGGGTTTTTAGTGTTTTTTGGAAGGTTTTGGGTCGAGTTTCGGAGCTTGACTTTTTTTTTGCTTTTGGGTCGGATTTCGAAGGTTTTGAGACTTTTTTTTGAAGGTTCACAAACTTTCCCATTGGGTGTTCCCCCTGACCATTTGAGGCCACGCCTTCAAGAAATTTTTGTCGGTATTATCGTAAAGAGGGCATTTTTTAGTAGATTTTATCGATTTTTGATTAATTTTGATAGGTTTTTAGTGTTTCTTGGAAGGTTTTGGGTTGGATTTCGGAGCTTAAATTTTATGAAAGATTACGGACCTTCCCTGAAATTGTTCAGAAAAAAATTTTTTTACGTCCGGTTTTTTCTCCTTTCTGTACGAATATTCAACTGTATGAACTTCGATGGAGTCCTCTAGGAATTTTTTCTTCTTTTCTCACTTTTTTTTCAAATTTTGAGAAGTTTCTCTTGGAAAATGTGACCTTATCCTTCAAAAAAAAGGTTTTCTTTAATATTTAATTTCTATTTTTCATTTTTCTAACGCTCAAAAATTAAATTCCACAACAAACGTAGTCTTCGAAGTGTATGGATTTAATTGATGCTGAGAAAAAAATAAAAGCTTTTAGAAATTTGTGTTTTTCGACACTTTTTTTCTGGTTGATTTCAGTGGTTTTTCAAAAGAAAATATTATTTTATGATATTTTTTTATATTCTTTCTATCCAATTTTGACCCGTTTCCTGCCGCCGGTGACGACTTTATCATCATTAGATGGCGCGAAAAAGAAAAAAAAAAGATGAAAACCCGATTGATACCGCCCAAGTTCCACTCCCATTGCGTCGAATTTTTCGCGCATCTAGAAAATTTGAGAATTTATTGATTTTTAGAGTTTTTGTGGATTGACTACTTTTTAGTTGATTTTTGAATCAGAATTTTCGTGTTTTAAGATTTTTTTATTGATCGAAAGAAGTATTATTTTTGAAGTTAACTTACTTCAAAAAAATGCATAGTGATCCCTATAGGGGCGACTGAAGCTTGCAAAACTGGCCCCTATAGGGATTTTTAGTTAGTGTCCACTCTAGGGGATATGCCAATCGTTTATTTTTGTTAACTCCATGAGAAGAAGTTTTTTTTCAATCTTTCAATTCCAATATTTGAATTTAAAAAAAATGAAATTACCCCTATAGGGGCTTTTTCTCCTAACCCCTATAAGGACCACTCTGGCGTCCTTGAGTGAAAATGAATTTTTAATCTTTAAAAAAGTTGTTTCGAAGCTAATTTTCTGGTAGGAGTTTCAAATTTCTGTTCTTTTTATCTAAAAAGTCACATAGCGAAGAAAAATATTTTTTTTAAAGTTTTCAGTTTTGAAATTTTAAATTTTAGGGGTCTTTTTGGTGTACATTTTTCATGTGAAGGCTCAGATTTTAGGCTTGAAAATTATTTTTAAGTTTTTAAAACGAGTTGAAGCTTCGAAAATCGACTTTTTTTTGTGGCTCCTTTTTTTTTCGCTTTAAACATGTGATTTTGAAAGTAATTTTTCAAAAAATCGCTTTGAATAATCCAGAATCTTTTCGATTTTTCAAAATATGTTCATGATTCCTCCAAAAATCTCCTTTATTACACAAGTTCAAGATGATTTCCTTGTACAAACTCACTGCAAATTCGTCAAACGCCCCAATTTTTGCAAAAGGAAAAAAAAAGAAGAGGTCCCTCCCCAGTTAAGTGCCTCTAAACCACACACGGCGGCTAACGACCTTGACTTAGCTCTTTCTGAATGTTTCTACTAAAATCTTTTTCCATTTGAAATGGATTTTGGACAGAGAAAAAATGGCGACCTTCGTGTCTTCGTGTTCTTTGGATTCAGTTTTTGATTTGGTCTCGGGGGGGGCGTTTTTTTGGGACGAGGCTCCGTTAATACGCTGTAAAAAGGCTATTTTTGAAGATTTTTCACTAGAAAGGTCCTTTTTAAGTTAATATGGGTTGACTTTTTCGAAAAAAAAATTTATTTTGGTTTTCTAACTTTAATATGCCTGATTTTCAATGGATTTTGGGGACGAGGCTCCGTTGATACGATATAAAATGGCTATTTTTGTAGATTTTTCACTAGGAGGGTGTGTTTCCAAGTTGTTATCGGTTGATTTTTCGAAAAAAAAATTTAATAGGGTCCTCTAATTTTTATTTGCCTAATTTTCAATGGATTTTGGGGACGAGGCTCCGTTAATACGCTGTAAAAAGGCTATTTTTGAAGATTTTTCACTAGAAAGGTCCTTTTTAAGTTAATATGGGTTGACTTTTTCGAAAAAAAAATTTAATAGGGTCCTCTAATTTTTTTATTTGCCTAATTTTCAATGGATTTTTGGGGACGAGGCTCCGTTAAAAACCCTGTAAAAAGGCTATTTTTGAAGATTTTTCACTAGAAAGGTCCTTTTTAAGTTAATATGGGTTGACTTTTTCGAAAAATTTATTTTGGTTTTCTAACTTCAATTTACCTAATTTTCAATGGATTTTTGGGACGAGGCTCCGTTAATACGCTGTAAAAAGGCTATTTTTAAAAGATTTTTCCCCTAGAGGGGTCCGTTTTCAAGTTGTTATAGGTTGATTTTCCGAAAAAAATATTTTTATTTCATTTCAAATCGGCCTAATTTACGAAAAGTCTCCGTTAGGGCGCTTGTAAAAAGTTGATTTTTTTATCGATTTTCAGAAGGGAAATTTCAGAAATTGAATTTTAAAAAAAGCCATCTTAAATTTTTTTGAATTTTTTTGTTTTAAAAAGGTGGTTTTTTTCTAATCAGCCGTTTTTCTAAGAGGCACCTTAAGGTATCTGTAAAAAAAGTATTTTTCAATTTAAGGGTTCAAAGCAGTTTGATTAGTTGGAAAAAAAGTAATTTTCTACTGAAAATTGCAAATTTTGATCTGAAAAATTGATCTTATTGTCGATTTTGAAACCAAAAAAGCGCTTTTTTCCAAATAATCATAAAAGAGGCTTTTTTGAATTTTTTCTGTACTTCAGGCTCTTCAACAGAACTATTTTCCTCTTCCAAAATAAAAAAAAAAACTCTCGAAATCATTTCCAAAGTTTGACCTTCGTTCCTGTGAAAATCAGCTCTTTTTTCTGTACCAGACTGCGTTCCGACGCTGTAAAAAAAAACCTCTTATTCTTGAAAACCAGTTCAAAATTTAATCTACAACAATCTGTCTTTTCTCACACCTTTACTCCTCATTCGATGACCGTTCTGCACTCTCGTTGGAGCGCCAAAAACCTGATTTTTCACGCAAATTACCTACCTTTTCTAATTTTTTTTTTCGTTCCTTTTTTGGTTTTCAAGGGCCTGAACAAATTGGGGAAAGTACGAGTTTTTAGTTTGGCTGCTGGAGGTTTTTTTAACGTGAGAAAAAATAGCCTTGAACTTTTGGGGTTTTCGCGCTCCACGGATAATTTGTCGAAAAAGTCAATTTTATCATATTATTCGAACCTTGCAAGAGTATAATCGTATTGTGGTTGATTCACAGCTCTATTTGGGACAAAATAATAATTTCTCAGTGGAGCGCATTTGCTTTTTAGTGTTTTAAAATTTGGCGGCTATTTTTTCTCATCTTTTTTTCCCATATATTTATATTTTTTTTGGCGTTATATCCTGCTGGAAGAAGTCAATAAGAATCTTCCATGAATAAAAAAATAAATTTTATATATAATTTTTCCATTCGAGCTTCTTTTTCCAGTCAAAATTAACAGCAAAATATTTTATATATTTCCTAGGACCTTTTTTTCCACAGCCAAAAATAAAAAAAGAGTAATCCAAGCCTTTCTTTTTCCGTTCCACCAGATCCCCCTTCTCCCCCCCCCCTCAACTTTATTAAGGTTAAGCCCAACGCGTTTTTTGTTTCCCTTCAATATAAACTTTCGCCCCCCTTCACAAGATTGAGGCCGGTTATCGGATTAGGAACGTTTTAGAGGTTATTTGGTGGTGCCGTCGAGGAACAGAAGGCTTTGGCCTCCCCCCCCTCCAACGTCGGTTTTATAAGTCCATTTCACCTTCACCACTTTCACTGTTTTCTCCTCTCCTCCCTTGAAACGTCATGGCTGTGCCCGTCTGAAAAGTGCACGGTTTTCTCCTCGCTTTTTATGTAAATTTCTTGGCGAATGTTTGCAAGGAGAAGGAATTTTCGGGCTTGATAGAAGATAGTTTTATTTGACTTTTAATCATCGTTTATATCTTGAAGCTTAATTTACCATTCTCCATATATAAGTTTTGGCGTTTGCAAGGAGATTGATCTTTTCTGATGCTTTTTTTGGCTTCTCGGGCATTGTTAACGCGAAACGGAAGTGCTCCGGACGTTTCTGCCCAATTCTAGGGATCACTAAAGAGGTCTGGAGCTGCTACAGTGGTCACTAGAAATGCCCCGACACGTCCGATTCGCGTCCCGTTCGCGTTACCAAGGCCCGAGTTGAAAGACGTTATTCTAACAGAGTATAGACGGTTTTTATCAAATGTGCTCCATTGATAAACTAGTCGATTTTTTCCAGTTTTTTTTTTTTCGCTGATTTTAAACTTCGATTTCACCTTGTAGAAGGGCTTGATTTTTTCCTCTCTTTTCATGTAAATTTTGGCGAAATTTTGCAAGAAGGCTTGAAAGGGTAGTTTCATTGAAAATGGGCGATTTATATCAAATGTGCTCCATTGATAAATAATATTTTTTTCTACATATTTAATATTTTTGCTTATTTTTCATCATGCTTTGATCTTGTATAAAAGTTTTAATTAATCCTTTTTAGTATAAATTTTGGCGAAAGGTTGCAAGGAAAAAGCTTGAAAAAAAGAATAGTTTGAATGGTGAGAATAGATAATTTGTGTCAAATGTGCTCCATTGATAGACGATTTGATTTTTTTTTTCTAAGTTTTCTATTTTTCTTAATTTTTTTCATCGCTTTTGTCTTATAAAAGTTCACAGTTTTATTATCTCTTTTTGTGTATTTTGCCGAAAGTTTTAAATAATAAGAACCTTTTTATGGCTTGTAAAAAGATAGCTCCACTGTGAAAAGACATTTCTCATCAAATGTGCTCCATTGATAGACGATTTGTTTTTTTTTTGCTAAATTTTTTATTTTCTCGATTTTTTTCAGTTTTTTAGAGTGCACAGTTTTCTCTTTCTTATCAATTCTGGCAAGGTTTTTTAAAGTTTTTTTATCCCTAAAATTTAGCCAAAAGTAGCTCAAAACAAGTTCGCTCCATTGATAAATCTACTGATTATTTTTTGCTTTTTTTTGATGCCTTGTGTAAGTTTGCTGAATCTTACGAGAAAGGGGGCCCTTTTCGTCTTGATCTTTTCAGATTTTCAAAAATTCAAAACAGTAAGAAACTCAAAAGATGTGGTTCAAATTTCAAATCCTCCTCAAGAAACCCCATTTTCAAGAATTTTCTCGAAACTTTTTGCTCTCCCCTTGTTTATTTCATTTTTTCTGACCACATGAGAAGAAGAAAAACCAGTTTTCGAGCTGAAAACGAACGAGAAATTGACGCAATTCGATTTTACTTGAAAAGGAATTTATTTGATGCGATCGATGATCGGCCCGCGGAATCATGCGTTATCGAGACGTCGTTTCCTGTTTTTTTCCTTCTTCTTCTTTTTTATAGTTATAATACATTCTCAAGTTGAAAGCTGGGATAATGAAAGGAACCTTTACGGGGCCTTTGAGCGTCCGTTTTGGATCCGAAAGTTTCCATTAATTGTTCCATTAATTGGTGGCAAAGGTTTCCTTTCGCCGTCCTTTCATCGGCCTTCTTACACCTTTTTTGGACCCTTTTTTAGAATCACAATAATCTTTACCAGTTACTGTGTAAGAATTAAAATGTGCTACAGTAATACAATCAGAAATGATTAATTTTTGAGATTTTTTCACCCTTTTTGAAGCTTTTAAGTCCTCCATACATGGGATAGTCTCGGTGGAACCTGAAAAAAATGGGGGGAGGGGGATTTGGAAAAAAACGAGAAGGGGGGGACTTGGCTGTCGCCAGTCATGCTCATCCCATGTATGTAGCCCACCAAGAAAGAAAGGCTCCATAAAGGCCGCAGAACGGAACCCTTTTTGCACCCTCACTCTTTCTTCACCCTGTTTGCGGCCTTTTTTCACCCTTTTTGAGGCTTTTTAGCCCAATATACATGATAGTCTCGGTGGGACCTGAAAAAGGGGGGGATTTGACAAAAAAACGGGTAAAGGGGGGACTTGGCTGTCGCCAGTCATGCTCATCCCATGTATGTAGCCCACCAAGAAAGAAAGGCTCAATAAAAGCCGCAAAACAGAACCCTTTTAGCGGCCATTTTGAAACCGTTTTCCGCACTTCCAACTTTGAATATAACATTTTTCAGCATGAGATGTTCGATTCCGACGCTTGACGCCAAGTTGGAAAAGGCCTTCGCCTGGTACACACGACATCTTCTCGTTGATTATTATGCGGTAAATTTTGAATTTGATGTAGGAGCACCAGATTGGTCTTCAAAGGGCCCCTTGAAGGTTCCCCTATAGGGGCTCTAAAGCTTGCAAACCATGACCACTCTAGGGGTTTTAGCTAGTAGCCGCTTGAGGGAAGCATGATAGTGATACCTATACGTCTTTTTACTTAAGAACTCCAGAGTGGTCCCTATAGGGGTAGCTTTATTTGTAACGTGATCCCTTTAACTGAGGTTTAAGCGATCAAGTGTATCTTTTTGACTCTTAAATAGGTCACAAAATCAAAAGAACCCTATAGGGACCAATTTTTTGCCCCTGAAGGGCCTGTTCTTTTCTCTAACCTCTCTGGGGATCACTCGAACTTTAGGGGGGCAAAACTTGAACCCCTATAGAGGCCAACTAAAAATAACCCCTGTAGGGACCACTTTTTTGTCTTTTATATGGGCTGTTTCTCCCGTAACCTCTATAGGGACCACTCTGAAGCTCCTAAGTTTCTCAAAAATCATAAAAAAAGAATCAAGAGACCCCTATAGGGACCACTCATGTTTCAGGGGCTCATGGGAGGCATCTCAAACACTTATAGAGACCTCCCTTTTGTCCCTCATAAGGACTTGTTTCCGCAACCCCTCTAGTGACCACTCTGCCGTTTCTAATTAGAATGGCTTGAGGATGCGTTGAGGTTTTAGTTAGAAGCTGAGCGTTGAAAGGGTCTAGCGCAAGTCGTTTTTGGTCGGGATGAATGATAACCGATTTTCTGAAGTTATTCGTTTAGTTCAACTTTTATAGGTGTTGCAACGACTCGAAAGTGTTCATTTTCGTTTTTTTTCTGTTCCCAGTGATTCTAAAGCTAGGAATGTAGTTGGTACATAATTTTTAGACTTCAATTTTGGTATCGCACTTGAGACTAGAATTATATTATTATATAGTATGAATTATGGATTTTCGGCCGCATGTAGAATGGTTCAACACGTTGCGGTCGCACTGAGGTTTTAGTGCCTCATTTTTTACGAATCAAAAGCGTTTTTCGAGGTTAATAGTCGTTTTTTAAAGGTTTCGAACTCATTATAGACTTCTAAGCATCTCAGAAAAGATAATTGACCGATTTTTCATTTCCTAAACCTTCTGAAAATTCAGATTTTGAAGAAAAAAGCCGTTTTTTTCAGATTTTCCTTATCGGTCCATTGATCCTGACGGGTATTTGCGGATTTGGGTTCCGATGGGTGAATGAATTGACCCTTCTGGATGCCAGGAAGCTTTATACTCCCAGTTAGTGCCCCTTCCTGGCAAGAGGAACGCGTTTTCAGTGAGGTATTCTGAAGAAAATGACGGAAAAAATGAGTTTTTTCCAGCTCTGGCCGGTGAGATCCGACGAATTCCTCCCGGAAAGGACGTTTCAATGGAATCGATACCTGTATTTGGTGGTCCATGGACGGCCTTTTGAGAATGATACCTACCCGAATTTGTTGGAAGGTCTTGGAAAGAACCGAAAAAAATCAGTTGGTCGCATTTGGAAAGGCTCAGAGCCGTTATTTTGGATGAGGTTGACAGAAAGTCGCTCAAGGTCGGGCGCAGCTGTAGATTCATCTTTTGTCGGAAAAGCGCGACCGCGACGCGTCAAGCCATTCCAAGTGCGACCAGAAAAAGAAAAAATAGAACTTGAAGCAATGATTTCAGTTTCCAGGCACCTATCTCGACGATATTGCCAAAATTGAAAACGAAATGGCGACCGAAGTGAAATTCAAGCCAGAAATTTTCTCCAAATTGAAATTTCCCAATGAAACGGAGCTCTTGGGAGCTTCTGATAGCGAAAATCTCAATGATACCTTGACTTTCCAGGTATTTTTCACCTTATTAAGGTAATTAATTAAGATAATTTCAGGATGTATGTATGAACTGGTACGGGGACTGTTATCGGGAGAAAAATGTCATCGAAATGCTCAAAAGACGGCATGAACTCGACGCCAGGTGGGTTGTTGGTTCGAGTCCTGTCGAGGGATTTTTTGTCATTTTTTAAAGATTTTTAAAGAGTTTTTTTTTTGGACGTTCTTCAACTTTTTTTGTATTATTAGTTCGAAAACCATTCAGAATAAAAAAATATTTCTCAAAATTCGACGACAGGAGGGTCCTTGGTTCGAGTCCTCTCGAGGGATTTTAGATTTTTGCCATTTCCGGAAGATGTTTTCAATTGATTTCTTCACACGTTGCTCAATTTATTTAGTGGTTTCAGTTCGAAAAATCTTAAAAAAATCGAAAAGTTTCTCACGAAATCGACGCCATTGGGCTTGCTGGTTCGAGTCCTGGCGAGGAATTCTAGATTTTTGTCTTTATTTAATGATGCTTGGAAGTGATATTTTTGAACGTTGATTTTTTGTAACGTCACCTTGATTTTCTAAAATAAGGAAGTTTCCTGAAAATCGACGCCATTTGGGTTGTTGGTTCGAGTCTTGTCCAGGGATTCTTGATTTTTGCCATTTTTAAAATGGTTTCATTGCACATTTTTCACGTTTTTTTTTGTAATACTAGTTCAAAAAAACATTTTTTTAAAAAAAGTTTATTTTTGAAAATTCGACGCTAGTTAGGTTTTTTTGGTTCGAGTCCTGTCCAGGAATTTTCGATTTTTGCCATTTTTTGAATGCCTTTTTCAAAAAATGGCAAAAATTTAAAAATGTTTTCTTCGAACCTCATGCAGTTTTTTTTTCATTTTGTTAGACTTTTGCGACCTTTTCAAGTGTTTTCTTTGCTTTTTCATATTTTTTTGTATTTTTTTACACTGGAATCCTCAAAAAAACTATGTGATATTCAAAAAACTCGACGCTCGGTGGGTTGTTGGTTCGAGTCCTGTAGAGGGGTTCCGGATTTTTGCCATTTTTGAGGAGAGTTTCTAGTGGTTTTTTGTACTATTATCATCATTTAGAACATTTTTTTTTTGTTAAAGTTCTTTCTAATTGGCTGAAAACCGTGACAATTCCTAAGTTTTATCGTTTTCCAGAGGAATCGCCGTCACTTTTCCCCAAGTAAATCAGCAAGGAACGCCGATTTACATTGCCTTTGTGATTGGCGGCGTCGATACCTTCCCAAATGACACCATCAAAGTACAGTAACCTCGGCTACCGTAATATTTTCATATCTACAGTACGCCCGAGCGATGAGACTCTGGTATTTTCTGAGATTTGATACGCCGGAGGAGGATCATTTGGCCAAGCAGTGGGAAGATGCTGCCGAGAAGTTTGTCACGACCGAATATGCGAATCATCCGACTATTCAGGTTAGCTGAGTGTGACTAGTTATTGCTCATGTTAGAGAAAATCGGAAGCTTTCTGTTAACCTCACTTTTGAGGATACTTTCTTCAGGATTTTTATAAATTTTTGAGAATTAGGACATGTACTCAAGTAAAAAATTAGCTTGAAATGACAGTTTATTGCTCATGTTATAGAATTTTGAAAAATTTGTCAGTTTTATGTTAGCCTTATCTTTCAAGATATTTTCTGGAATTTAATAAGTTTTTTGGAAGTTATGGCATATACCCCGGTCTGTGACTATCCACGTCAAGATTAGCTGAGAATGACAATTTATTGCTCATGGTAGATAATTTTAAACATTTTCTGAAGCTCTCTGTTAGCCCTATTTTTGAAGATATTTTTTTGGAATTTTATAAATTTTGGAAGTTATGGCATATACTCCGGTCTTTGATTATACAGGTCAATATTAACTGAGGATGACTGATTATTGCTCATGTTAGGGGAACTTGAATATTTTGACTGTCAAATTTTCTGTTAGCCCTATTTTTGAAAATACTTTTTCGGGGATTTTCAAAGTTTTTGGAAGTTACGCATACACTCCGGTTTGTGACTATTCAGGAAAATATTAGCTGCGGATGACTGATTATTGCTCAGATTAGAGAAGCTTGAAATTTTTGACTGTGTACTGTGACTAATCAGGTCAAGATTAGCTGAGGATGACTAATTATTGCTCATATTAAAGGAACCCGGTGTTTTCGTCTATTTTTGTGAGCCATCCCCTCCTTCTGGGCAAGTTCAATTCTTTACTCCCTCATGTATTTTTTGAGAAAAGAAATAAGAGAAGATCGAAAAGTATTCCGAATCTTCAGTGTCACATCAAGCACTCGCGGATCCTGGACCAAGGCCTGACCAGAAACGCAAATCGCCTCAAACCGTATTTCAACGTAACAATCGCCGTTCTGGTCATGTTCACGGCGTTTTACTCCGTCAAATGGTACTTCCATACCAGGGATGGAGAGTGGACCGGTTCGTGGAATTCCAGCATTTTTTTGGTCAAGAAAAACGAAAATAGCATCAGTTCAATGGCACTATGGCTAATAATTAGTCTGCGAGAAAAAAAAAAGATAGGAATTTATATTTTATAATTTTAGAAGACGAATCTAATTATCTTTTTTTCCTTGTGTTAATCGTCAATTTTTTTCTCATGGAAACGATATTTTTTTTGCTTGCTTTATCATTAAGTAATTTTTGATTCATATAAAAATCTTTAGAACCTTCAAAACTTCAAATATTTTAGTTCACCTTGAAGCCAATATTCATTTTTTCAACGTAGTTAGACCGTGAAAAAGTGGAATTTTCAATTTTCATCATCAAATGGCGGACAAATTCAATATTTGATCATTTTCCTTGTGTTCATCGTTAAATAGGGTGACCTTAAACCGGTTCTAATTTATTTATTCTTTTCACCTTGTGGATGAATAAATTATTATTATTCCAAATTGTCTCCTGGAAGCGACTTTTTTGAACTTGATTTTTTAAAATTAAGCCTTGATTTGTATAAAATTTGTTAAGAGCTTCAAAACTTCAAATATTTCGGCCCATCCCGAAGCTAATAGTTTTTCAACTTAGTTGTGCTCTGAAAAATTAAAATTTTCAATTTTTATCGTCAAAGGTCGCAGAAATTTTATATTTGGTCATTTTCTTAGTGTTTATCGTCAAACTTTCTCTTGGAGACGACTTTTTTGAGCTGTATTTATCATTAATGAACTATTTGATTTTCCAAAAAAATTCTTTAGAAGCTTCAAATATTCGAAATTATCTGACCTTTGTTTTTTTTTCAAACCCTTGAATCTTTGAAAATTTCAGTCCACATTGATTGGCTTCGATCCAAACCGATGTTAGCCTTGGGCGGAGTTCTTTCGTCGGTGCTAGCTATAATTAGGTTGGTTTAATGCTCTAAAAATTTCATGATCCAAACATTTTCCAGTGGGATCGGCTTGATGCTGTGGTTCGGCATGTTCTTCGCAGAAATCACTCTGATCGCTCCATTTTTGGTTCTTTGTGAGTAGATTTTTGGTAACTTTGATTATTTTTTTTGATTTTTAGCGATTGGTGTGGACGACATGTTCATTGCGGTCGCTGCCTGGCACAATACGGAGATGAAATTTCCGGGTTTGTTTTAGTTTTTATTTCAAAGAGAGTATAAAAGAAGGTCCGAATTTTTTGGAAATCGGCCAAAAAACTTTTTGGTGTATTAGGTTTATCTTCTCAAAAATAAAACTAACAGAACTTCCTAGTTTTAGAGAGAAATCGCTTTAAAGACTGGTATTTTTTTCACCGAGTTCTTAGTGAATTTTGAAGTTTCGAGTAAGGTAGTCAATAAAGTTTCCTATTTTACCAGAAAGATTATCTAAAATCTTGGGAGAAAATTGAGTTTTTCAGAGTATCTAATTCTTCAAAGACTCTTTGGCCCACTGCCAAAAAATCTCAACTTACAAAACTTCCTAGTTTGCGAGAAAAATAGCTCCAAGGCTCTAATTTCATACAGAATGTTTAAAAATGCAAGTTTTGAGGTATCGGTTTTTGAAAATCATGAAGTTTTGACATTGGGGATTTTTCGGTGAGTTTTTAGTAAATCATGAAGTTTTTACCTTTCGTGTAAGGTAGTCAATAATTTTTTTCCTACTTTTCCAGAAAGATCTTATAAAAATCTTGGGAGAAAAATTGAGATTTTCAGAGCTTCCAATGCATAAAAAAACTTTTCGGCCAACAAAAAAATTGAATTTTTTTGAATAATACTATATTTCTCTCTGTTTGGTTAGAAACTCAGGATTTCCAGGAAGATTTCAGGAAATGTTGTGAGAAAAATTAGGACTTTCAATGCGCCCAATGCATCAAAAACTGGTCGCCCCAGAAAGTTTAATAATTTCTTAGGAAATTATAAATCTTTGGAATTATATCTCTAGGTTGGACATGAAAAAAACTATTTATTTTTTGAGAAAGTTCTGAAAAATCGTGTGCATAAGAGACTGTTGGCCGAGTGCTAGAGAATTGTAAATTTTTGAATAAAATTATGTCTTTTTTTGGTTTGGTTAGGAGCTCAGAAAAACTTTCTCGTTTTGCAGGAAAATTTCAGAAAAAGATGTAAGAAAATTTTGAATTTTCAAAGCATCCAATGCATCAAAAACTTATTGGCCAAGCGCCAGAAAGTTCTGAATTTTTCGAGTAAAATACTATCTCTTTGTTAGGTTAAGAAGGTGTTAATATTTTTCCAGGAAAGTCTCAATAAATCGTGGAAAAAAAGACTTTCAGAAACCTAATGCAGCAGAGACATTATATGATTTTAATAAAACTATTTCTTTTTTTTTAAAGGAAAGTAAAAATATTACCTCATCCTCCACTCTGAAAATAAAAGTTTGGAACACAAAAATATCCCCTCATTTTCCAGGAAGGTCCCACAAAATCTTGAAAGAACGAATGGTCGAGGCAATGTCCGAGTCGGCTGTCGCCATTTTCATCACTTCTTTCACGGATGTTCGTTTTTATTCTGTCATAATAGCCATGGTATTTACTTTAAGGTGCTCTCATTTGGGGTCGGAACGATCACGGATATCATCGCTGTCCAAGGGTTCTGTGCCATGACCGCCTCTTGCATGTTTTTCATGTTCATTTATCAGGTTTTTCTTTGGTTTCGATGTTTTATGTGTTGGAATTGAATAGGAGTTTAGCCACGTTTTGTCAGATATTTTAGAAAAAAAAATTTGAAGATGAGTGATTTTTTTTCGGAGTTTTTGCATGAGAAGGTTGAAAAGTTTTGAATTTGAGAAGGAAAAATTTGAGTTTATTGACTCAAAAATTTGTAAAGTATGTTTAAAATTGAGCTCTTTACTACTATTTTACTTAAGGTGCACTAAAAAGCAAAAGAAAAATCAGAAAAACCAGAAAATTAATTTCTAAATCGGACCTTTTCTAGCCTTTATTATGAGGAACATTGAAGGTCCTAGCTATTTTTAAAAAATATTTTTCAAAAAAATTGCTGTTTTTTTGAAAAAAATTGATTGTAATGGGAACCTACACATTCAACTTTGCTACAAGAAAAATTTGATATAATTCAAAAAAAGATTTTAAGGTCACTTTCTTCGCTTCATTGATGGTGATTTCGGCAAAGGCTCAAATGGGCGGAAGGAACTCCTGTTTGCCGTGTTTGAAGGTGATTTTATTAGAGAATGGGGATGAATTTGGTTATAAGATATTCAAAATTTTGTCTGGAGACCTTCGATAAATGAAAAATTTCGATTTTCAGCGTTTTTTAAGCCTATCGGAACAGTTAAATGCGTTTCATTTGAAACATTTCAGATTGAGAAGTATCTCATCTTTGGAGATTATTTAGCGAAAAGATAGAAAGTTTAAATTTGAAAGAAACGAAGAAAAAGGCAAAAAAATCGAAAGATGGTGATTTTGTCCATAGAGCAACTTTACTGCAAAAACGCGCTTTTGGCGATGGTACGACAAAATCTCAAGTCCGCAAATCTCGAGGACCGTAATCTTGTGTACGCAGATCTAAAGTCCCATAATCTTGGAGACCAAAATCTTGGAAACCACAATCTTGGAAACCACAATCTTGGAAAGCAAAAATCTTCCTTTTTAGTCTTCTTTATTGCACTTTATCTACTTATATTCTCTTGTTTGGATCACCGAATACAATTTCTGATAAAATCTATTCGCAAAAGCGTTGATTTTTACTTTCCAAGATTGTGGTTTCCAAGATTTTGGTCTCCAAGATTATGGGACTTTAGATCTGCGTACACAAGATTACGGTCCTCGAGATTTGCGGACTTGAGATTTTGTCGTACCATCCTTTTGGCAAAAATTTGTCCATAGAGCAATTTTACTGCAGAACGCCCCCTGACAACTTTGTCCATAGAGCAACTATATTGCGTGCTTTTGGAAAACTGTTTTCTTCCCGACTTTTAATTTTTTTTTTCTGAAAAAATATCTACAGGCAGACCGAGTTTCAGAGTCTTTTTTGTTTTAGAAAATTTCTCAATGTCAACCACGTTCGGAGCTTGATTTTTCAGACCGATGACATTTATACAAACGAGGATGGAACCTTAGAACCTCCCTCCAAATCAGTGGGCTCCGAAAAATCGAATGGAAAAAAAGAAGTCGTTTCGATCCACACGATCGCTGTGAACAGAACGGATGAAGCTTCGGCTACGGTTTGAATAAAAAATAAAGAAAAGGGATTAATTTTGGGTTTGAGGGAGCTGATAAGAAATCCTTGGACAGTTCACCGGACCCCTCGCAAATCCACCTGGCAATCAAGAGTCGCGGGGCGATGGGACCTTTTTTCAGGTAGTTCTTGGAGAGAAGCTTCTGCGCTCCATGGATAATCAAACATTCAGGGTCATGAATCGATTAATAATCGCTCCTTTAAAGTCTTGGTTTTCAAAATAATTTATTTTAAGCTTACTGTAGTTTTTCTAACTTTTATCGTTAGAGCGCACAAGCCTAGAATAATGAGCCTCTTCATTTTCTTGATTTATAATGGTTCTTTTTGAGCCCCTTCTAAGTAGAACTTTCCACATTCAAAAAATTGGAAATTTTTAATTTTTCGAGGGCAAGAGATAGCTCAGAGCTTCCTGAACAATGACTATTTATTTTTTCCGTTCCTAAGAACCCTTCCATTTTCCAGAGACCACTACGTTCCCTGGCTTCTCAACTGGAAAACGAAGATATTTTTCCTCCTGGCCTTCATAATTTATTTGGGCATCGCCATTTACGGGATTACTGTAATGCCGCAAGGATTGGACTACGATAAGCTTCTCCTCCACTCGGATCCGCTTGTCGAAGCGTTGCGGAGGGAAATCGAGCTCTTTCATGGAGGAGACCAGGTGAATTGGTCGCATTTGGAATGGCTCAAAGCGTTGGGGTAGCTTTTCGTAATGCTGTAGATCTCAAAAAAAATTGCTCCGATTCTCAAAATACTTTTTAATATTGATGAAGTTTCCCCTAGACGTCAAGATGAGCCATTTCCGGTTACTGTATCCGGGTTACGGTAGGTAAATGGTCACCTGCGTATCTAAGGAACTACGCTTTTTTTCTAGACTTCTTCTTTATCTATTGATAGGGGATTGAGTTCTGGGAGCTTCTACAGTACTTCACTTTTCAGGTTACTGTAGAATTTTTGAGAAACGATAGTTTTCGTTTTTTGAAAAATGATTGTTTTGGCCATTGTACAGAAAGGAGCCGCGCAAGTAGTTTTAGGTCCGGCGCAACACAATATAGCCTACATAATACTCGCTACCGTAAGCAAAACTTACCGTATCCAGATCGAAGTCGCGGTCCAAAACGCGCCTGACCTTCTACAACCTTCCAATAGAGATTGGATGGAACGAGTCGCCCAGGAATTCGAGAATATTTCTTACTGTAGGTGCTTCTTACGGTAGATTTTATGGATACTGTATTTCCAGCCCTTGGCGCCAAAGGAACCTCCTTCTGGTTAAGGGAATATATCAAGTATAGCAATCTGACGGGCTCTTATTTGAACGACGATCGAGAATCCTGGGTCATTGGCGTCTACGAATGGTCCCATCTGTTCGCATTTTACAAACTCTGGTGGGTTCAAAAAGAAGCTGAAGGGAGAATTGAAGGTCCTTTGAAGGTCCCAGGACTTTGTCTGGGCCAACCAGACTGACTACGAGACGTTGAACCTGACGTCGTTCCGGTTCCGAATCGGCGTCCATCGACTCTCGACCCCGACGGATCTGGTGATGATCACGGAGGAGCTCCGTGGCGTCGCCAATCGACATCCTGACCTCGGCATCGTCACTTATCAGCAGAGTCGAGCCATTGCTGATCAGGTAGGGGGATCGGCTCCTGAAGTTCTTAACTTGGCTGAATTTTGAGATTTTTTAGTCCTGCACTGACCAGTTTAGGTTGTACTTTTTTGTCTAGGATACCTATACCTGAAATGTATTTTTCGAGCTTCATTTAACATTTTTGGCTCTAGTTGGACAGGTTTTCCTAGCTGAAATCTAAACTTCTGAAATACTTGGAATTATTTTTAGAGTTTTTAGTCCTGCTCTGACCAGTTTAGGCGGTCTTTTCTGTAAAATCTGGTTTTATTTCTAGAATATTTTGAACTGAAGTGAATTTTCTTTTCTTGGCTCCTCTTGGACAGTTTCTATTCTCTTTTAGTTGGGCTATGAACTCCTGAAATTTTCCACCGCTGATTATAATTCACGATTGTTCAGTTCAGTTTTTAACGGTGTAAAGTGTACTTTTTTGTCAAATCGGATTTTGGTTCTAGGTCACCAAGAACTTAAGGAAAACCCTTTAATCTTGATAAAATGTTCTCTGACCCCAGTTGGACAGTTTCTTCTAGCTGGGCTCTGAAATCCTGAATATCTCGACCGCTTGTCTATATTTTGAAGTCTTGCTTCGAAAAGTGTGGACTGTACTTTTTGTCAAATCGAATTTTAAGTCTAGTATGTCTATAACTGATGTGAAACCCTTCAATCTTGTTACTCCATTTCTAGAATCCCATTTGACAGTATTTTCTAGTAGGCCCTAAGCTTTCAAAGTCGTGCTTTTATAGTTTCCTTAATCCAGTTCCCATTTTATCGATGGCTTATACACTTTGAAATTCTGATTTTCCGAGCGCAAGACCTTGAAACTCTCAAAGATAGAAGTTTTTAGAAATTCACTGTTTCCCAGAAAACAGATGTTACCAGGACGAGGAAGGTCATTTCCATTTTTGGTTGGGAACTTCTTCAAAATTTGCTATAGCCCATTGACGTAACAGAGAGGTATCCTGAAAGTTTCAACCTGAAAAGCTTTCTACTTTTTGAGAAATAAAGGCTTGAAGCCTCAAAATGGCTTACTTTTAAGGTATTTAAGGGCTTTCTTGGACTTTAAGTTGTCCTTTCTCAAAAACAAAAAAGTTGTGCAGGTTTTGGCTTTCAGGATATTTTCCTGGCACATCGATGATTCAAATTGAAACCTTGAAATTGACTTGCAGCTGAACGTCATCCTCCCTTCTACGATCCAGAACGACTCGTTGGCCATGATCTGTATGATTCTGGTCGCCTTGGCCTTCATTCCCAACCCACTCTGTGCTGTTTTCATCTCCCTGGCCATGGTCACCATTGACATCGGTTTTTTGGCTCTTCTCCAACAAAAACAAGAGTTTTTCAGGGGTCATTGGGTTTTTGTCATTATGGAGCGTGAAGCTGGACCCGATCTCGATGATTACGATCATCATGTCTATTGGTTTTTCGATCGAATTTTCAGGTAGGCTATAGAAAAAAGTCCATTGATTAGATTTTATCACTGTAGTTTTCGAAAATATTCAAAAAAAAAAATTCTCTAATATTTTTTACATGAAATGATGAGTATCTGGAGCGAAGAACACATCTTTGAGAGAAGCAAAAAGTACCGTATCTCAAAAAATGTCTACAGTAACCCAAGATGGTATGTACTGAAAAAGCTTCATAATTGAATTACCTATCGATTGATACACAGCAAATGACACATCTTTGAGAGGATTAAAAAAGTACCGTATCTCAAAAAAATTCTACAGTAACCCAAAATGGTATGTACTTAAAAAGTTTCAAAATTGAGTTACCTATCGATTGACACACAGCAAATAACACATTTTTGAAAGGATTGAAAGGTACCGTATCTCAAAAAAAATTCTACTGTAACCCAAATTGGTATGTACTGAAAAAAAGTTACAAAATTGAATTACCTATCGATTGATATACAGTAAATGACACATTTTTGAGAGGATTAAAAAAGTGCCGTATCTCAAAAAAATTCTACAGTAACCCAAGATGATATGTACTGAAAAAGTTTCAAAATTGAATTACCTATCGATTGATATACAGTAAATGACACATTTTTGAGAGGATTAAAAAAGTGCCGTATCTCAAAAAAATTCTACAGTAACCCAAGATGATATGTACTGAAAAAGTTTCAAAATTGAATTACTTATCGATTGATATACAGAAAATGACACATTTTTGAAAGGATTGAAAAAGTACCGTATCTCAAAAAAATTCTACAGTAACCCAAGAGGATATCTACTGAAAAAGTTTCAAAGTTGAATTACCTATCGAGTCATATACATTTTGCCTAGGAAAAAACTTTTTCTTTGTTTTTCAACTGCCTACAGTAACCTGGCTACGGAATGATTACAGTAAACTGGTTACGGTAAGAGGAGATATCTCAAAGAGGTGTGTACGCAATTGTGATGATGGTCTCTGGATTGAATTTCATCAAAATCAAAAAAAAAAAAATTATTTTGCTTTTTCTTGGATTAGGTAACACCGGACGCCCCCCGGATGTTCCTGAGTTTTTGTAGGAAGCACTTAAGAGGCCTGAAGTCGCTAAAGAGATCACTAGAAATGCTCAGAAGCGTCCGGTTTTCATTATTGAGCTCCTAGTGATTTTCTAGATTCACGGACAGAATCTAGAGGCCTTCTTATGAAGCCTAAAGAGAAAAATCTGTCCGAAAAAGGAGAAAATCCTATAAATTCAGCCCATATTACCCACGGATTCGTCAGTAATCCCGGCGATTTGTCGGCATTTGATAGATGCGTCGACGCAATGGAAAAGCTGGCTTGGCCTGGTGAGAAGCTACCGTAATCCCCATCGTAACTTTCTCGAAATCTACAGTAGTCCATGGAAGTTTGTCGACGATCCTTGGAGTGACCGTCCTGGCGTTCATCGACTCCTACATGGTCCTCGTCTTCTTCAAGACCATCTTTTTGGTCATCGTCATTGGTATGTTGTGGTTACTGTAGCTTTGGTATTACTGTGTGTGAAGCTTTCTTGGATAATTTTTGTGAATTTATGAGGAACTTGCCTCGAAATTCTTTTTTTATTCTGCCATTATAATCACCTTGAAGACGTTATGATAGAACTTCTAGTAGATTTATTTCAGCCATTAGAAAAATTAACTGATAATTTAGACCTTGAATAATTGATATAGTTCGTTTCAGGACCAATAGGAGAACAATCAAGGCTTTTACCTTTATTTTTAAAGTTCAATAATCGGAGCTAGGCTAGATTTTTCGAGATTTTGATTGGAAATTTAGAAGAAACACGAGGGTTTTGAATGAAAAATTAGGTTTTGAGGTGAAAATTAATTTCCTCAGGAATAATTGAAGGACTGTGAGTAACTATATTTTGAAATTTAAAGCCTGAACTCCTTTTTGAGGTCTTACAAGGAGGTTATTTTACTTCGAGGTAGGGAATTTATAAAAATTGTCCAAAAAGCTCATTGATATACCAAAAGAGAGTCCTGGAGTTCTCATCCTCTGAAAGTTCCTAGTTTTCGAGAAATAAGGGCTCGAAGCCCAAAAAAGGCCCATTTCAACGCGTTCTGAGGTTTTTCTTTAACTTTAAGGTGTCCTTTCTTAAAAACTAAGAAACTGTGCATGTTGAATCTTTTAGGATATCAACTTGGAAGTGAAATGACCTTCCTTGTTAGGAAAGTTTACAGATGGTATAAAGTTAAGAATGTTTCCATTTCTAGGTAGTACGACTAGAATATAGTGACACTTTGGCGGAGACTGCTAGGATGATTTTCTTACTCAACCAGATTGAAATTTTCGACTTTTGAGAGACCCTAACTTTTTTCACAGACCTCCTCGGCAGTTTTTGAGAGCATTTTTGGAATCAGCAGGAAAAACTACATCTAGTAAACCAGGTCTCATTGGGAAGTTCGAATGAGATCCAGGGCCATTCCCTGGTTAGGTAAATTTCTTTGTGCCATGGCTACTCTGATTTGAGGATCGCCACAACTCTTTCTTTGACATACACTGTTTCGTCGTTATCTAGCTGCGAGAAAACGACGAAATAGTGCGTGTCAGACAAAGAGTTGTGGCGATCTTTTGGAGCCCCATGTCAGAGCAGAGCGTTAGAAAGCGAAGCTAAGATTTTATTTTCGAAAAAAAAGGCTGAGGGGTCTTCTAATATCAGTCCCGTATGGAAAACTTGATCAGTACGACTGGAGTAAATAAATTTGATGTATCTGATAAAATCTTTCATTTTCCTCCCTCCAGGAGCCTGCCACGCGTTGATCCTGCTCCCGATCCTTCTCTCCGTGACGATTCCATACGTCGAACGGTTCGACGGCTACCTTCAGTCCCGTCGCAGGAAACGGAAACTTCGAAAAACCGCCAACGTTAACAAAAACAGCGTCTATGCGATCAATTTGCCTGTCAATGTGTCTTCATGATGATTGGTCTTGTCCGGAAGTACTGTACTGGAAGAGAGGCTCTGAAAATTTTCTGAAATGATATTTTAAAAATGCAAAACTCTCCGACCAGTACAGTACAGAGTATATAGGTGATAATTTTTGTAATATGTCTTTTTTTCGATTCAGATTTTTTTGAAAAAGGTTATTCAATATCATTTATCAATCAAAATCCTCATAAACTATAATCAAACGAAAAAGGATCAAAAAGGCCTTGAGAGCATTTTTTTATCAACAGAGCGCACTTGATAGTCAAATTTAAGCCATGTTTTTTTTTTGAAGACTGACTTCATCAATTTTGAATCATTTTCTCATTCATTTTCTCATGAGCACCTTTGATGGCCTAAAAATAGCAGTTTTTCTCAACAGAGCGCACTTGATAGCCAAATTTAGGCCATTTTTTTTACAACCAATTTTTAATAATTCCCGATGTATATTACGAGATCCGTTTTTTTCTCGTTTCGAGGATTTTCGAAAAACTTTATCAATAGAGCGACAATGGTATCTTAAAAAATGGCCTTTTTCAAAAAAATTATCGTTTTCTACAATATTTCACTAACATTTTTGTAAAAAAATATTTTTTTCTTATTTTTTTTAAGTTTTTTTCAGTCTTCTTAGAACGCTTTTTCCCGTCGAGACCTTCTACTAAATTTTCAAATTTCTCAATTTTTATATCAATTTTCTATGCCCCTTGCTCATTTCTAACATTGTTCTGATCCATAAAACGGGTACTTTTTATTAGTTCCTTATTTCTCTAATTTTCAGAAGAATAAATTATATTTTCGTTAGATTTCTGGCTTTGAAATTCCGAAGATTGGTTACTTGACTTGTTTTCAGACAAATCCAAACGCTCCGTGTACATTTATTCAATAATCGAGCATGAAGTCGCTATTGAGCTTGACGAGCAGCTTGATGACCTTGTTCTGGAGCTTGAGACGGCGCTCCAGACGCTCCTCGTGCTGGACTCGCTCCTCGCAGCACTCACACAGCGAGAAGACGCCGCTGTCGGTCGTCGAGGTGCAGGTCGAGATCGACAGGTTCAGGCGGGAGCTCTCGCTTTTGGCTGAAAAGGGAGAGGTTCTCGTTGAGCTAGATCGTCTAGAAGAAATGTGAGCATGGCTAGGCTTTCTGAGAGCATGACTCGACTTTTTGGGAGTACGGCTAGATTTTTCAAGAGAACGACCAAAAAATCTTAAGAGTACGGCTAGACTACTCGGAAGTGAAGTCGGACTCCATGAAAATACGGCTGAGTTATTGGAGAGCATGGCTAAACTTCATTGGCACGGCTAATTTTCTAGGAGCACGACTAGACTTCTCGGAAGTGGGGTTAGGACCCTTGGAAGTACGCTAGATTTTTCAAAAGCATGACTAAACTTCTAAGGAGTATGGCTAGACTTTTTGGGAGCACGGCTAAGCTTTTTGGAAACACGGCTAGATTTCTAGTTCAGACTCCTTAAAAGTACGGCTAGATCTTTTGAAAGCATGACCAAACGTTCTTAGGAGTATGGCTACTTCTCAGGACCGGCTAAATTTTCTAGAAGCACGGCTACACTTCTCTGTAGTGAGGTTAGGCTAATGGGAGTATGGCTAGATGATTCGAGAGTATGACTAAACTTTTAAGAAGTATGGCTAGACTTTTTCGGAGCACGGCTAGACTTCTCCGAAGTGAGGCTAGACTTCCTCATAGTACGACCACGTGTTCTAGAACCACTGATTTTCTAGAAGCTTGATTTTAAAAGTAGCAAGACTAGGCTATTTGAAAGTACGACCATTCTCTTTGGGAGCACGGCTAGACTTCTCTGAAGAGGAGTCGTCAGAAATACGATCGTATCTCTTGGGGAGCTTACTAAGAAGCTTGATTGAATTTTCTAAGGAGTATGACTAGGCTTCTTGAGAGTACGACCATTCTTTTTGAAAGCGTGGCTTGCCTTCCTAAAAGCCTGCTTCAACTTCTTAAAAGCGACTTAGGAGCCTGGCTAAATAACAAGGGACGTTTGAGCTTGTAAGTTAGTATTTCAACTTCGGAGCAAGTATGCACTTCTCCAAGCCTAGCTATGCTATTTGAGAAGATTACTCTCCAAATATATTTTTACCCTCACCTTTCTTGACCGTGAAGGTGCTGGAAGTCGACGTGACCGTCAGCTTCTTCTTGTCCTTGCGACGTGGCACAAACAGCGAAGAGCTCGTTTTGCTAGCCGATTTTTGGCTGGAGCTTTCAGATGAAGCCTCGTAGTTCATATCGGAGATCGCGTCGAGGGTATCTGGAAAGATCGATTTTGAGGAGAGGTAGGTTGAAACAGGATTTTTACCGTCAGTGGGGGTAGAGCTAGACGAAGTGATGTTGGTTTCTGAAAAGAAGTAGAATATGAGCATGGATAGAAGAACAATTTTTGAACTTGACAAAAGAAAACGCTAGGGCTACGTCGATGAGCAAAGTTAGGACCTTACTAGGAATAAGATCAAGAATTCGACCAGTTTTTTGACTAGGACTTTGGCTAGGGCATTGAGCAGGTCTTTGACTATAACCTTGACCAAGGCCTCGACTGGGACTTTGGCTAGAACCTCGATTAGGACCTCGAACAGGTCTTCGACTAGGACCTTGGCTATGACCTCGACCAGGTCTTCTACAAGGAGTTTGGCTAGAACCTCGGCTAGAACCTTTGACTAGGATTCCGACTAGGACTTTGGCTCGAGCCTCGGCTATGACCATGACTAGGTGTCGACCAGGGATTCGACTGGGGCTTTGGCTAGAACTTTGGCTACGACCTTGACCAGGTCTTCGACTAGAACTTTGGCAAGGACCTTGGACAAGACCTTGGCCTGATCTTCGTCTACAACTTTGCCTAAGACCTTGACCAGGTCTTCGACTAGAACTTTGGCAAGGACCTTGGACAAGACCTTGGCCAGATCTTCGTCTAGAACTTTGGCTAGGACCTTGACCAGGTCTTCGACTAGAACTTTGGCAAGGACCTTGGATAGGACCTTGGCCAGGTCTTCTACAAGGACTTTGACTGAAGTCTCGGCTAGGACCTTGACCACGTCTTCGACTAAGACTGCGGCAAAGGTCTTGACCAGGTCTTTGACTAGAATTTCGGCTGGAACTTGGACTGAACTTGGTCTTCGACTTGGTATCTGGCTAGAAGATTGACCAATGCCTCGAGTAGGACTTTGGCTAGAACTTCGGCTAGGACCTTGACCAGGTCTTCGACTAGAACTTTGGCTAAAACCTCGGCTAGGACGTTAAGGTTCACATCATGCAAGTTCAGTTTTAACTCAATCTTCGGCTCAAAACTCACCGGAAGCCTTATTCCACTCGCACGGCGACATCTCCTTGTCCTTGCTCAAAATTCGGCACTCGATCAAACGCAGCGAATCAACTGGATTTCCGACAAAGACCGGCAAAACAGGTACGCCGTCCGAACTGTTCACCCAGAGAGGCGAAATCTGCATCGTCGAAAGGTCTTCGCTGGACGCGTAGTTTCTGAAGACGCTGAGGAGCGATTCCGGGGGTCTGAAACCGGGAAAAGTTTCTAGAAAGCTTCAGAAAGACTTACGAGATGGCTTTCGGCTTCCTCTTGACGTCTTCAAACAGTCTGGCCATTCGGGCGCAAGCTTCTCCAAACTCGACAGAAGACGAGGCGACTGGAGAGATCATCGACAGCGTTTCCCATTCCGAAAAGAAGACTGAGGGCTGTTGGTTTTCGCTGAAAATCTTCTGTTCGGAACCTAAGCAAGGGTTCGAAGCTCACAAGGAGACCGGCTTCTTCTTCTGAACAACGGCATCTGAAAATAAAAGCTTATCAAAGCCATTCTCGGAAGAAGGTACCTTCAAAGACTGGAGGGCAGCTTCTGACCGGCCGCGGCGGCACGACGCCATAGTCGCAGCCGTCGTCAATCACCGTCGGGCACGAAACGGGCCTGACGACGTCGACGGGCGTCGTCGGGGCCGGAGCTTCGTCGAAAAGGTTGCCGAGCATTTCAGTAGAGGAGACGCACGTCGGCGAGCTGCCCTGGATCTCCGAGAAGTCCTGCGCTTCGAGCCATTTCAGGAGGAAGTCGGTGAACGTCTCGCCCTGGTTGCTTTCGAAGGTGGACTGGAAATGGATAGGTTTAGGACGGCTTGAAATTCTTGAGAGAAAAATTTTCTGAAATTCCTCGAAGTTTTGGTGGAAGCTTCCTAGTAACGCTTCCAGTGACGTTAGAAACGAAATGGTTCAAAAAAGATTTCCGGAAGATTAGGCTTGAGGAGACTGATTTCCAGAAAAAACTTCACTTGGCTGTCTGAGCTTGATCTTCCCTTAAGTGGTCACTCAAAAGGAAAAGGAGGTGTCCAAGAAGCCTTCAAGGGACTTCAGACCCTTTATGAAGATTTTTTCGGATTATTAAGACAAGTTCTGTTCCAAGATTGCATTAAGCTGAGTCTTAACAAGTTCTTTTAGAACCTTGAGCAACAGAGAGCGTCAGGAACCTTATATATAGATTAAAAAAAGACTATGGCCCTCCCACGACCCTTAAAAAGTCAAGGATTTTCGAGAAACCTCCCGAAAGACTTTTCCTGAGACTTTACTGGAGATTTCAGCTCAGCCTATAGCTCCAAGAACCAAGAAAATGGCTCAAATAGGCCTTGAAGATCACCTGTTTGTAGCTGTTGGTGTTCTTGTTGCTGCTCATCGTCGAAATGTAGCGGAGGTCGGGGCGAATAAGAAGAACGGAGTTAGTTGGGTTAGTTGAGGGATGAGTCGACTCGACTCCGCTGCTGTGTTAGTTGAATATGACTCTCTTGCCGAACTCCAAATCCACGTTGACCATTTATTTTCTTTTTCACTTGTCATAGATCTTTATCTCATCACGTTCTTATTTTTCGAGTTGACTCAAATTTTTCCTTCATTTTTGTTTAAACGTGTATTTTTAAGTTATTTTTGCGCTTCACTTATTCCCTCTAGTGACCACTCTGCTGTTGGCACTTTGAAAAAAGCTTGAAAACCTGAAAATCAGTGCAAGGGCCATTGATAAAGCTTACAGTCTCTTTTTTCAAATTTCGAGGAAATTGCGCCCCGCTGCACTCGGCTCTGTGGGTTTACAAAAACTTCCTTTTGTTTTTTCTGCTTTTCAAAAGTTTCTTGTAATTTTCTTACTTCACAAAGATTATAAGTTAAAAAGTTATTTTAAAATGTAAGAGGATTTTTCCCTCTGTATAAAAAAATGTATTTATTAAAGGTTCTATGTTTTTCTATAAAAATCGTTTTCAAGGGTTTTTTTCCTTTCATATCGTAGTTTGAGAGTTTTTTTAAATTCCATTTTTAAAATTATCTCCTTAAATGTTACATTTTTCTTGATTTTCAATCTACTATCTTTTTTATCACTCTTATATCGATATACTCGTTTACCTCGATTCTTTTTCAAAAATAAAAAAAGTTATACTTTTTAGAATGACCGATCAAAATACCCATAACACTTTGTAAATTGTGTCGACGGCAAATTTCTGGAGAAGACGTCGAAAAATGTTACAACTGCTGAGGAGGCTTTCCAATGCGTTTTGTGCTTCGGGATTTTGGATCCGGATTTTATTGCTGAGGTGAAGGAATCGCTCAGCATTTCATTTTGTTACTTTTTTTGAGGCAAAATGGCTTCAAAAAAACATGGAAATTAACTTTGTTTCAATTTTTCTACAAAGGATATTTGAACCAAGTGTAGAAAAAAATTGTATAGAAATTTCGAAAAATTACTAATTTACAAAAATATTTTCTGATGATTTTCACTGTTGAAAGATTTTTTTGGTGACTTTTGAAAGCAAAGATGGCTTTTTTTCTTGTGACTGATTTTAAAATTCCGAGAGCATTTTTATCAATAATTTGAACAGTCCGTGGTAGTAATTATTGTCAGGATTATAAGGTTAGGAGCGGATTTTTGAGGATTTTCAGCTTTTTGAGCGTTTTTTAATGGTTTTCACTGTTGCAGGCCTTGTTTTCGAGATTTTTTTGAACCATTCTAGAGATTTTTAAAAATCATAGCAAGAATAATAGGAAAGTAATATCACAACCTTGATAAATTTCATTTTCTAAGCCTTTTTCAGTTATTGCTACTTCTAAATGACACAAATTCAACATTCAGGTTTCAGCGAGCGTCGCGGAATCTTTGGAAAAGATGCCCTACGATGCAAATACATTCATATTGGCGCTGAACCTTCCAACCTCCCAAACTCTTCGAGAATCTTTGATCTCGAAATTAAGAACGGATTTCCGCGGGATTTTGATCCAAGTGCCCTTTAAAGTGCGCAATGTAGACGCCTACATTAAGAAAAATTGGCGAGGTTCGTTTTGGAATCTTTTTGATTAAACTTTTTTTGATATTGTAAATATAATATTTTCCGTGTTTTAGAGGCTAGCAAGTGAAAAATTTGTGATGTTTCCTTGAAATTTTCACCAAAAAAAGGAAAAAAATCCATGCGAAAAATTAGAAAAAAAGGATTTTTTTCTGTTGATATCAATGCATTCAAAAAAATTAATTAATTTTTTTAATTTTTTTGTTATTTTTTTAGGTGAAATATTTAAGAATCAACTTTGAAAGTTCTGAATTTTAGGGTTGAGTGAGAATTTCAAGGGTAGAAGAAAAATTAAAAAAACAGGATTTATTTAAAAATTTTTTTGGGACTGGAAAAATAATGAGAAAAAGCTTGAATGATTGGGAAAAATTGAAGGAATATTGAGATTTTTTTATATTTTTTTATTAAGAGGTTATTATCACCATAAAATTTTCCATTATCAATTATCTCATTAAAAAAATTGAAAAATAGTAGGTAACAATTTTTTTTGTCGCAAAAATCCATGAATTTTAATCATTTTTTTATAGATTCGTAATGTTTCCAAGATTTAGAAAATTCAAAAAAACAGAATTTAGAAAAATTTTTTTCAACTGATTTTTTTCCATATTCCTTAGTTATATTAAATAATAACAAAAATTTAAAAAAATGATTTTTTTCGATATTTCAGGCCTCGAGCAAACGCCCAACACTCTGCTCGGACCTCCAGTTGATGATCACCTTCGAAAACGACGAGTTCAACGAGTCGGACTATGATTTCCTGAAGGCCAACTTCCCGGGCAACTTCCAAGAGCGGAAAAAAAGAAGATTTGGCGAAGATTCTGGGCCCAGCTCTTCCGAATGCTCCAAACAGCAGCTCCAACAAGTTTTGAACAGGATTTCGCCTGAAATTGCGAGGTAAAAATGTATTTTTGATTTTTTAATGAGTAATTAGGGCTCAAAAATGTAACTTTTCCATGAATTTCCTTCTTTTTTTTTTTGTTTTTTACTGTTCTAGTTACTTGAAGTTTTGATAGGATTGTTAAAAGGTAGGTTGAAAATGTACTTTTTGCTTTTTGATGAGTATTTAGGGGTTCATGTGAATGTTTTGAAAAATACAATTTCTTGCGAAAAATCCATTTTTTTGTTATGAACGAAAGATATTTCAAATATTTCATCGTTTTTTTAAGGTTTTTGATAGGATTTTTTTCCTGGAATTTCCAGGTTAAACATTATTTTCAATTTTTTTCGAAGGAATAATGTGGGATCAGCAACTACTTATGAAGATGTGGCTTTAAGTAAATTTAATTAAACAGAAAAAAATTTAATTTTTTTCCATAGATTTCTTTCTTTTTTTCTTGCTAGATTTTTTTGAACTGAGGATATTTTAATAACTTTCCGGTTATTCAAAGTTTTTTTTAATGGAGTTGCCTTGAAATGGCTAGGTAAAAACTATATTTTTTTCCTTTATAGAGAATATTTTGGGTTCAGTAACTCTTCAATATAAATTTAATAGTCGAAAAATCGGATTTTAACAGGGAAAAAAATCTAACTTTTTTTAGACAAATTTATTTTTATTTTGCCAATTTTTTTGATTTGTGAACGATTTTTCAAAACTTATCTTGTTTCTCGAATTTCTTGATACGGCTTTTTCCTGATACTGCTGGGTAAAAAGTTTTTGACTTTTTTTAGAAAAAAATTTTAAGGCTCTAAAGCTATTTATGAAGAAGTCCCTTGTTGAAAAATTGTATTTCACCAGAAAAAAATCTAACTTTTTTTCATGAATCTTACTGTTTTCTCGCTGTATTTTTTTGAAGTAAAGATTTTTTTGCAAAAATCAGATTTTTTTATGATTTTTGTGCAAAAAAATTGACGAATTTCCGTAGAAACCTTAAAAAAATCAGAGATAAATATTTATAAACGGTCGAAAAAAACTCGCTGGTTTTTTTCCAGAAAATACTCGTACAAGTCGCCCACCAAGAAGTGTACCTACAAATTGGAATTCGAAAGAGATCCGATTTATATTGCTGGCCGTTATTGTAAATTCTCCCGTTCTTTGCCTCAGTCGCCGTGGAGCGAGGAGAAGGATGCGCCGAGGGAACCAGGAAACTCGGTAAGATTTCAGATTATTATCATGAAAATGACAGAAAAAAATACTTTGACGTTTTTTGAGAGATATCTTCCGGTCTTAGGTTGGGCGGGCCAGCCCGGGCTTTGTTGCAAAGAAGCCCGCGCGGGCTTAAGCCAGGCCAGGCTTTGAGTAGCGTTTTGAAATTTCATGAAGGTACACCAAAAAAATAAAATCTCACAAAATGAAGCTGAAAGATGTGCGCGGGCGGGCCGGCCCGACTTTTGGGTCCCATTTTTTGCGAAGATGCACGGTGTTGAGCCAGGCTAGGCTTTTTTATTTTATTTATTTATTTATTTCACTCAAACACAAAAATACAGATACAGAATAGAAAGTATTTGAGTGAAGCGAAACCCGATATACAAACGCCCCAACGAGCGATTTACCGGGATGGGATACACGTATTGAAGATTGAGAACAGAAGTTTCGGATTTTTATTTTTTTAGAGCAGTCTGTTGGGCACACTTGCGAGTAGTTCATTGTTGTCGAGAGAGTCGAGAAAAATTCCTGAAGCGGGAGGCTGAAGTGTTCATGTCGAATCTTGAGCACAGTCTGTTCCAAATAGGAATGACTGTACTGAAGAAACTGTTAAAACGAGGACCTGTCTGTATGAGTCTCATTGGAAAAACGAGGTGAATCAGTTCTTCTGAAGAAATTTTCTGCACTTGGAAAGTGGTAGGAGCCCAGGACTAATTTTTTTGGAGAGTTAGTAGAGAAATGATTATTCTCCTTCGGAAAGCATGAACAGAGCCGAGTACACTTAGACGGTCAGAATATGAATTAAAAACGAACATTTCTTCTAATAAACACCTCTCTGGTGAAGAAACGGAGAGGTTTTTCAAGTTGGGAGGAGAGGGCACTGGTTAGGGGTGGGTTAAAGACTTCACAGGCGTATTCGAGGTAAGGACGTACATAAAGATTGAAGAGAAGCTTATATTGCGGTAAGCCGACATGTGAAAAAGCCTTAAGAAGTTGACGAGATTTCAACATAGCAATGTTGACAACATGATTAATATGAGAATCGAAGGTGAGTCCTTTATCAATCAAAAGACCAAGGTCTCTAACCACACTTTCAGATCTTATAGGGTTTCCATTTACTAGATAAATGTTCTCAGGATTGTTTCTACCTAGGTGAAGGACGGTTGTTTTGTTGCCAGCCAAAGGCAGACCCCATGTTTTGGACCATTCCAATAACTTGTTGATATTTTCTTGAAGTTCGATAGAGTTATTCGAAGAGATTTTGAGATCATCCGCAAAAAGGTAGGAAGTCACAGAGCTGTCAAAAATACTAGGAAGATCATTGATGAAAATTAAGAAAAGGAGGGGCCCCGTGACAGTTCCTTGAAGTACTCCAGAAACGACGTTAAATTTTCTTTCGGAAATAACTCCATCTATGAGGACACTGGAAGTGCGGTCAGATATGAAATTTTTGAACCATTTTATCATTGTTTCACTCAGACCGAATGCTTTGAGTTTAGCCAATAAGAGGTTGTGCGGAACAAAATCGAAGGCTTTCATGAAATCAAAGTAAATAACGTCAATAAAGTTGCCTCTGCTGATAGAAGATTTCCAATTTGCAATGCTGTCTAGAAGGGCCAACATGCAAGATCTATTATTTAGAAAACCAAATTGCTTCGAAAAGAATTTTTGTAAAATTCATCAAAAATTGTCATTTTTAACACAAAGTATTCACCAAAAAATTAAATTTTATAACTTGAAGTTGAGCAGGATCACGGGATTTTCTGGGCGGGCGGTCTGGCCCGGGCTTTTAGACTCATTTTTGCAAAGACGCGCGGGGTTGGGCTAGGCGAGGACTTCAATAGAATTTTCAAAAATTTTACTGAAAAACTGTTATTCTAACACAACGTTTCCAACAAAGAATCAAATTTTTCAACCCGAGGCCGAGCAGGATTACGCGATTTTCTGGGCGGGCGGCCTAGCCCGGGCTTTGGGTCCATTTTTTCGAAAAATAGTTTTTTGGAGCTTGTTGTCTTATCAAAATGTATCTTGACCCACTTTAGTGCGGGATTTTTCAAAAAGTTCGCCTGGGAAGCGCGAAATGCGTGAAATAGGACGGAATCCTGGCCGTTCAAAAAAATATTCAAGCTTTTTTTGAAGGTCTCCGAGAAGGTCTGTGATGTACTGAAGACGGAATTCGGAGCCAGTGACAGTCGTTTCATCACTTCTGGCCGGGAAGATATCGACGTTCGGATGCTCGGAGAGGGACGGCCTTTCGTCGTGGAATTGAGGAACTGCAAAACGACCAAGCCGTTGCAGGGGTGGGGAAGAAACTCGATAGAATCATCCTTTTTTAACTTGTTTCATTCAAAAGTCGCTAATTTATTGTTTTTTTTACACTTCTGCAAGGTTTCCTATGAAGCAAGGTGAAGGGGTCTCTAGAGGAGAACCGCCACAGGCCCCTACGGGGACCACTTGAAAAATGTTTCTAGACAATGCTGTCGAAGGGCGGCCCGGGTCAGCCCGTCTCATAAAAAAAGCTCATGTTTTATGTCCCTTTTTTTATGTTTAATACCACTAAGCTTTTTTTAAAAATTATTTTATTTTTTTAATAGGTTTTTGAACTTTGAACCATACATCGGCTGGATCCCACCCCCACCTTTTGCGCGCGGAAAAAAATTTGAGAATGTACTGAAGTAAGCTGCACTTTTCGGGGGGTAGGCCCACTTTTTTTGGGGGTGGGATTCAGCCGAAGTATGCTTTGAACTCTGAGCATTTTTTTGAGAATATGGAATAATATGAAGGCTGAAAAAAATTAGATTTTTTTAAAAACTTTTTGTTTTTGGTTCTAGGCATTTTTTCTTTGTTAGTGTCGATTTTAAAAAAATCCATTGAAGAAGTTTTTTCTCCGTATTTTCTCTTCAGTTAAAAAAATTTTGTTGAACTGAGCACTCTTAAAAAAATACTAAATAGTGTTGGAGAATTGAAAAAAATAGCTTATTTCAAACTTTTTCGATTTTGTGCCCCCTTTTTTTGTTGGGATTGATTGAAAAATATCATTGAACTCGCTTTTTTTAAAAAAATTAAATTTCAAGTAAAATATTTTAAAAAAATCAAATATATTATTTGAAGAGAGTACTCTCAATTGAAGCTTGAAAACTTGGAAAAATGATTTTTTGTTGACCCAGCGAATTTTTAAATTTCTCTTTCCATTTTGCTTCCAATTCAACCTAGAAATGAGAAAAACAGGTTTCCGATACATGACCGGTTCTGTTACGTTTCAATGGATTTACAAGTTGCAATAAATCTGATAAATGATTGACTTTCGGAAATTTTTGTTGACGATGAAAAAAAAAATTTCTTTTTGTAGAACCCGATACTTGGAGACGTTGCCGATTGTGGAAGCGAAAATCAACGGTCAATTGGACATCAAAGTGAAATATTTGACGAGGGTTCAAAGGGATGTCGCCGAGAAGCTGAGCGTCGGCGAGGAAGGTTCAGAAATCCCCTAATTAAAGACCTATAGCCGATTCACAGCTAGCTTGGGACGCAAAAAGGCGTGACCTGTCTGCGCTCTCCACTAACCATGCACTATTTTCTTGTCAGAACCCTTTTTTCGATGCCTCAAGCCAGCCCTGAATCAGCTATATTGATAACGAAATTATGATTAAAAAAATTAAATTTAAAGTTATTTTTTTATTACACGGAAGGTCATTTTACTTCATAATTTGTTGGAAGTTTGCTCAAACGCCTTCTGAAAGCTCAGATAAGAATCTCACACGGGGGGTGGGTTGAGAATTTGATAAAACTTGGTATATAGGTACTCTAGGACACCCTGATGGGCATAAAATGGTAAATTTCCAAATTTTGAGCTGTTATTTCACTCCATCATCAAAACTTCCTCATTTTCCAAATAAAAAAATTGGCAAAAATAGTTTCGCCGAAAAGGGACCGAACCTGCATCATAGTTTTCTCAACGCAAGGCCGCTAGCCACTTCACCACGCCACCTCCTGGCTGTGAAGGTTAACCGCCGCGCTATATTCCCTCCTTCCATTCAATGCATTTTTCGCGTGCAAACTTCTAGATGTCATAACTCGACTAGAACACAAGAGGCGCACTTTTTTTCAACTTTATTGGAATCAGGGTGTTCGGAAGTACCTATATACCAAGTTTTATCAAATTCTCAATCCACCACCTTTTGCACTCCCCGTGTCACGTCAGTCGTTTCCTGGTCCAACTTGTAGTTTTCACGATAATTATTTTCAAAGCTCGAAAAGTTAGGCTTAAGCCTTTTTTATACCGAAATTTGTGCAAGTAGTACTAAGTAGACAGAAAAATTTTTCACAAAAAGAGAAAAAAATTTTTTTTTCCAATTTTAATAAAAACATGATGCCATTTTTCTAGTTTGTAAAGTGAAATTAATTTATTTGTGAAAAAAATTCATGAATTTTTTTGAAATCGATTTTTTTCCAAGCAAGGGGATTATAGATATGTAAGCGTTCTTTAAATCTTGGTTTAAAAATAAAATTATAGTTTGAAAAAAAGTTTTAAAAATTAGAAAAAAAGAGGAGAATTTTTGTCATAAGTTTGACGGAAATTTTCTTGAAAAATCCAACTTTATTAAGAAAAATTCAGTGAAAGACTTTTTTTAAATCACAAAAATAGTAAGAAAATCTCGACAGTTATCGAATGAAAAAAAATTGAAAATGAATAAAATTTGCAGTTTTTTATATGAATTTGGAATACATTTAGGTGATTCAAGGTTTTTTTTAACTTAAAAGTTCGATTTTAATAGAAAATTTGAAAAGAAAAAATCATATTTCCTATGAGTTTATTGACCGTTTTTAGAAGGAAAAGTTGAAAATAATCACGAATTTTTATAAAATTTTTTTGTTTCAGAAAAGCGGAAACAATACACGGCCTACTGCTACAGTTCCCTGCCGTTGGCTCCAGAATCCTTCGAAAAAGCTTTCGCGGCGATTCCCGTCGAAGTAATCAACTCTCAGCATTGCTCATGTTTGCCTAGGTTATTCAAAAAACGCCGATCCGGGTCCTGAAACGAAGATCTTTGCTCGACCGCCCGAGATCCGTCTACACCATGGAGTTCCTTCCCTTGGATAAGCATCACTTTTTGACGAGGTATGGGGGAATTAGAGGCTTTGGTCGCATTTGGATTGGCTCGCTTCAAGGCGCGCCCGACCTGAAACTACTTGTTGACTAGTGACTTTGAGAATTGTTGAAAGAAGTCCTGGTTTCCTCGTGTTCCTCAACCTATCCAAGTTATCGTTTTGTCACAACTTGAGATCCCACGGCCGCAATTGGAATGGCTTGAAGCGCGCCCGACTTGAAATTACTTGTCGATTAGGCACTTCGAAAAAAGGCCCAAAAACTCCTTTTTTTCGAATTTTCTAAACCTTGTTCGTTTTTCGTGTTTGAGAGCCCATGACCGCATTTGGAATGGTTCGCTTCGAAGCGCGTCCGACCTGAAACTACTTGTTGACTAGTCACTATGAGAAATTTTAAGAAAAGTCCTTGTTTTTTCGTGTTCCTTAATCTATTCAAATTATCGTTTTTCACAACTCTAGATCCTATGACCGCATTTGGAATGGCTGGAAGCGCGTCCGACCTGAAACTACTTGTTGAACTTTGAGGAATCTTTAAAGTAGATCTCACTTTTTCCCAAAATTTCTGTACCATTCTTAATTATCGAACTTTCTCAAATTTTTAGCACAAGGTCGCATTTGGAATGGTTCGGCGCATTGCGGCTGCGAGGCGGTTTTTTTGAAATTCACTCTAGAGATCTCTGCGCCTCCATTTTTCACATACTCTCTCGTTAATGGAGCCTGCGGGGAGTGAGTTATAGCTGCAGCCGACTTGAAGTGACTTTCGCGTGAAGAAAAGTTTGAAATGAAAAAAACTTCGATTGAAAAGTTTTCCAACGATATTTCTTATTCGAACCGCGACGCTTTGAGCCATTCCAAGTGCGGCCACGTCTTTTAATTTTCAGTAAATTCATCATTTTCTCATTTTAGATTCCAATTTGAACATCTTCTACAATAAAAAAACAAGTTTCCCGGTTTCAGAGTAGAAACCCAAGCTGGAACCTACATCAAAGAGTTTGTCCATGGCGATTTTGGAAGGACCCGGCCTTCTTTGGCTGACTTGCTTGGCGTCGAGCAGGGAGAGGTCGGGCGCAAAAATCATCCTTCAAAAATAAAATGTCTCAGGTCGACATTTTGGAATTGGACGTGGAGAAGGTCGACCATCCGTGGCCGCCGAAATATGAAAAACCCGTTCATTTTAGATGACTTCCCTGTTTTTCTGTTTATTTATTTGTTGATTTGTTGTTCAATCTGTTCCATGTTGATTATACGTTTGTTTTTGCAAAGTTATTTATCAAAATAAAAAAAATTTTTGAAGGAAATATTCATTTTTGTTAGAAATGTTGAGCGCTTGAATATTTTTTTATTTTCACCTTTTTTTAATCTTTGAATCCATTTTTGTCGGAAAATAGCTTTTCTCTGTTAATTGGAGAGTTTCGAGAGATTTTTAAGCTGAAAATGAGAATTCAAGAGCTTTTTGGAGATGTTTTGATGTCTCGAAATATCCCCAATTTCAATCATTTTTGAAGATTTTTTTCAGAAATTTTGAGATTTCTTGGTTTTTTATCTGTTTTATCACCAAAAACTGTCTGGAAAAACAAAATTCATGATTAAGAATGACGGTAAATGAATTTAGAGTCTTTTTCAAACATTTTTTTTTTCAGTAGAAATAACATATAGATAGCCTTCAGTCATCCCTAAAGTTGAAAAAAAAGGAAAATTCCGTTCAATAAATTTTCTCCACGCAAAAATGGTTGATAGGACTGAACAACTGTTGAAAAAACATAGAAACAGCAATTTCACCTTTCCTAATTTTTTTTTTTCAAAGCTTGAGTAGCTTTTCTAGGATTCTCTTCACTTTTATGACCGAAAAAAATAACGGTGAAGCCTTTCGAAAGCAAATTATCAGTAAAAATATATTATTTTCCTTATCTCCAGTCATCTATTTGGCTAAAAAAATGTCAAATGGATGAATAAAAAAACCGTTAAACGAACTTTTCGGCGTAAAAATGGATAATTCCCATTGATTCAAGCATTTTTCTTGAAACGGAAACTTAATTTAGTTTTATTGTTTTTCCAGAAATAGAATATATTTCCTAGGCTTTCTTCCAATTTTATGAGCGGAAAATGACGGTGAATGAAGTTTGATCCTTTTAAAGCAAATTAACAGAAATTAAATGTTGTGCTCTTCGCCTAAAGTTTTGAAAGACTGAAAAAAAACCGTGAAATGAACTTTCCCGCGTAAAAAAATATGTACTTTTTCCATGAATTCGAGGATTTTTTTGTAACTTCAAAACAGTGAATTTTCTTATTTTATTTAATTTTTTTCCAGAACTGAAATAAATTTCCTAGGATTTCTTCCAATTTTATGAGCGGAAAAATGACGGTGACCGTGTTGATGGTGGCCGAGAAGCCCATGTTGGCCGATTCTATCGCTAAATTATTATCCGACAACAGTGCAACCAAGAGAAAAGGTGATTTATCAGTTTTTCTGGCGTTTTTTCTGAGTTTTTCTTATTTTTTTTTTCAAAGAACAGTATGATTTCATTAGAAAAACGTTCAGTTCTTCAAAAAATCATTTTTGTAATTTCAAGGTTGGAACAACGTTTGCTCGATCAGTGAGTACATGGGCAAGTTCAATGGCCAAAATGCTAGATTTAAGGTAATTTTCTACACAGAAAATTCGAAAAAAAAACCAAAATTTTAGGTCACAAGCACTTGTGGACACGTGATGGGCGTCGATTTCCCGATGAAATATAATAATTGGGAAAGAACTGACCCCGCGGAACTATATTCAGCACCAACGCAGAAAAATGAAGCCAATCCGAAGATGAAAATGAACGAAGTAAAAATTTGATTCAAAAAAAATTGAATAAGAAAAATATGTGATTACAGTTTCTCGCCTCGGAAGCCAAAGGTGCCGATTACCTCGTTTTGTGGCTGGATTGTGATAAGGAGGGCGAGAATATCTGTTTTGAGGTTGGTATTGAAATAAAAAAATGAAAAAAACAACAGAAAAAAACAAAAAAATTTGAAATTTTTAGATTACGGTAGGTTTTGTGTTTGCACCAACCGTTGCGAACTATACGCAGATTTCACGACGAATTTCTAAAATCGTTTTTTACTACACTTTTTGGGGTTTTTTTTTTGGTTTCTTTTTTTGTTTTTTTGAATATGAAATTTTTTTGTTCAACAAAATTTCTATTTGAAATATCAAAAAAATCATGTAATTTTAAGGTTATCGAAGCCGTTCAAAAATGCCATGCAAAGAGGACAAAAAAACTTCATGGACAATGTTTATAGGTAAACTCCTTTTTTTTTCATTTTTAAAAATAAATTTTCAGAGCTCATTTCTCAGCTATCACAGAAAAGGATTTGAAAGCGGCGATGAAAAATTTGGGACGTCCCGATTTGAACATGTCTTTGTCGGTAAATATTTTCTCACTAAAATATGAATTTTTATGGAAATTTTAAAGGTCGACGCCCGGCAAGAGCTCGATTTGCGTGTCGGATGCTCTTTCACACGATTTCAGACCAAGTTTTTCCAGGTATATTTAAATTTTTCAATCAAAATGATTATTTTTTTGTAGGGGAAGTACGGTGACCTGGACAGTACAGTAATCTCCTATGGGCCTTGTCAAACGCCGACTCTTGGATTTTGTGTCACGAGACATGATCAAATTGTGCAATTCAAGGTTTTAAAGAAGGATTTTTTCTGAAAAAATCCAATGAAAAATGATAAAATTTTGGCCAAAATTAAATTTTTTTTTTGTCGTGATTTTCCCCATACAATGAGATTTTTAGCGCGAAATTCGGTAATGAAATTTGAAATCGCCGGAATTTTTATACGGAAAAGTATTACTGTAGGCCCTTTTGGTGTGTGCACTATGCTCTGCGGCCAGTACGCATTTTACGACAGTTTTATCAAGATCTCCAAAAATCATGGTTTTTTAGCTGTTTTTCATAGGGCATGTTCTAAAACACGAGCGGTTGTGGGGCACGAGCGGCACGACCGTTACTAAATCACGAGCGGTTTCATCTTCGCTCCTTCGCGAACGCTTCTAAATCACGAGCGTTTTTGGCTTATCGTTCTGTTCGAGCGTTTCATTTTAATCATTTTCTTTATTACCATCCAAGTGTGTTTTTTTCATATTTCTACCTTCTTTTTCTCCTTGAATAAAAATTTTGACGATCTTATATGCACATTTTTTCGCTCAATTTGTTGATTGATTCACATTTGAGGTTCATATAATGGATTTTTTTCTAAGTTTTTTTTGCGGTCTCTATAATTTCACAGATTCTGCGTATGGCAAATTTTTTTCTAATAATTTCATCTGATTTTTCATATTCAATATTTCACAGATTTTTGCGTATGATAAACTAATATTTCACAGATGTCTCGCATGAAAGTCAATATTCTAGCGGGTAAGAGGAGAATAAAAATATGAATGGCATCAATTCGAATATGAGATTCTATTACCAGAAAAAAATTTTTGAGAGAAAGTATTAGAAAAAATTTTGCTATACTCAAAATTTGAGAAATATTGACTTTCATGCGAGACGTCTGTGAAATATTAGTTTATCATACGCAAAAAGCTGTGAAATATTGAATATGAAAAATCAGATGAAATTATTAGAAAAAATTTTGCCATACGCAGAATCTGTGAAATTATAGAGACCGCAAAAAAACTTAGAAAAAAATCCATTATATGAACCTCAAATGTGAATCAATCAACAAATTGAGCGAAAAAAATGTGCATATAAGATCGTCAAAATTTTTTTATTCAAGGAGAAAAAAAGAAGGTAGAAATATGAAAAAAAAACACACTTGGATGGTAATAAGGAAAATGATTAAAATGAAACGCTCGAACAGAACGATACGCCAAAAACGCTCGTGATTTAGAAGCGTTCGCGAAGGAGCGAAGATGAAACCGCTCGTGATTTAGTAACGGTCGTGCCGCTCGTGCCCCACAACCGCTCGTGTTTTAGAACATGCCTTTTCATAGCAATTTCCCTTTTTTTTTTTTTCAATTTTTAAAGATTCCTTGAAGTTTATTTTTATATTTTTTTTTCAGCCGGAACCGTACTGGGTCCTGAAATCGACATGGAACTCTCCAAATGGCGAGCAAATTACCCCAGAATGGTCTCGAGGCCGGATTTTCGACCGAGACGTCGCGCAGTTCTTTCTGGATCGGATTAAAGTTTAAAAATATTTTTTCAGAGTGTGTTCATTCAGATGATATGTTCAGAAGACGAAAAATGGCGTCGTGACGGATGTTTCCAAGAAAGAGGGCAGGAAGGAGAAGCCGTGCGCCTTGAACACAGTCGAATTGATGAGGGTGGCTAGTAGTTCACTAGGTTGGAGTTTGTAAAGAGAAAAGAGTCAGAAATTGTTTATTTTTGATTTTTCAATTATTTTTATTCAAATAGAAGTGAATAATATGATTAGGAGTTGTTTTCAGGAAGTATTTTTTTAACAAATTGCTATGTCAAAAATACTTGGACTATAGCGTTTTTTTCTTTTCAATTTGAAGAAATTGAACTTTTGTAGGCCTGAGCCCAGCCACCACGATGTCAATAGCCGAACATCTCTACACCCAAGGCTTTATCTCTTATCCAAGAACTGAAACGACCGCCTATCCCCCCAGTTTTGACCTTATTGGACCTTTAAAACTACAAACTTCTGACCGGAAATGGGGCGAAATTGCTAGTCAGGTTAGGATAAAGCTTAAAATAAGTTGGAAATTTGAAAATGTTCATTTTAGGTACTCGCCGACGGGATCAAGAAGCCGAAAAGCGGGGTCGACAAAGGCGACCATCCGCCAATCACCCCGATGAGAGCTTCCAATGGACAGCTTTCTGGGGGTTTATTAATGATTTTTTTCAGGAAAAAGTTGGATTTTCATTAGAACAGTTGACTTAGGAACAATCAATAGAAACATAAATAAAATATTTAAAAAAATTTTTTTTTCTCTAGAACAAATTGAGTTAAAAGTCGACTAATATCCCGAAAAATTCCTAAGAATTTAGAGGAAATATTGCCTTTTTTACACTAATAATTGTTCTAGACATGCTCAAAGTATACTGAAAACTTAATTTAAAAAAAAATTTTTTGATTCACGAGCTTCAAGTTGACCGCTTTCCAGGGAATTATTATTGTGTTGTGCCCGCAGGTGGCCAGTGAAGACGTTGTAGTAGAAGATTTATTAGTAACACGAAACTAGACTATGCTAGCCCCCTTACAATAACAAACAAGGGGTTATATAGTGCTGAGGGAAGAGATCCCGAAGATTATGGAATGTTCCAGAATAAAGGTGGAGTTTATATAGTATTGAGATTAGAGTAAAAAGATGGAACATTCCAGAGTTTTTAGAGATCTGTCCCGGCAGCATTAGAACATTCGAGAACAATGTGGAACCTTCTAGAAAGGTAGAGAACAAATGAGAAGATTGTGGAACTTTCTAGAAGGGAAAAACTTTACACATGATCCCTATGACGTAATGAGACTAGAAATGTATGGAAAACTATAGAACATTCTAGAATCAGCTTAATATAAGCGTTATGCTCCAACACCTCCCTCCTAAGATGATTGTTACATTTCAGAAAGAAAAGAGAAATAATCATCTGATACATGTAACCTAACGTTGTAGGAATAGGGATTGATGTTTGACTTCAGGAGCGTGAAGATGACGTGTTGAGCGTCTTGGGCACGGCTTGAACAAAGTCGTAGTCGTCTGGTGGGCGACGTCTGCGGCGGCGTCGTCGTCTCAGCGATCGCAGTGTTCTTTTTGCACGTGTTGATCTTCTTTGCGCTGTTGAACCCGTGGCGTTGTCGGCATGTCTGCTTGCAGGTTTCACGTGGATGTCGACGCAAAGATGCTGCTCGATGTCTTCCGATGGAGTCGATGGAGTCGGCCGTGACAGCGTGGACCATGTTCGGCTTGACGTTGTTGAGCAGGTACGAGGCAGGCAGTTTCTTGGCGCAAAGAACGGCAACGTGGCACTCGTTCGACCAGTTGAGCGACTGGTAGTTGAACCGGCTTGCAGCAGGAGAAGTGCGGCTCCTGTTGTCTTTTGCGGCAACGGCGTCGTCAATGATTGTTGAATCCGTCAACTTGATGAGCTGCGAACCATCGTAGTTGAGCGGTGGCGGCATCCTTTTGGAGTGACCCAACTCGGGGTCCAAGCGTTCGTCCTTGTCGAGCTGTCTGATGTACCAAGCGTCAGGCAGAAGCGAAGTGTTGCACATCGACAGGTGAGCGCGGAAGCTGTTGTAGTACCATGGAGCTTCCATTGAGTGACGGTCTTCGTTGGTACTGCGGCCGTAGACGTTGTAGTCTGCATTCGAAGTAGCGCCTTGTGCTGAGATCTTGGAGTCAAAGATCTCGCTGATGCCAGGAACAGTCGACCCAACGTCTCGCAAACGGATGAATTCGTTGATGTAGTCGAACTGCTTGAGCTGTCCTCCGATCAGCTTGTTGAAGTCGTCCTCAGAAGATGAGCGCTGTTGCTGGTGCAACCACAGCGAGTCGTTGACGTTGGTCGAGAAATTGTGCACTTTCTTCTTCTTGACCACGACCTTGGGAGCTGCCCATTGCGAGTTGTTGACATTGTTGACGTCGTCTTCTTGATGGCGTACGTCTTTGTCGGTCTTCGCAGGTTGAGTGACGATGTTGAGTAATATAAGCGTTATGCTCCAACATATTGTTTTATTGGGAATACTAATTGGATAAATTTTCGACCGTGATTTCTCTCTAAAAAATGTTGGAAGTTATCTAAAGTTTAAAAAAAATCAGCTTCAACGTTTTTCCATAAGAAAATTGAGCGAAAATCGGCTTCTCAATTTTTACAATCATTTATTTTTGCAAGGCTCTTTTTTTTCGTTTGAAATTTCGCTATATAATGACTTTAAATCAATTTTAAAACGATAAACGTGACTTTAAGCTGAGCCAATAACTGAATTTCCGTCTGAAAAAGGTTCAAAATAAACTGAAAATGGGCCTTTTCTCACGAAAAATGGCTCAAAATCAAGTTTTCTAGGAAAGTTCGAAATTAAAAATACAATTCTCAGACCACGCCCGGATCTACGACTACGTGGCGCAGCATTTCATCGCCACTCTCATGTCTCCTTGCATTTATGACGTCACTACTATTAGGTAGAGTTCTAGGGAACACTTTAGGGATCATAATGGAGATCGGGAATTTGTCAATATTAATAGGAACTATCAGTGACGAATTAGGACACATATATGACGTCATTGCTACTAGATAGAGTTCTAGTGACCACTCTAGGGATGAAAATGGAGGTCAGAAAATTTTTAATGGTAATTTGAGCTATCGGCGACAAATTCGAACGGATATAGGACGTCACAACCATTAGGTAGAGTTCTAGGGGACACTTTAGGGATGAAAATGGAAGTCAGAAAATTTTTAATGGTAATTTGAGCTATCGGTGACAAAATAAACGACTATTAGGTTAGTTTTAGGGGATACTTAAGGGATAAAAGAACTTAGAAGTGAATTTGTGTTTCATTTGAACTATCGGTGACAAAATACGATAGATCTATGACGTCACTACTAGAGTTCTCAAAATGACCAATTGAAAAAAAGGACATTTTTCAAAAACGAAAAATTTTCTTTTTGACATTTCAAACGAATTTCGTTTTTGAAAGATCAACCAAAATTGATCACTTTCATTCTTTTTCATTTTGTGACTTTTCAAATAATGACTGAAAAATAAATGGTCATTTTCTAAACAATCATATTCTGACTATTAAATAAATGTTCGTCCTAATGACCAAATTTTTTTGAAAGTGAAAAAGTAAATGTTCATTTTTTTGACCAAAATTTCCGAAATGAACTTTACATGTTTACTTTTTGACCAAAAATTTTTCAAAAAGTGAAATTTAAATGTTTACTTTTTCGTACAAAAAAATTTTTTTTGTCAACTGTGAAAAATTAAATGTTCATTTTTTGGCCGATAATTTTCGGAACCTGGATTTTCCGAACCACATCAATACTTTTCCTTTTTCCTCATTCAATTAAATCTCCAGATAGCACCTTTCTTCCGGTCTGCTCATTTTTGACCGGTTCCATATAATTTTTCTCGGCCTTAACCGGCTTTTAGCTTTGCCCAGATTTATTAATTTATAACCAGAAATTAGTTTGAATTTCGAAGTAATCAATTCATGATTTCATTTGGAGAAGACTGAGACAAAATTGACTCCGACACAGATACTGCCAAGTTCCGTAATAGTAATGAATAAAGTAATGAATAAATGTTTACCTTTTTTTGAAAAAAATTTTTCAAAGTGAAATTTGAATGGTCACTATTTTGACCAAAAATTTTTTTGAAATGAACTTTAAATGTTTACTTTTCTGACCAAAAGTTTCAAAAATGAAATTTAAATGTTCATTTTTTTGACCAAAATTTCCGAAATGAATTTTTAAATGTTTACTTTTTTTGACCAAAAGTTTGAAAAATGAAATTTAAATGTTCATTTTTTTAACCAAAAATTTTTTTCGAAAAAAATAAGTAATTGTTCATTTTTAAATGCTCAATTATGAAATTTAACCAAAAATGAAGTTTTTTTAACAAACGGTTCAAGTGAAATTTAACTAATTGGTCGAATTCATCAAACGTTCGGAAAATGTTTGGTTGAACGTTCGTTCAAACATTTACTTTTGAGAACTCTAGTCACTACCATAAGGTAGATTTCTAGGGAACACTTGAGGGATGAAAATACAGATCAGCGATTTTTCAATGTTAATTTGAGCTATCCGTGAGCAAACACGATAGATTTATGACGTCACTACTACTAGGTAGAGTTCTAGGGAACACTTGAGGGATTTACAGGGATTTTTCGATGGATGTCATAGTCAGGTACACTGCTTTGAGAAAAATGGGAAATTTGTTATTTTCACTTTTAGAAGTCTAAATTAATAAGAAAGCTTCACAAAATACGTTTCTGGCAGTCAATTTGAGTGCTACAATCTTCAAAGCTTCCATTTTGATTTCCAAAAATTCAGAATCAAATGCGGAGAGGAGGAGTTCTCGGTCCAGGGGAAGACGATGCGAGAACCCGGTTTCACGGCGGTTCTAACTTGGATGACGCCGGAAGATGACGTCAAGGTGCCGACGTCGTTGACCAAGGGCGTTCAGATCGTCTTGAAGTATGACAGTAGCTTTTTAGGGGTTCTGCAGCTTTTTATTAAAGCTGAAAGTCAAATTTGTACTAAAAAATGAGCTTCCTTGGCCTTTTTTAATTGGAAACATGGGAAAATGCGTTTTTTTTTGATGGTTGAGATTTTTTGAACGGATTTGACTGAAATTTAAGACTTCTTGAGCCCGAATTCCAAAAAAAAAAATGAACCAACGGCGTTCAGATCGACTTAAAGTACGAAAACTGATTTTTTTGGGATTCTGTAGCAATTTTAAACGAGGAAAAAGTTAATTTTTACCAAAAAAAGGGATCAATTGGCCTTTTTTTGACCAAAAAGAGGAAAAATGAAGACAGAAGAAAGATGACAGTGTGAGTTATTGATTGAATTCGGATGAAGTTTATCTGAAGAAATTTTTAATTCCAAATTCAAAAAAAGGAATATGGGCGTTCAAATCGTTTTGAAATACGAAAGTGGCTTTTTAAATTCAAAATTAAACGGGAAAAGTTGATAGGACGGCGCGCAGTAAAAATTTAGGGCCTTACTAGTTAGAAGCGGATTTTGAAAAAGTCTATGAAAAAGGTTTAGCAACAGTGAGAGTTCCTTTCTCCAGTCAAAAAAGATCGAAAAACCTCTATTTTTTGACACTGACACTTTGAAGGCAGCCTTTGAGTCTGATCTCGACCGAATCACTATAAACTTGTCGAAATTCTTAATTTGGCCTTTTTTTGACCCTTCAATATGAAAATTCTCCTCATTAGGGACGCCGAACTGTCAGCGAGAGAAACGACGCCGCCGAGCTATCTAACCGAGTCTGAACTGATTTCCTTGATGGAAAAACATGGAATCGGAACGGATGCCTCGATTCCGGTGCATATCAATACAATCACCCAGAGGAATTACGTCACGGTACCTCGAAAATCAAAGAAACTTTGAGGAGTTTGAAGATTTTTAGGTTGAAAGCGGCCGGAGATTGGTTCCGACCCGCCTTGGCCAGTGCTTGGTCAGAGGTTATTGGAAGGTGTGGAAATTTATTTTGAGCCTCTGAAAGTCTTATAAAAACCGTTCACTGCGCCAATAACTGAATTTTTTTTTTCTGAAAAGGTTCTAAATGCACTGAAAATGGACCTCTCCTCACGAAAAATGGCTCAAAATTTCCTAATTGAAAGTTTCCGAGTGTCTGCGTCTCTCTGTTCCCTCACCCGGGAGATATGAAAATAGCACGTCAACATGAGAGAGTAACCGAGAGACGAGAAGGGCACAGAGAAGCTCTACGCTTTCGAGGCGCGAAAAACGGACTACCGGAAGTATTTGCTTCAACATGAATTTTAAAAAAATAAAATACTCCTTTAGACTCCTAACGGCGGCCTGAAGAGACGCCAGAGAAGTAGGAGCGCTCTCGTTTCTCTGGCGTCTCTTCAGGCCACCTTGAACTCTCACCATTCTTTTTTTATGTCATTTCTTTGAACTAATTAAAATCCTTCTCGATTAGTATTAGGGTGAATTTTTAGGAGCACGAGGTGAAATTGTGAAATTAGCGATGGGTTCTTTGAATTTTTCTCTAGGTCGACCCTGAGCTTGTACTCCCCACAATGAGAGCCGAATTGGAGACCCAACTTAACTTGGTGGCCACTGGCCGGGCGGATTATATCGCGGTGAACATTATAAATTTTTCAATCATCAAAATGACAATTTCTAGGTCAAAAACCATGCGTTGAAGATGTTCGAGCTGAAATTTCAGTACTTTGTGAAGAATATCCCGCTGGTCGACACGCTTTTTGAAGGTTTATCCAGGGTTCGATGAGAAATAAGCACATAAAACGTCGTTTTTAATATTTAGTTCATTTTAGAAAAAGTAGAATTTGGCATAACATTTAGAGGCTCATTCAGGGAGAAAAACTGGGAAAAAAATTGAATTTAAGAAAAAAATCGAAATTTTCAATTTATTGAGAAGAAAGGTCTTATTTTTTTCAGTGATTTCTGTACTTTTTTTCAGTAGATTTTAAGAATAATTTTTTTCACTAAAAATTTTTTTTTTCGGAAAAACTAGGGTTATTTTGATCAGTTTTTAATGATTCATTAGTCAAAAAAATATTTTTAATAGAAGCGTTTTTTTAGTTGATAATGAGTGGAAGGTTGAATTTTGATGAAACTGAGAAGATGACCTGCACATCTTAGTAATGCGCGGCAGTTTTAAATTGTGTAGATTTACGGGGTTAGATCTAGAAACTATAACATTTACAGACAGTTCTAGGGGGTTTTTTTCATTTTTTTATACCTTTAGGGATTTCCCAAGATTTTTAAGATTTTCATCTTCTCCTTGGTAAAAAGTGTCAAATTTTTGAAACACCTTGACTTTTGAACCTACAGAAAGTTTTTTAGAAAATTGCTGACCCCTAGAAAAGTCTATAAGTTTGAAGATTTTTTTCAAGAAATTTGAGCTTTTACTTGGAAAAAAAGTATCATATTCTAACATCAAGATTTTCAAACCTACAGAAAGTTTTTCAGAAACATTTTCAGCCTCTAGAAAAATTCTATAAGTTTGAAGGTTTTGAAGAAGTTTTGCAATAAAGAGAGTATCATATAAGATTTTAGAACCCACAAAAAAACTTTCAGCCTCATTCACCACACTTTCCGACTCCGGGAAGCCTTTCAGTAGGTGCGGAAAATGTCGAAGATACATGAAGCTCATCCAGACGATGCCCCAACGGCTTTTCTGTTCCACTTGTCAAGTTTGATGATTTTCAAAAGAAAATCTTCAAAAATACATTTGTAGGACACCTATTCAGTTCCGAACTCACGTGATGGCTCTTTAAGGGTTTTGGGTGATTTGAAATGTCCCTTGGATGATTTTGACCTCGTTTTTTGGCAGGTAAGGTTAAAAAATGTTTTAGGTATGCGGGTAGAATAAATATTTGGATTTTCATAAAGTCCTTGGAATTTTTTTTGAGAACCCCTCTCCCCTCTAAGTTTCAAGTTTTAGCTCTTTCAGATTCCCCCAGATTCCAAGCTTCAGCTCTTTGAGATCCCCCTCTCCGGATTCCAAGCTGTAGTTTTTTTAAGAACCCCTCCCCTTTTTCCTCTAAGTCATAACCCCTGAGGTTTTTTTCTTAAATGTCTTCTTGAAATTTTGCCAGATTGAAGGTTGTTGAGAACGCCTCCCCCTTCAATTTTTGAGCTTTAGGTCTGAAATCGATTTAAATGAACCTGAACTGCTCCTTAAATCTTTCTTCAAATTCAAGCTGATCAAAAATAAATTTTTCAAGGGACCTGGCGGGAAATTATCGAGAAGCTACCCGTTGTGCCCGTACTGCTACAATAATCCGCCCTTTGAGAAGATGAAACAGGCTTCCGGATGTGATAATTGCCCACATCCGTCTTGTCCCAACTCTTTTTCGTTAGTCCATTTTGTAATTTCCAAAAAAAAAAATGGAAATTTTTAGGATGATGGGCGTTTGCGGGTGCTTGCAGGACTGTGGAGGTTTAAAATTTGTCAAAAAAAGTTCTATCATCATTTTTCATCAGGTGTTATGGTTCTTGACCCTCAATCGCATCCGAAATGGCGATTGGCTTGCAATAAATGCGCCTCTGTCGTCGGTCTATTTGAAGGGGCCCTTAAAGTGAAAGTCAGCTCGGAGGCATCTTGCTCCGAATGCGGGGCTCAACACGTCAAAGCCGAGTACAAGGTGATTTCGGGGAATCCAGGAAAATATTATAAGTGAAGTAGTTTTTGCTCAACTTTTTTCAAGGCCATTGGATAGTTCTCATCGAAAGCCATTCCAAATGCGGTCCTTGCCGGTTGAGAGTTCAATTTTCTGTGACTTTTAGAGTTTTTAAGACACATTTTTAATAGTTTCGATTTGTGCAAAAGCTTTCAAGTTTTGAAAAATCAAGGATTATCTGCAATTTTTTTAGAGTAAGCCATTCCAAATGCGGTCATTCCGACTTAGAGTTCGAAATTCTGTAAAATTTCGATAACTTTTCCTAATTTTAGAGTTTTGGCACACACTTTCAATAGTTTAGATTCGTCCAAACACTTAAATTTTGAGAATAATAGGAAGCTTTTCTGAATTTTCTCCAAGTAAGCCATTCCAAATGCGGCCTTTCTGGCTGGAAGTTTGCATTTTTTTTTCGATACTAGACACACTTTTCGAAAAGATCCAATAAGTCGGAGCTACCTGATTTTTAAAAAAAGTGGTTCTGGAGCAACTTTCAAAAAGACAAAGAAACTTGGGTAATTTTGTTAAGAACAGTCATTCCAAATGCGACCATTCATATCGAAATTTCTGCTTTTAGAGCTTCTGAGACCAATTTTTCGATTTTTTCGGAGGTATCAGTAAAAAATAAGTGAAAAATTGACTGATTTTCGGAATTTTTTTAGAATGAGCCATTCCAAATGCGACCATTCCTCTCGAATTTTTCGTTTTTAGAGTTTTAAGACCTATTTTCAATAGTTTTGATTGGTCCAAAGCCATCAGATAGCCATCTTTTTGAAAAAATACAGCTGTTTGGATTTTTCTTATGATTAAGCCATTCCAAATGCGGGCTTTCCGGTTGAAAAATTCGAATTTTTTTGTGATACTAGAAAAAAACTTTCAAAGTATTCCAATATATCCAAAGCTATGTGATTTTAAAAAAATTCAAAAAAATCTAAAAGCTTCCCAAAAATTCCCTTCAAAAAAGCCATTCCAAATGCGGTCATCTTGTCTTTTCCAGCCCGGCCAAGGAAAAAACCCCCTGAATGGCGACTTGAACTACGAGGGCTGTTTATTCTGCGACGCAGCCAAGAAATTCCCAGAAGCCGTCAACCTGAATCACGCCTACCTCTCCGAAGAGGTCCGACAGCAGAGGACCTTCGAGGCGGCAAGGGGCGGACGAAGAGGCCGGGGAAGGGGTCGCGGAAGGGGTCGTGGGAGGGGTCGATGAAGGGATTTTATGATTTTCAGTTGATTCCGTGATTTTTCGGCAATTTTTAGGAGTTTTAAGTGGAAAAAAGTGATTTTGAGACGATTTTTAGGGGTTTGAAGTAGAAAAAAAATGACTTTGGAAGATTTGAATTGAATTTTTCAGCATTTTGAGGATTTTATAAGAATTTTGGAATGACTCAAGTACCTTACAGTTTCAAAGAGTGTACATTTTCAAAAATAAAAGTTTTTTTGAGTTGATTCGTATTGAACATGAAGAGCTTGGAATTTTTTTTGTGGATTTTTTTGAAGATTTTTTTGAGCTTCAAGGCTATTTTTTTCATGGCTTTTTAGAATATTTTAAAGATTTCTGAAAAATCTCTAAAGAGGATTTTTTTGAAAAACTAGTTGATGCGCAGTAAATTTTAGTTTGAAAATTGAGATTTTTCGAGGCTTTTCCGAAAAAAAAAAATCGAAATTTAATATTTTGGTGGTTTTCAAAAAGTATCACGAAAGGATTTTTAATTATTAGTTGATGCGCAGTGAAATTTTATTGAAAAACATAGAAGATTTGAGATTTTCAAAGCGACCTTTTCGAATAAAAACTGAAGATATTGCTAAATATGAGATTTTTTTCAAAACTTTAAATTTTTTTATCGGTTTTTTTAGAGCTTTCTTCATTTATTTTAAAAATAATCCTTTTTCAATTTCTTTTTTTCTGAAATTCAATAAATTTCTGACATAATTTGTTATTCGACGATGCGTGTAATTTTGTAGTTTCTTGTTGTTTTGTTATATTTTATTAATAAATAAGTTTTCTTTTTTTCCGGATTTTTATATACTTTCAAAGCTTTTTCTCAGCTCATTTCGTACCTTTTTTTCGCATTTCGTAAAATGTTTCATAGTTTTTTTGTTGATAAATGCCACCAAAAAAGGCGGCGCCAAAAAAGCAGCGGCTGCGGAAAGGAAGAAGGAACGAAAAAAAGGAGGCCAAAGGGGGCACGGCGGTGAAAGTTCGGCATATTCTCTGTGAAAAAAACAGGTTATTTTATCATTTTTTTCATGATAAAAAAAGCTTCAGAATGATAGTAAACAATGAGAAAAATAAAGTTGAGGTGAAATACAGGAAGAATCTTTTGAAATATCGATTTTTAAAAAAACTTTCTATCTATTTTTTTCCTTCCTTCCTGTGTAAGATTTTTGAAATTTGAAGGTTTTTTGAGGATTTTTCAGCGGAAAAAGTTTGATTTTTATCACTTTTGAAGTTTCGGAGGAGACTTTTCAATTCCTTCATATTCTTAAAAGGCACCTGGAGTATTTAAATATTTTTTTTTTCATTTCCAAGAGTTTTTTCTGCAAAAATTTGTTGTTACTAATTTTTCTTTTTTATTTCGTTGTTTTTTTTCGAATCTGAAACTCATTCTGAAGCTTATTATCTGAGAAAAATTCGAAAAACGTTTTAAGCGAGTTTTTTACTATACTTCTCCTACATAGAAGGGACATTTTTAATTTAATTTTTTTTTTTACTTTTTAACATTTTCAAATTTATATGAACTTCCATTCAAGAAAAATGACAATCCAGACGTTTTATCGAGTTTATAGGTTTAGCTACTGCAACTCAAAATTTTAAGAAAAGAATAATGAAACAAATAATTATTAATTCATAAAGGTATGTTCAAAAATTCTTCATGTGCAGTTTAAAGGAGCGAACTTTGAAGCATATTTCGAGATGAAGAGCTTTTTTCAGTGTTATTTGAGGTTTTGCAAGACGTCTGCACTTACCTTTTTGAGGATTGAAAAACAATTTTTATACGTTCCAAGAGCTCAATTCCATTGTTTTCCACCTCAAAACGGACGAAGTTTCTAGGGAAAAGCTCTGGAAGCGATAGAAAAGTTGAAATCGGGCATGAAGTTCAACGAGGTGGCGGCGCAGTACAGTGAAGACAAGGCAAGATCCGGGGTTCGTTTTCTTTAGCCTTCAGAGCAGATTCTCTGCTATAGCTGATTCACGGTTAGCTTGGGACTTTAAGGGGCGTGGCCTGTCTGCGCTCTCCGCGAGCCAAACAATATCTCGTGCATTATCGTGTCAGGACCCTTTTTTCGATGACTCAAGTCAGCCGTGAATCAGCTATAAATCAAGGAAAAATTGAAGAGTTTTTCGTCGGATCGTGAAACTGTCGTTGATCAAAAACGGCGTTTGGAGCATGGAGCATTTCTTTATTGAAGTAGTGTTAATAGGCTAACCTAATAGTAATCATAAGAAAAATCAATCAATCATCATCAATTTCAGGGCGACTTGGGCTGGATGACCCGCGGCAGCATGGTTGGACCTTTTCAAGACGCCGCCTTCGCCTTGAGCAACAGTTCCTGTGATAAACCAATCTATACCGATCCGCCAGTCAAAACCAAATTCGGCTATCATGTCATTATGGTCGAGGGGAAGAAATAAAATCGATTGTTGATTTTGTTATTTTTTTCATTTTCCATAAATATTCCCATTTTTAACTTTACGTCGCGTGAAAAATGGTTTGTACCAACTCTAACTCGATCGCCGTGATATATGGTATATTTTTTGTAATACTTGATCTTAATGCAAATTTCGCTTCGAGGCATGTGCTTTTCGAATTTTTCCAAGGACGGATTCGAAAAAGTGTGAAAAGTGCAAAGAAGAACTGTGTTTTTTGGGTACTGTATATTTCTCGACTGCGAACACCGCGTCATTGCAGACCGTGCATTTCATTTTACGCGCCGCTCTTGTAAATTTACGAGAATTTCATGGAGTTTTCCACCGTAAAATTTTTTTTAGAACTGTTTGCTGATATTTTTTATATTTTTTTGTGATCCTTATCAGCATCAGACTTGCTATTTTGAACCTTTTTCTGTTAAAATTGGACTCGAAAAGCACCCTTTCGAAAGAACCTTCTATTGTATATAAACTAGAATTATTTGAAATCGATCTATTTTTCATTCTGAATCTCGAAATTTTTATTTTGCGATGAAAAAAATTTGAAAAAAAGTACACTAAGAATAACTGACGAGATAAATGCGAGCTCGGTGGCGGTACATTGACTAACTCGCAATAATGTCGCTTTTTTCTAGGCGCGATCCCGCATTTATCTCGGCGCGACCTCGCATTTTTCTCGGCGCCATCTCGCATTTATCTTGCATTTCGGAAATTTTCAAATTGCGAGAGAAATGCGAGCTCGCGCCTAGAAAAATGCGAGCTCGCGCCCAAACAAATGCGAAACCGGCGCGAGAAAAAATGCGAGATGTTTGCGAGCTCGTCAATGTACCGCCAGTGTCTCGCGTTTATCTCGGCAGTTATTCTTAGTGTAAACGCGCCTTTTGTTCTCTTTTTGCAGATAAACCGTGCACTTTGTGCGTTGCTCGCCACGCCCATATGTTTTTTTTTCAAAAAAATTTATTTTGTTGTTTACTTCAATTTTTACAGTGTTTCTGGGTGTTTTTTGTGCTTTATTACTAATTGGTGTGAAGCCAGCTTAATTGGAATGTTCTTCCGGAATATATTTTTGTCGAAAGTGGTTTTAAAATCGCGTTGAATTGTAAAAGCGATTTTTTTTATTTTGGAAATAGTTTACTTTGTTTTCGTCGCCAATATATCGATTTTGAGGCTTCGAATCATTACCTGTACAAAGTAGCGAGGTTTTGAGTGTAAATTCGCAACTGTTAAATACAATTTCAATGAGTCATCGGGAGGCGGTGTTACGAAAGTTGGCTGACGTTTTCATTATTTTTTTATCTTCATAAAAAGCTTTTTTTGGAGATTTATTAAGACGTTCTAAATCATCAACCGAAGCTAAAATATTTCAAATTTCTTGTTTTTTTGTTTCTTCAAAAAAACGTTTTTTTCATGTATAGAAAGTTTTAAATTTTCCTAGTTTTTCACGGCCTTTTTCATGATAGTTTGTTCAGTTCCATCAAAAGCTGAGTAAAAAAATTTTTGATCATATAAAAAAGATCTAATATATGATTATTCTACTATCCAAACCTTCGTTTTTTGTGCTTTTTTGTTCAGAAGACTTATTGGTTGAACTTTTTGATCCTAATATCCATTACAGAAACATGGATTTCTTGTTCGGCCGTCGGAAAACGCCAGCAGAAATGCTGAGGCAGAATCAAAGGGCTTTGAATAAGGCGATTCGCGAATTAGATCGTGAAAAGCAAAGGATGGAAATGCAGGAAAAGAAAGTGATTGCCGAGATCAAGAATATGGCCAAGAAGAATCAAATGGTAAAGATTTAGATTCAATTTTGAAGCTCTATTTTTTTGTCTATGATAAATAAATGCGTTAAAGATTCATAAAACGTTTCAAAAATAAAAAGATGTCGGAAATTAATAAATAAAGTTTTTTTGGTGTTTTAATTCGATGTATTTTGATATGAAGCTTGTTTCAAGGTCCCGTATGCTTTTGGACATAATTTTGTAGCTGTTCTTTGAAAAATATGTTTTTTATGTCATTTTTAGCGTCGTTTAGAAAAATATTGTACCTTTGGATCAATAGTAAAAGTTTTTCTTCCTTCTGTATTTTAATAATATTCAATTTTTCTCAGGACTCTGTAAAAAAATCATGGCCAAGGATTTGGTCAGAACACGACGTTATATCAAGAAGTTCATCGTCATGAAGGCCAATATTCAGGTTTCATAATAATTTCTATACTTTTTGAAGGAATAAATTAATTTTCAGGCGGTTTCACTCAAGGTCCAGACGTTGAAAAGTCAAGAGGCGATGGCTTCGGTTGGTTTTTCGGAAAAAAATGTCTAATTTTGGGATTCAGGCAATGAAAGGTGTGACAAAGGCGATGCAGTCGATGAACCGACAAATGAATTTGCCGCAAATTCAGAAGATCATGATGGAGGTGAAGATTATTATTTTTTTCTTGAATTTTTGTTTCCCTGAAGTGGTGAGATGTCCGTCCTTTCAGCCTATAACTAATAAAAAAAACCCAAAAATCGTGAAAATCTTGTATTTGTCAGAAAATTCAAACTGTATACAGTCTGTACAGATTTTAAATATCAAGCTCCGCCTTCACGGCTATAATACCTTTCGAGTTAATTTTTTATCCCGCGTGACGATGGTCCTTTAATAGCGCTCCATTTTTGACGTCTTTTGTACCTTTTTTCATAAGAAATTCATTTTTCAAACGTCTTTTTGAATCGCCAAACTTATTAATCACCATTTTTCGTTCAAGGAATGTTCAGTTTTCCGAAAAATATTCACTTAATTGAAGATTTTTTTTTTTTCTGAGCTTGAATAATTGTTGGATAACTGAAAAATCATCACTTTTTCAAGGAACATTCAATTTTTCAAAAAAAATTCACTTTGAAGACGTTACTCTGGGCTCAAATAAGGAATAATTTTTAACTCACCATTTTTTCAAGGATCATTTGATTTTTTTCTTAAAATTTTTCACACTTTGAAGACGTTATTCTAAGCTCAAATAACTGTCCCAAAAATCATGAATCACCAATTTTTCAAGAATTCAATTTTTTTCTCAAAAATTCTCATTTTGAAGACGTTGTGTTTTGAGCTCAAATAATTGTTCCAAAAACTCATAAATCGCCATTTATCGTTCAAAGGTTGTTTAGTTTTCCGAAAAATATTCACTTCTTTGAAGATTTTTTTCAAGAATCATTCAATTTTTGCTCAAATCTCTCACTTTCAAGACGTTTTTTTCCTAGCTCAAATAATTGCCCAGTAACTAATAAATCACCATTTTCTGTTCAAGGACTGTTTAATTTTACGAAAATAATTATATTCCTTGAATATTCGCTTTTTGAGTTCAAATGATTGTCAAGTAACTAATAAATCTCCTTTTTTTTCAAGAATCATTCAATTTTGCTCGAATCTCTCACTTTCAAGACGTTTTTCCTAACTCAAAAAGTCAAGTGATCGCAATTTCGCGTTGCAGTTCGAAAAGCAAAGCGAGATAATGGACATGAAGGAGGAAATAATGGGCGACGCGATCGACGACGCCCTGGGCGATGAGACGGACGACGCCGAGAGCGAGCAGGTCGTCAACCAGGTGAGAATCAATCAATCAATATATCGACTTTATCCATTGTTTGCCTTCTCCAGGTGCTCGACGAGCTCGGCATCCAGTTGGGGGAGGAGATGGCGGGACTTCCGACGGCGGGCGGATCGATAGGCGTCGCCGGCGGTGAGAGAGCTGGACGACAGGCCGTGGCAGCAGGTGGAGGTGGAGCTGGAGGAGCTGTTGGAGGCTCAGCTGGACCCTCGGGCAATGATATCGACGATGATCTGCAGGTAAACGAAGACCATAAGTGAAAAATTGAATTTTCACGGGAAACTTTATCCAGCCACCGTTTCTCTTTCTAAAGGAAATTGGGCTGAAGAGTACCTATTCATGCCCAAAAAAAACCTCGTGATAGATCCTGTTTTCGAGTGATAAAATTTCAAAAGCTGGAATTTTGGTCGATTTTGCGAATTTTAAAGTGTTAAAAATTCTATAGTTGTCACTTGACACGAAGACCTATTACGAGAATTTTTTTTGTACTGAAATCCGGAGCTCTTGAAGTACACTTTATCAAAATTTCAACCTGAGCTAGAAAAAAGTTCCCTTGTCCTTCCTCGGTAGAACTCTAAAGTGGTCCCTTGAGTATAAATTCAATCTCTTGCCTTCTCCTACCCCCTAAGTGTTCACTTAAGGCTAAATAAGCATTTTGAAAGTTTTCTTGATAATCAGTGATAGTATGAATTTCATACTATGAAATAGTATAATGATTAGTTTAACTATTATAAATACTTCAAAGGGGCACTTAAGTGAAGGTTCTGGAATTATCTATCTTGCATTCAAGTGGCAACTACAGTGTTCATAACTCTTTTGAAAATCGCAATTTTTTTACTTTTGAATAGAAATACGTATATAAAATCGAGTGACCGCTTCAAGTACTCCCTTCAGGGTTTTTTTTTTCCTATTTTCAAGCGAAAGCTTTCAATTGGTTTTTCACAAGGCCAACTTCAATTTATCACCCTAGTTTTTTTTAATAATTCGATGGAAGCGCAAAAATTGGTCCATTTCGAATGGCCACTCAAGTACCTTTTTTATTCTTAAATGAGAAGGCTGCTAAGTGGTCCCTTAAGAGGCCAGATCCAAGCATTCATTAAAGGGTTTTATTCTCAAAATTACCTTTTCAAAATCTTCAGGCACGCCTCGATCAGCTGCGACGGGAATGAACCCAACAACTTGCAAAAAAAGAAAAATCCTCTTTTTTTTTCTCTGTCAATTTCCAATAATTCCCTCGTTTATTTGTACAGTTCATCATCATCCTAACCAATTGTAAATTCGATGGATATACGGCTTATGTAATTTTAATTGAAAACATATAAAGTTTATACGGCAGGACGAGAAGAAGTGAAAGCTCCCAGAAAAAATCCCTGTTAAAGCCCTCAAAAAAGCACATTTTTCAGCAAAAAAAAATTTCAGAATAATCAAACAGAGGTCATTGGATAAAATCGGCGAACAGTTTCGTCACGTTCATAACGTTCCCGAACGTGTACAACCTCCTCCATTCTTCTTTCTTGGTTATAAAAGTCCTGAAGAATCGGGAAAATTTTCAAATTTATGTAAATTAACCTTTTGAGAAGGTTCTGGAGGGCATTTTGGGGCCGATTTCATCGAGGTGTTTGAACTTCTGAAATTAATTTGTATCCTAATCTAGGATAAATTATAATTAGTACCTAGAATAAGAAGAGGAGGAAGATTTGATCAATTGAGGCTGACATTCGGGAGCTTTCTCGCCGCCGTATTGAATCGGAACGTTGTAGACTGGCTGTGGGTAGTCGGATTTCCTAGAAAAAATTTCTAGTATTTAATTTAACGGGAAAATTTTAAAAGATCAGCTGAAGAAACTGTCACACATGTAATCCGTAGGAATAGGCCTTTTCCGCCAGCTTGTCACAATTCTTGCATTCCTCCAATCGAGAATCATTCCGTTCAAAGCGCGCGGACTATTTCTGTGCGTGCGTCTTTTATTCGGATTATTAAAGGCGCATACACGAAGAAAAGCCACGCGCATTGAAAGGAAGAGTTTTGTAGCTCAGAGGGAAATGAGAATCGTGAATAGCTGGCGTGTAATGAGCTACAAAGCATCAGGAGTTCAGGTTTTTCAAGGAGTCCAATCAATGAATACGATGACCATGAAGCTGTTTTCGAAGCGAAATTAAAAATTATGCCTTGCCCTCCAAAATTTAGTCATCGTTTTCACTCTATAGTGTTTTCTGCGTGATAGGGCCACTACTTGAAGGAACAGCAGTAAAAAAAAGAACCGTAAACAGCTCTTTATTTTGCATGTTTTCTCTACGAAACAGCAAAAAGACAGGTCTTGAAGCGAAGTTTGGTCTTATAGCTCATTCCACTCAGCTTTTCACGTTTTCCTTTCCGCCAAGAAGACCCTATACCAATATAGATAAAATTCGCTTCGAGACCTTTTTTTCGGCTTTTTTTCAGTTTTGTAGAGCTTTATACGGTAGTTGCTGTAATTTTGAAACGTGTCGCGGTCACTTTTGTTATATATACATAAGATCTTTTTTGAAGAAGAAAACCCGGACAAGCTGGCGCGAAATGGGCTATAACTGTTATTATGATTTTGCGAAAATCTTCAACGGTAATATCTATCAGCCTGAACCATCCAAATCTCATCGAAAAACCCAATAATCACCTGGGAACTTCACAAATCCTGGCGACTTGGACGGCGGGGGCTAGATTTACATCGGGTCTGGAAAAATTATGAATAATTCTAAATTCAAGAAAAAAAAAAACGAACACTCTACACAGGGGCTCCGTGTATACAGTGTGTACAGAAGGAGGTCGAATCGGTACTGGAGAACTGGAAAAATTCAATATTTCTTGGTAAAAAAAAATTTTCTCACTCCAGGCGGCACGATTCAGGACATGCCAGGGGCGCTTTGGGGGTTCTGGAAAAGGAAATTTTTATGGAAAATGTTTTCAAATCATCATAAAGTCCTGTAAAGCTGATAGAAGAAGTTTAAAAAAATCTCTGAAACCAAAAAAAAAACGTCATTTTCGATGAAAAAATACAGGAATGCTATACAAATTCTTAAGTTAAAATTTTAAGATATAACTTTTTCAAAACATGTTTAAAGAGATCGAAGTAAAAATCAAAGAAATTTCTGGCTTTTCAAAAACTTTCGAAACCGAAAAACAAGCTAAAATTGTCGAAAATTTTCAATTTATTCTATCAAAAAAGTTTAAAATTCAATTCATCTTTGATACGAAATTATAAAATCAAGTAAAAAAAAAAAGGGAAAATTCTTACCCATGACAAATATACTCGCCACGAGCCACCGGAGGAGTCCTAAAAAAATTTGCTTTCAATATGACAAGTTTTGAAAAATCAGACTAAAAAAATCAAGCACAAATTTGACAAATGACGTAAATAAACAATTAAAAAAATGATTAAATTAAAATACGAACCATGGAAATTCAATAAAAAGGCAATAATTATGTGAAAAATGGATATATTTTCAAAGAACCAAAAAAGTGAGAAATTATTCACATCCGAGACGAAAATTCAGATTCCTTGCGCGGGGGGAGTGGGGGCCGCTGGATTTTTTCTCCAAAAATGGTCCTAAAATCGAATTTTTCGTTGTATTTCGATGAGAACTTCAGGAAAACTTGTCATAAGATTCTGATCGACTGTTCGAACGAACTGTAGTCGTTCGGCTAGAAGATCTCAAGTTGCTGTCGATTCTGAAAGCAAAAATCGATTCCTTCTGAAATTTTTTTTTCAACTTCAGCATTTTTTAATGCCATGTTCAAAGCGATTCGGCGAAATCAAGGGTACTTTAAACACGGCATACGTGTAAAAAGTTGAAAAATTAAATAGAAAAAAATAGGAAAGGACTTGAAAGAGGAGATATTGGAAAAAAAGTCAACTTATAAATTTTTTTACTTTTTTTAAAAAAATATTTTTTTCTAGAGCCCTTATATAAATTATGGATCTAGAATCAAAAAAATTCATATATAAATTTGGGTTTAGAAATCTGCGAAACTGAGCAAAAAAATGGAAAAATACAGTTAAAAAAAGTCATGATATGGGAGAAGCGACAATCTTCTTTTTTTCAAGAAATCCCTGACGTATATAAAAAAAGACAGTTTTGAAAGTATCCTACCGGATGAAAAAAATGAAATTACCTATGAAAAATGTCAATATCATTAAATTCCTTGAAAGTAAAAAAAATCGTGAAATGAGCTCATTTTCTATATTTAAATCGGATTCTTTTTCGAAGAGTTTTCAAGATATATCAACTTGTATAAACAGACACAGTTTTCAAAACATCATACCTCATAAAACTGGCGAATTATCAATAGAAAACAAGATTTACAGTCCGGTCACAAAAGATACGAAATAATCACTTTTTCACAACTTTCTTCTATGGAGTTTAATCTTCCTGAAACTTCTTGTAGATTTTTTTTGGAAGCTGAAACTCCACCAGTGCATTTTAGATATTAGTTATGGCAACTCCAGAAAATTTCAGAATTATTAGTCTTCATTCAAAAAAATTTGTGAACAAAAATCCTTTTTTTCGTATATTTTCTGACGGTACCTAAATCAATAAAAAAAGAAGAGATATACTTAAACTATCCCTATAACTACAAATTTCAATAAAAAAAGAAAAATATATTATTACATCTGCGGTTCGGGTGTTCTACAAGTTCTCGACGCGTCTGTGAACCGTGACGATTGACGAATTTCTTCTTGTCTAAAAATTAGACATCTCTAGGTTTTCAAGTACCCTGAAAAACAAAAAACCGTTCAACATTTCTCTGCTGATAAAAAGAAGACGGGGTGATTGTGCGGAACTGTGGCGTTGGAGCCGTTGGTGAGGGACTACTGGAAAAATCATCTTGAATAAATGAATACTACTTAAAAAATTGAGAATAAACCTATTTTTTTAGTTCATTACTATATTATATGATCAAAAAAATAACCTAATTTAAAAATAAATTAAGAATTTTTTTCTATAAAAAAACAGAAAAATCAAGCATATGAAATTTTTCAAAAACGTTGAAAAATCTGACTCTTGACCAAAAAAATCCATGAAGACCAGAAAAATTAAAAAAACGAGAGCCATTTAAAAAAAATCAAAATTCGAAAAAAACCAAGTATCCGGGATAGCCGGAATCACACACGTCTGCAGCTCATTGTCTTCTCGTTTCCTAAAAGAATTGATTTTCATTTTTTCAATAAATCAAAAACTGACAAGCATTCGATTTCCAGTGGCTTCTTGATCAGAAAATCACTACACGGTTTGAATCCATCTAATTCTTCTAGATTCGACGAAATCGGCTTTTCCACCGGCTTGAAATAAACCTGAAACGTGAAAAATTGCAGTGAAACACTTGAAAATAAAAAATTCTTGCTGATTTTTAAACCGATCGGAAATAACACAGTAAACGGCTCAACTTTTTAAGAAATTCATGAAAACTGCATGTTCCTTTAAAAATCTCAACATGAACCATTAAAAATTATAGGATTTCTATCATCAATTTTGATAATTACTCTTTCTAGGACCTTCATGAAAATAATCTATGCTCCTTTAAAAAAATCCTAACAACGGCTTTCAAAAATTATGGTTTTTCTATTGATCCTAGTTTATTTTTAAGAACTCCATGTTTCTTTTAAAACCTCCGGATGGATTTTTGAACAAAGTACGGCAGATCTAACATTAATATTGATCCTCGGAAGGCCTTTTTTATCGGCACACGGCGGCACGGGATAGCCAGTTGCGGCGTCGACAAAAATGTTGTGTCGATTTCGGACGTCTCCGAAATCGCTTACAGAAGAATCCGAAGAGGAGTCGATGTGACGGAGATGGCCTCGTGGCGCCTTCAATGGGGGCGGCTGAAAACTTTTTTAAATATTAACAACCGATCTCAAAAATCGGTGTAAGAAGACTACAAAAACTGAAATAAAAGTCTTCATAAAACCTAACAAAGTTTTTTTTTTCTTAACTTCAACAATATAAAGCAAAAAAAAGACTGAGATTTGGACGTAGTCAAAATATAAAAAATAATATAATGAGAAAAAAACAAAAAAACTTTTAGAAATCACAAAAAAAAATAGGAACTGTCGTAGCCGTGCGCATTGTACGCAATGACGAACGTGTGCACAGAACTTACGTAATTACAGTAACTCAAAATGATCAAAAATCGATTTTTTATCACCTTTCCGTATAAATTGATCGATTCACGATGTCCAGATGGTGTACAACCATGGCCGATTAGTTTTTTATCATAGCGGATCTGGAAACTTCGAAAATTCTACTATCAAAACATGGAAATATTTTTGTTTTTCGAAAGTTTCATGACGTATTTCGCCGATGCACCTCTCTAACAGGCAAATCTCTTGTAGGAGAAGGCGTCCTGACGGTGGGTTTTAGAAGTGGGACGTCATCTGAATGTCGGACGAGCACCGTCTTCTGAGCCCCGTCCCTCGGCGACGGTGACGTCACTATCACTTCTGGAGGTGACGTCCTCAAGGGTCTTCTGTGAGACACCGGCGCTTCTCGACGGATTTGACGATGTTTCTGGGAAAAAAATTTATATAAATATTGAAGATAGCGTTATCAAAAATACAATTCGAATGAAATTTCTAGATTTTTCTTTAGTTAGGACTGATTAGTCCTTCAAGGAGAAGTTTTCGAAAAACGGAAAAATTTCTAAACTCCGCTTAATTTCTACACTGATTTTCAAGGAAATATTGGAAAAAGGACTTTTTTGAAACATTCGGAAAAAGAGCAGAGAGAAAATTAAACCACCTCAAAATCACCATAATCGACAGTTTCTCGGAAATATTCAGAAACTCTGGAAGACGGTCTTTCCCTGTCACAGTCGACTTTTACCACAGGAAAGTGTCGGGAATTAATCCGATTTCCGTTTTCGTCTCTGAAAATGCCGAAAATCTGTATTATTATTCAAAATTTGAAAAGAAAAACCTCAATTTTCTATCTTCACAGTATGGTTCCAAAGAGGAAGGCCTTCTTCTGGTTGAACCATGTTGCGCCGGCCTAAAAAGTGAGTTTTCAGATAATAAAAAAACTTGAATAACTTTTTATTCAATAATAAAAACAAGAAATGTCTAAAGAAAAAAAGCTGAAAAAGTGGAATTTCTCAATAGAAAATTTTCAAGGAATCAAAAATTAACAATAACTTGCATTCATTTTTGCGCGCTTGTAAACAAGCTTTATCAGGCTACATCTATTCTTGACTGAACAAACTATTTTTTTAAAACTTAGAACGGAGAAAAAAATTGAGAAACATGATGAATTAAAAAAAGAAAAATTAAAATAGAAACTCAGAAAATTTTCAAAAAAATGCGATGACGCAAAAACTCAGACGGGCGTGTTTGCACACTTATTCGCTACAGTAGCCCTACAACAAAATATTCGACAAACCTCATGAAAACTTCTTTTGTATAAGTTTCCGTGACAGTTTCACAACGAGGACGATAACCATGACAAGATGGGGCACGGGACTCTGGAAAAAAGTTCAAGAAATAAGGGAAATTTTCGAAATTTGTCCAAAATAAGTAGATTTTTGAGCTTCGCAGGTTCATTATGTTGCTGCTTTTACTCTTGTAAATCGAAGTTGAAAGAAAAAAAAACCAACTTCTCTCAATGGGAACCTTCTGACGATGTCGCGAGCCCATGATCTGAATTAGGGCTAGAAAATGGGACAAAATTCAAATTTCGTCAAAATAAAATAAAAGAAAGAAGCAAAATATAGGAAAAGGAAGAAGCCAAGTAGATCATGTTACATCATCTTCCCCGCCATTTTTGAAGAGAATGTTTGTTTTCCAAGGCCGTGAGCCGGTGGGACAGAAAATCGTTGGGGAAATGGTGATACTTGGTCTTGAGCTTTGAGCTGAGCTAACATGAGAAATATTGAGCCATTTATAGAAATTGAGGAAAAACATTTATACAAAAAATGAAATTTTTCAGATTTATTGAGTATTTGTCCATGGGGCGCGATTGAGAAGAAAATAATAGCCTTCTAATTTTCAATAGAAAAATTGAGTTCGAACTGAGCTAGCATGAGGAATATTGAGCAATTTAAAAAAAAATTAGATAAGAAATGCAATTTTTTCAGATTTATTGAGTATTTGTCTATGGGGCGCGATTGGGAAGAAATTAATAGCTCTCTGAGCTAACATGAGAAATAATGATCAATTTTAGAAAAAAATTCAGATGAAAAAAATGCAAGTTTTCCGATTTTTTGAGTATTTGTCTATGGGGCGCGATTGTGCGGAAGATAAGAGCCTTCTAACTTTCAATAGAAAAATTGAGTTCGAACTGAGCTAACATGAGTAATAATGAGAAAATTTTGAAAATTGAAATATTTCAATAAAAAAGGCAATTTCTCAGATTTTTTGAGTATTTGTCAATGGGGCGCATTTGTGAGGAACTTAATAGCCTTTTAAAGTTTTGAAAAGTAAACTTTTCAAAAACTTTTCTACTGAGTTTTTTTTTTTAATAACAAAAATCAACAAAAAAACCGTTCATTTTCGGAATTTTCTATGACCATGGAGCGCGTTTTCGCATAGATAAATAGATTTCGGATTTTTACTAGAACGAAAAAAAGAATCACAGTTTTCACTTTAAAAAAAATAGAAGAACTAAAAAAAATTTGAAAAAAGTGGAATAAAATCAAATCTTTTTAAAGGAGCATGCATGAGAATAAAAAACAGGTCTTGAAAATCTACGCCAAAAAGCTCATTTGAACCCAAAAATGGGCCGATTTTTGTGAAAAATTCGAACTTTTTTCTAAATTTCCAACACACAATTACAAAGGTTGACCTACGCTTCAAAACCTGAATAAATATTATTTTTTTTTGCAAACTTCAATAGCGCAAACTTCATTAGGTCTTTTCAAAAAAACTATTTTGAGTATATCCATATCAAAAAAGTACGAAAAGTAATATAGAGGGACAAAAAGCGCGGGAAATGAGTCGAAATGGGAGGAAAAGCCGCTTATGAGAAAGCTGAAAGCCGAATATTCCTCTTGGAATAGAGATATCCTTTTTGAAACTTGCTCCAACTCGACTAGAGGGACTGGAAAAAAACGTGATAATCATGATTTTTTTTCATTAATTTAGAGCTAAAACATCTTAAAAAAACGGTTTCACTTGATCAAATTGCTATATAATATTCTTCTAAACGTTTTAATTTCCCCTTTCTTAGCTTAAAATACACTAAAAACTTTGAAAAAACGTTAAAAATTTGATTCAAAATCGTCGAAACGAGACATATGAAAAAATTAGAGCCGAAAACTTTTATTTTTGTTTCAAACTCTACTTTCATACTATTTAGTTTCAAGAGTAAAAAAGTCCAAAAAAAAAAATTCTTTTTTATTTTCGAAATGAAAGAGAGTGGCCCCTATAGAGATAAGGGAAAAAGCAGCCCCTATAGGGGACAAAAAAGCGCTTAAAACTTGAGTGATCCCTATAGGGGTTCGGGGTCTGATTTCTAAGCCTCTCAAGCTCAAGTGGTCCCTACAGGGGTCGTAAAAAATTTTTATCGTGATTTGGAAATTAAAAAGACGGATTGATCCTGAGTCAATGTTTTTTTCATTAAAAAACAAATTTCTTGAACTTTTCGCATGGAAATCCTTTTCATAGAGTTCATACGACGAGCATGTCCCTATAGGGGCCACCTTTGCAAGCTTTAGTGGCCCCTATAGGGGAAGAATAGTGCTCCTTACAAGAGAACCGTCAAGGCTCCTATAGGGATTTCCTAGGTCAATAAAAGAGGAAAGATATATGGAACTACAAAAATTGTCAAAATCGAGAGAAAAACAACGAAAAAAAAGGGTCTGACTTTCAAGTCTCTAAATCTCAAGTGGTCCCCACAGGGGTCTAAAAAACTTTTCTAGTGATCACTTAAGGATGCTGACGCCACTAAAGTAGTCACTAGAAACGCTCCGACACGTCCGAACTCGCGTGACCAAGATTCAAAGTGTTAAAAATTATCAATAAATCCTCTGTGAGGTAGAGTGCTCCCTAGAGGGCCCTAATATTGCCCCTATAGGGACCACTCTGGTGTATGAAACAGGAAAGATATATGAAACTACAAAAATTGTCAAAATCGAGAGAAAAACAACAAAATAAAAGATTCGGCAAGCGCTCAAATCAGAGAAAGACCAAGTAGCCCCATAAAGGAGGGGAGAAAAGGCGATCGGACGTCATTTTTCCGACAATTTGGAGCCAACAGGCTTTTCCTTATGTTTTGAGCCGAGCAGAAGTGACACTTCCGTCGTTTATACCAGGAAAAAAGCAGCTTAAAACCAACAGAAAATGGAGGAAATGAAGACGACACGGCCCCGGGACAACATTTATTCTCCGGGCCGCTTACTCATCCCTTTTCTCGTCCTTTTTTGGAGGTGAAGCGGGAAAAGGAGAGGAGGACAAAAAAAGAAACAAAACGAAAATATTACATTTTCTTGGTTCGTATATTGGCAACATTCGTACAGCTGTAGGCATTTCCCATAACATTTACGGGGAGGAAAAAGCTTCAGATTACAAATTTTGCAAGTTTTCCTCGAAATTGTGATTTTTTTTCAATTTTGCGAATTCCTATTGAAGCTACAAAGCTCCAAATTGTGCCTCCAAAAAAATACCACGAGTTTTTTAAAACTTCAACAGATCATTATCATCAGGGAAATCAAGTTTACACTCGAAAAAAATATTATATAAATCAAAAAAATAAATGAAAAAAATATCCGGAAAGATCTATGAAACCAATTCAAAATATGGATATTTCATACTTTTCCGTTTTTAAATCAGAACTCCACTTGACGATTGAAATCTTAAATCTTCGAAAATAAAAAAATTGAAAAACATCGAAATTTTGGGCATCTAAACTATACTTGATCTCAAAAATTCTCAAATTTTTTTCCGAAAATTCGTTTCGAGGAACTTTCGGAGCTGATACTGGTCTTCAAAAAAATACAGATAGGATTTATTTATAGTTCAAAAAAATATTTTTTTCAAAAACTTTCGCGAAGAAAAAAATCAGAACTATTCTTAAAAAAATCTATTAGGATTCGGAAATTCCTATGAGAACCTCAAAAAAATTTTTTTAAAAAAATCTTGATCTCCGTTTTTTTAAAATCAGATTTTTTTGGATTTCACTGAACTACTCTGAGAAGCTTGAATTAACTGTCTTTAGCTAAAAAATTTGAAAATTTGAAAAGTTTTCAATTAAGTTAAGCATCAATGATAAGAAAAGCTCAACGATTTTCATATTTTACATCGAAAAATCCAATTTTCATTATGAATTTTTGTATTCTTTTTCAACTAGACAACGCTAAAAACACCTAATAATTTCCTATATCAGAAAAAAATCGCTCTTTTTCAGAGCAAAAACGTTTCTTTTTCCTCTAAAAATTCACTAGAAAAATTTTTTTTTTTTCAACTTTCAACTCCCACCACTTGCTCTCTTCATTCAGAAAACCCAAAATTTTCCAAAACCTAAGAAAAATATTTATTCAGGAATCGGCTTGAGTTCCAGATTTTCTGTCGCCATATTGCACTGTTTGGGTAGATCTCGACAAATAATTGAGATTCTCCTATATCGAGGCACCTGAAAAATGAGGTAACATGAGCAATGTTGAGGAACGACCTTTCTCCCGTTCCAAACCGATTCGGAATCGCCGAGCACTTCGTGTAGGAAATCGTAGCGGCCAAGCTCGCTAAAAATGAAAAATGCCACTATAGGGGCCACTAACTGAAATTTTTGCAAGCTTCAGTGGCCCCTATAGGCGGAGGTAAAGTGGTGTCTTGAGGGGAGCTTTTAAGGGCCTCCATGGTTGCCCCTTTAGGGATCACTATGTAGTTGAGCTTTAAATAATTGATTTTTTTTTTCTTCACAGGTGGGGTTAGTTAATCCACTTAGTGGTCTTTTTCCCTCCCTGCAACATCACCATACCATTCCGATGTTGCGAAAAATAAATAAATTGAAATTGAAAGACACTTGAAACTTTAAAATTGCTGGAAATCTCATTAATTTGAAGAAAAACCTACCCCAATCGATACAGACTTCTCCTCGGCATCAATAAATCAACGACCAAGTTTTCCCGATCATCTTTATGTCTCAATCGCATAATTGCCTCGGAAAGTAGTGACAGACCGGTGATAACATCGCCGCAGTACTGAAAAATTACAAAAAAACTCGAAAAAAATTCTTTAAAAAAACTTTCTACTTCTTGTGAATATTCTTTTTGAAGTTACCTGGTTTTTTTAGACAAAATTTAAAACTTCCAACTTTTTGAAGATATTACTTCAAAACTTTCTAGTGAAACATCAAATGTTTCTCTGTCCGAATTTAAAAAAAAATGCCGGGGATTCAAAGTAAAAGAATTTCCTTAATAAAAGCACAAAAAACCAACCCTAACACTATCGATATGCGGTTTAATCACACCATCCTTATGAAGGTCCAAAATATGAACATGCGTCAAATGTTTGGCATCCGGCCCAAAAGATTCACACCTAAAAAATATACGTTTTCAGACAAAATTTCGAGTTATCTACCTTATTTTCTCAATGACTTTTTCATTTTCGTCACGCCATTTTCGTTGCTCTCTTTCGCGGTACAGATGAATGGCCTGAAGAACAAAACTAGAAAAAAAAAACTTTCTATTTCGAGTAATAAATTTTTACAAGAAAATGAAGTGAAATTCAATAAACCTTACGTTGATTCTAGCTTTTTCGAGCTAAATTGACAAAAAGGTATAATAAGTAAAGATATAGAAACAGAATAAATTGGAAAAAAAACTGATAAAAAAAGATTGTCGTGGCTGCGAGTTTTGGCCGCAGACTGCAGAGCTGAGTGTCTGCGGATCCGACATTTCAAATTACGCCAATTAAGATTTTATTATATTTTCTCCATTTTTTTTCTCTTTTTCTATTTTAAGTTTCAATTTTCCACGTTTAAAAAGCACCCACATCGTCCCAATGGCTTTTCTCATATCGCAACCGCTTCATATGGGGTTCAACTTCGGCCAAAAGCGTCGATTCTTCTTCTTCCGAAATGAAATCCTGCTTGACGTAGCAGCATTTCTCAACGGCTTGTCGTAAATCATTCGGCCATTTTGGTGAGTTATGAAAATGTAGGAAAGATGATAAAAGCCTTGAAGTGATTCTCATCAAATGGTAATTCTGGAAAAAAACTATCTTCAATATTTATTTTTTTAATTTTTTTAACAGCTGCTTTCCTTTTTTTCACTGATTTGAACCATCATAAATCCAAGTAAACTCTATAAATTCTGGCAAAAAAACCTCCTTTCCCCTCAAACTCCGAATAAAAAAACTGCTTCATTCCACAAACAAATAATATGAGAAAAACAATTATTTTCTAAGCTTAACTTTTTAATTCGATTCACTTGCAATTATGCGGGAAAAAGAATGAAAAAAATCGAATAACACAAAGAAAAACCTAAAAGAGCTTTTTGAGCAATAAAGTCATCAAACAGGGGAAAAAAGGGGGTGAATTCAACAAAGCTGTATATTATTTACAAAGAGAAACGTCCATATTGATGGATTGTCAAGAGAAATAAATTCCAAGAGGGAAAACCAGAAAAAAGACGGGGAAAATCTCAAAACATTCTCGGCGAAATTATTAAGATGAAGGGCGCTCTATTGATAATTTCAGTGGAATACCTTTTTCATCAGGTCCAACGTCAATATTCTTCAAAAAACCATAAGAATCGTACAATTTTCGCATCTCTTGTTACCAAAAAATGAGGAAACTGTGAATGGCTATTTTTCAAGTGAAAATGCGCTCCATTGCAAATCCAAAAAAGGTACCGATTTTAAAGATTTTTGAGAGGAAAAGGGCAAAAAATCAGGAAATTTATTTTTTACGAGCTCCATCGAAAATTTAAAAAAGGAAAAAGACAAGAAATCGGAGAAAGCGCGCTCCATCGCGAATTTTTCAAAAAGATACCAGTTGAACAGGTCTAAACGTGAAGAGATTCTTAAAAGGCATACAAATAAATAATTGTATATAATGTATTTTTGAGAAAAAGAGGGGGGCACTACTTCCATAATCTGAGCAACAATGAGGTGTTTTTTATTGTGCGGCTTTTCCGTTTCCGTTGGCGACGACGTTGACGTCGACTTTCTTCTCGTTGGCCACGCCTTCGGCCAGTTTTTTCATGTCGATCAGAGATCTCTTGAGTTCTTCGCGGAATTCGCGTGAGCTCTGAAAAGATACAGTAAGATCTCTGGGGTTACGGTATCCGTTACCGTGTTGTCGGCGGACCGTTTGCTGGAAATATGGAAGGAAATCGTGTCTTCTCCGGCGACAATGTAGGAGACGCCGTAGCCGCGGTCGGCGACGGGTCCGAAACCGCCTGAAAATTTCCGGGATTGAATATTTCTAACAGGGGCGGTAGGGGATACCGAAAATGGTTAGTGGTTAGGGGATACCGAAAAATGGGCCAAGTTACTCCTCGATGTACCAAAAATGATTTCAAAACCCTCAACTTCTGATTTCTGCAGGGACAAAGCCCAAAAATGGATTATTTTCTAAGATTTCAAGGTTTTTCTTCGACTTTAGGGTGTCCTTTCTCAAAAACTAGAAATCTGCAGGTTGAGACTTTCAGGATGTTCATCTGGTACATCAAGGAATATTCTAGCCAATTTTCAGAAAATTCCCAGCTAAAAAGTAAATGACCTTCCTTCTAAGGTAAAATCTTCATTCTCATCATTTTCTAAGCCCTGGAAAAAAACTGTACTTATCCAAAAAAATGAGGCTCAAATCCACAGGAAGAACCAGTAGACTTCCAAAAATATCCTTCAAGAAATTTTATTACCTTTTTAAATATTCTTTGAAATTAAAAAAATGGTTCCTTGGAGGAAAAAAATAGTTCTTGATGACTAAAAAAATGAGTTTTCAAATTCGAAAAAAAGATTTTTTTCAGTAAAATTTTTTTACTTTTTTTCTCCATTAAAGACAGAAAAAGTCTTGTGGTCGCATTTGGAATGGCTTTTTTTCAATTCCTAACCATCTACAGGTCCCAATAAATTATCTGGATAATTAAAAATTATTCTTTCTTTATTAAGTAAAAAGCTAAAAAAATGTATGATTATTTCCCAATAAAAATTCAATAATTTTCCCTAAAAAAATGGTAGAAAAAAATCTTGTGGTCGCATTTGGAATGGCTTTTTCCCAAATCCTAGCCATCTAAATTCTCCTGGGGACCTTAAAAAAAGTCTTCTAGATCTATTTGAAAAATTTTTTTCTGATCTTAAAAAGTTCAAAGTATACGTTTTTTTTCCTATGAGAATTCATCTGTATGGCCGCATTTGGAATGGCTTTTTTTCAATTCCTAGCTATCGAAATTCTCCTGAGGACCTCAAAAAAAGTCTTCCAGATCAATTTTAAAGAGTATTTTTCTAATATTAAAAGTTCAAAGTATACGTTTTTCCTATGAGAATTCATCTGTATGGCCGCATTTGGAATGGCTTTTTCAATTCCTAGCTATCGAAATTCTCCTGAGGACCTCAAAAAGTCTTCCAGATCAATTTGAAAGAGTATTTTTTTAATCTTAAAAGTTCAAATCATACGTTTTTCCTATGGGAACTCATCTGCATGGCCGCATTTGGAATGGCTATTTTTTTCAACTTATAGCCCATCTATAATCTTTAAAAGGCCTCAAAAAATAAAAAACTACTTTTCTAGCTCAAAGTTCAAAGTTCATGATTACCTTCCTTATCAGTCCCATCAAACTAAACTCCAATCTGACCAACTTTACTCATTAAAGTCATTTTTCTGATTCCCTAGTCTATTCTGCTCTTCCTTATCATCCTTTATCAATCCTATACCTCCAGCAGTGATCAATCTGAGTCTGGCCTCAGTGCTGAGGCCCTTCATGTCGGCTTCGCATTGGTTCATGGGAGTCTGACTCGTGGAAAGCAGGTAGGTCGGCGGGAAGATTTTGTCGAAGAACGGCGACTCCTCCTCCAAGTACCGCTTGATCACATACCTGAGCGATTGAGTTAGTTTTTTCTTCTTTTTTTGATTATTACAAAGCGAAGAGATGACGATCGACACCCTGGCCGCACATGGCGTCGCGGTAGAGTTCCTGGTGCTTTTCGCAGGCCGCGCGGAGCAGCAAAACTCGTTCAGAGGCCTGGAAATGGGTAAATTCCACGTTTTTCTTTCAATTTTTTTCAATTTTCGCTTCGTTATAAGAGAGGCTTCTGGCTTTTACCTCCTCAAGAGCGTCAGAGTGGTCCCTCTAGTGATTAGGCAGAGAAAACCTCTGTAGAGGACCGAAAGTGCTTCCTATAGGGGTAAAATTAAGATGGTCCCTATAGGGGTTTAGGATCTGACCCCTAAGATCCTAAAGTTTGAGTGGTTCCTATAGGGGTTTTAAAATTTAAGATATGACTTGAACATTGAAAAGACGTATCTAACAAAACTTGAGCGATGTTTTTACCCAAAAAAGGCCCATTTATTGAAATTTTCGCATGGGTTAACAATAATCCACTAGCAGGTCCCTTTAAGGGTCACTTTTGCAAGTTTCAGTGGCCCTTATAGGGGAAGTTAAAGCTGTCCCTAGAGGTGAACCTTCAAGGGTTTCGGAGGTCGGAAAGACCAATTTTGTCCTCTTTAGAGGCTTTTTTGTTCTCCTACCCTTATAGGGACCACTTGAGCTTCAGGGGCTAAGGGTGAGACCCTAATCCTCGATAGAAACCGCCTAAATTTTACCCCTGTAGGAACCACCTTCTCGTCCGCTATAGGGGCCTCTTCTGCCCTAACCCTTATAGGGACCACTCTGGAATTCTTAAGTAAGGTCGCCCCTACAGGGATCACTCTAACATTCCCGAGTATATCATTGATTTACTTTCCTGAAAATTATTCTTCCAAGCCATTTCCCTCACTTTTTTTGACCTATTTTACAAACCGATGATCATATTGCTTCCAGAACTTCAAATATTCACCGTCTTCTTGGGATCGCACATAGCCAAGACGAACTCGCTGGACTTGGTGGTGCAACTTCTGACGGTTTCAGTTCTGCCCTCTCGGAACAGCCTGGTCATCGACGCCTCGTAGGTCAGGGAGAACTTTTGCTGGTTCTGAAACCGTCGTTGTTCAGGTAGAAGAGGGGGTGGACAAGACCTTGAAGTAGGTGTACTGGAGGGTCATCTGAAGGAAGGCGTCCGGGGAGACTCTCAGCTTCTTCATGAAGCCCTTTCCGTAGTCGGTCCAGACGAGGAGGGCCATTTCGACGTCGTCGATCAGTTCCTTGGCCACGGTCAGGGATTTGTTGATTTGCTCCTGGAATTGGGGTCAAATGAAGCTGTTTAGGAGCCTCATAACTGTTTTTCAATCTCATTGATCGACCCCCTCTCAAAACGCCCTAAACTTCGATCTAAAACCAACCAGCGCGGGCTCGGGGATCTCCCACTTGAGTCGTTCGGGCGAGATCTTGACCTTGGAGTCTCCCTTGCAGCGTCCGTTCTCATCATAGCCGGAATAGACGACGTCCTGGAGGAGGACCCATTCCGTGAAGTGAGCCATGACGGCGGCGTCGCCCCAGGAATGCTCCGTGTTGATTCCGACGTGGCCATTTTTGGAGATGATCCAGTTGAACGACTTGTCGAACCAACGGTCGCGGGCCTTTCCGTGGAGCAGGTTGTGAGCCCAGCGATCCAGTTTTGACGGATCTTCCTGAAAAAATGGGGTTCCAAAATGTCAACTTTATTCTTAAAAAAAGGAGCCTAAAGTAAATTCTACCTCAAAAGATGATCAGCTTCATTTTGAAATTAATTTTTTGAGCCAAAAAAAATCGTCTAAATAAAAGAGAAAGTGCGCTCTACTGATAAAGTAGAAAGTGTGCTCTACGGATAAGAGAAAGTGCGCTCTAAGACAATATATTAAACACTCACTCTTCGTTACACATTTACTTTTTTTAGTCAATTTTCATCCTTTTTCAATGACTCCATCACGATTTCTTTCGAATAACACGAATTTTTCGGCCTTCTGACCTTAAAAACTTCAAAACTTCTTCGTTTTCAGTAAGCTTTTTGAAAAAGGAAGGTCTTTTTTTTATTTGGGAGCAATTTCTTGTCAATCCATGGCTCTAGAGCAACTCTTTTTTGCGACTTTTCCTATATAAAAATCCCCTATAAATCCCTCCCTACGAACCGGATCATAGTTGACTTCATCGTCATCGAGAATTACGACGAAGGCGGCTCTCTCAATGTCGTTGAGGCTGGTTTTATTGACTCCAGCCCGGAAATAGGCCCGGCGGGTTTTGGCCCAAGGAGCTCTTTCGCCGGCCGTCAGAGCCGCCAGGTTCTTCTCGCCTTCCGAGGGCTCGAAAGTGTGAGCCACGATCTCGTCGTACTGGTCCTGCAGCTCGACGGCGTCCAGGAGTCTGGAAAATTAAAACATGGGGTTTTTGATATTGGAAAAAGGAGAGGAAAACGCTCATTTTTGGAAACTTACTAGAATACCTTTTTTTCTTGTCAAAGCTCAAACTAATTTTTCACAAGTTCTCAACTTTTTGTGCTTCTAGGACGAACTTCGAATTTTTTTTTGTTGTTGAGGGTCTTTTTCGAGCTTCTAGCACTCCAACAAGGCTTGTAATATATCTCAAAGTTCTAGAAAACTTTTTTGAAGCTTCTCCTGAACTGATTTTCGAAATTCCATGATATTTTCCACTCTCTGTAAGCCTCTTTCGCGCTTGCAACAAGATTTTTAAAAATAGACATAACTTTTCGAGAAAAAAAAAGAATTCTTTGGTCTTTTCAACAACTTCTTGAACATCCTCACAAATTAAATATTAAAATTTCAAAGATCTAGAGGCATTTCAAACTTAACAGAACGATTTTAGAGCTCCTAAGGCTTTTTTTCTGAAGCTTCTTTGACGATTTTCGGTTGATTTGATTGAAAAATTCTATATTCAAAAATATTAAGAATCTTTTCTAGTGGCTTTTTAAACTACTTTAATGCAAATCAGGGTTATTTTTATTCATTTTCTGGAACTGTTCAAGCTTTTGGTACACTTTTTAGCTACTACCGTGCTGTCAGAACCATTTTCGATGATTTCTTACCTTTTCCCATTATGAACGATCACTTTGAACCAAACGCCACGGCAATAAACCGCCACGTGCTTGGCGTCATCCCAGTGCAAAAGTCGGTCGACCTTTAATCGAATATTTCAATCTATATCTTCGTTTCTGGAAAAAAACCTCTTCTCCAGGAACTCGGCAGGTGTTGAACAATCGTTCATACTGCATGGTGCAGAAGGGGACTTTCGTTCTTGGCGAGATGGAGAACTGCAAAGGCCATTTTTGAGAGAAAAAGTCATTTTGAAGATGGAAAATATCTTCTTAAGAACGACAGAGTGGTCCCTATAGGGATTAGGGGAGCGAACAGCCCGTATAGGGAAGAAAAACGTGATCATTATAGGGGTAAAGTTGAGGTGGTCCCTTTAGGGGTTTACGGTATGACTCATGAGCCCTTCGCTTCTCAGTAATGACAGAGTGGTCCCTATAGGGGTTAAGAGAAAAACAGCTCCTTTGACAGACGAAAAGTGTCCTCTATAGGGGCAAAATTGAGGTGATCCCTTTAGAGGGTCTTAGTATGATTCATGAGCCCTTTACTTATTAGGAACGACAGAGTGGTCCCTATAGGGTTTAAGTAAAAACAGGCCCTGTAGGGGACAAAAAAGTGCTCCCTATAGGGGTGATCTCTATAGAGGTTTAAAGTATGAAAGATACACTTTAATTTTGAAAAATAGTTACAATTTTTGGGAACGATAGAGTGGTCCCTATAGGGGTTAAGAGAAAAACAGTTCCTATGACAGACGAAAAGTGCTCCCTATAGGGGTAAAGTTGAGGTGGTCTCTTTAGGGGTTTAGGTTATGACTTATGAGCTCTTTGCTTCTCAGTAATGACAGAGTGGTCCCTATAGGGTTAAAGGGTTAAAGAAAAAAAAAGCCATATAATGGACAAAAAGTGTTCCCTATAGGGGCGAAATTGAGATGATCTATTTAGGGGTTTTTGGGTATGACTCCATGGGGCATTCACTCCTTAGGAACGACAGAGTGGTCCCTTGAGGGGTGAGGGGAGCGAACAGCCTGTATCGTGAACAGAAAAGGGCTCCTATAGAGGTCTTGATACAAAAAACGCCTCAAAAACAGATTCTTTTAAAATTTTCCACTATAACTTCTATTTTTCTGCCTTTCCTGATCATATTTTCTTGATAAAAATACTTTTTGAATGTTTTCGAAAAATTCTCATGATTGAAAGCCTGAAAAAAGGGTAATTTTTCCAAATTGTTGCTTCAAAACATGTTCTGGAATTTTTTACACGGTCTATTTTGAATGAAAACCATCTTCTATCTGTTCCAAACTATTCATTTTCTATCATTTCCACAATAATTTTCCGGTTTTTATTCATTTTCTTCAAACGAACCGGCGAGACTTCCTGTCGATCGACCATCCTGCGGAACTGAAGGGCATTGTAAGTGATATTGGCCGCCCGAGAAGCCTGATTTTCGGTTGGATGCTCGTTGAGGGTGTCCTTAAAAAGAACAAAAAAATGTTTTTAAACTACATTTTTTTCGAATTTCAAGCTTGAAGAGAACCAAAAAGTTCACAAAAATAAATTTAGTAATTTTTTTGAACTTTAAGCAAGAAGAAAAAAACAAATAAGGCTCAAGAAAAACCTTAAAAAAATTAGTCTTTTTTTCAAATTTAAAACGATAAAATAGACAAAAAAACCTAAAAAAACGGTCTTTTTTTCAAGCTCTCAAGCTATAAGAGAGACAAAAAAATCTCACAAATCCATAATAATTGCTGTTGATCATGATGGGGCTCCTCTGTCGCATGTAGACAAACTCCTCCCACCAGTCGGTGACGTAGTTCGTGCTCAGGTAGGACTTGAGCACCAGGTAGCGCTGGAGGCGACGGCCGACGCCTTTTCGGAATCTTTCACTGAGGAATTCCAGCTCGGCGTATTCCTCGTCGTTTAGAATGGGTCGCATGGATAGAAGGTGCTGGAAAAGGGGAAAAATAGGGATATTTATTGATAGACAATAGATGAAAAATGTGTTTTTCCGACCTCAGATTGATAAAAATTAACGAAAAAAAGACCCTAAATATAGTCTAATCATCCATGGTCAAAATAAAAAAATTCCAGATTTTCTTTCTAAAAAGTTTCCTACAGCAAAGAAGCTCGAAAATGCGTTTTTTCAGCCTTTTTTAGCTTCCAAGTTTATTTTTTTTTTCAAAAACTTGCATTAAAGTAATTAAAAATACACGGAATTTACGTCATTCTTTCACGTTTCATGTGCAAATTTCGCATTTTTCTGGAGCTTTTCGAGGGAAAAGGAGCTTATTTTTCTAGTCTTTGATTCAAAAAATGCGACCGCTTATTACTTAACATACAATACTATGGATTTTTCTCGATTCTTAAAACTTTTAACAGCAACAATGAAAATTTAAGATAATTTTGGGCTGTGACTCTAAGACACTTCAAGGTTTCGTAATTGCTACTTCAAGATATTTTTGAAGTTTTTCTCGATCTATCCTCTCGTGACCAATTTTATATATTTTCAAATTTTTGGGATGGTACGACAAAATCTTAAGTCCGCAAATCTCGAGGACCGTAATCTTGTGTACGCAGATCTAAAGTCCCATAATCTTGGAGACCGAAATCTTGGAAACCACAATCTTGGAAAGCAAAAATCAACGCTTTTGCGAAAAGATTTCATCAGAAATTGTATTCGGTGATCCAAACAAGAGAGTATAAGTAGAGAAAGTGCAATAAAGAAGACTAAAAGGGAAGATTTTTGCTTTCCAAGATTTTGGTCTCCAAGATTTTGGTTTCCAAGATTATGGGACTTTAGATCTGCGTACACAAGATTACGGTCCTCGAGATTTGCGGACTTGAGATTTTGTCGTACCATCATTTTCGGTTTCTAAGTTCAATCCCCTCTAACTAAGCTCCTAGTTGACAGAAGGAGGTCGCTAATTGATCTTTTGGGGTCCAAAATTGCGATTTAAGATATTTCACCGCTTTGTGATTGTGATTTATGATATTTCTACGAATTTTGATTAGAATTTTTTTTGCTCTTTTTTTGATTTCGAGACATTCTTAAGTTTTCCTGACCGTTTTTTAGATGTTGTTGAGTTCCCTAAGTGTTATTCGATGGCATCTTGGGCTTATAACTGTTATTTTCAGAAAGTTTGAGGCTCCGTGATTGTTCCTTCAATACATTTTTAGCTTCGTAATTGTTATTTTAAGATATTTTGAGGCTCTGTAGCTGTTATTTCGAGAAATTTTAAGCCTTCATAAATGTTATTTTGAGATATTTCCAAGCTTCTTAACACTGTTAAGGTAATTTAGAATTTTTTTTTCAAGCTAATTGATTTTTTGAGATCTTTTGGGGTCCAAAATTGCGATTTTAAGTTATTTCAACGCTTTGTGACTGTGATTTCAAGATGATTCATGGTTCCTTGGGTACAATTTATCATTCCTAGACATTTCAGCACCTTTCTAACGGTATCATCCAACTTGGGAAGTGGCAAATGGGGCAGAGCTCCCTGGAAGGAGTGGAGCATCGGCTGGGCGCGGGAGATAAAGTGCAGGATTCCCTGAAAATCGAAAAAATGTTCTAAAAAAGAAAGCTTCACCTTCATTTTCCCTATGAACTTCTAAAACTTTACAAAAAAGCAGCTTTCGAAAAAAAATGGTCACAAAATCCTCCAGAAAAGATTCTTGTTCACCAAAAAAGGGAAAGCCCAAAAAAGGAAGGGGCCTTTTGATGGGAATATGACAAGGAAAATGAATATTTTTTTTTGAATTAAATAAATAAATAAATGAAATTTTTCTTCTAAAAATCAATAATTCCACGAGCTGAGAAAGTACTAACAAGCCAAATTTTGGTCGACGTGGAGACAGGCTTTCCAGGCGACTCGTACATCCAGCCCTTGTAGGTCAGCAACAACTTGATGGACAGTCGGAGGAGTTGGACAAGGAGGAACCAAACGAGAGCTCCGGCCACGAGACACGACAAGCCCAAGCCAACTAGGCCGTCACTGAAAAAAAAAATTAATTTCTCCAGGAATGATTTTAAGCTCCTTGAAGTGAATTTTAACAAAATCACCTAATTTCGAGCATGCTGCTCCTATTAAGAGCAAAAAAATTAATCTTTCAAGGGATATAGTTTTGAAAAACCTTGACTGAGGTTATTAAAGGAGCATGGCCTAAACTTGAAAGGTCTCGAGGCGAAGAGCCTTTTTTTCTATTTTATTACAGTTTTTTTCAAAAGAGTTCTTGAACTGCATAGAAATTTTTTTGGAACAAGAAAAAAACTTCAAAAAAACAAAGATTTACAAGAAACCTTTTTTTAATTGTTGAAAAATTTAAATTTTTTTCAAACTTTTTCAGGGAGATTTACAGGCCCCTTGGATTAAATTGAACCCCTAGAAAGCATATTTCAACAAATTCAGAAGTCCTAGCTTCATCTTGAGGAGAAAAACTAATATTTAGGGTGATAAAATTCAAAAATCCTTACTGCGATTTTTAAAGGAGCATACCCTCATTCTAAAAAGGTCTCAAGGCGAAGAGCCCGTTTTTTTCAACCTTTTTTTCTTGCTTTTCGAAGACTTCTGATGAGCTTTGAAACATAGTAAAGAAATTTTGGAACACGAAAAAAATCCAAGAAAACTTTTTTTATCGCAAATTATAAAAAAATTCAACCAAAATTAGAAAAATTTAGTTTCCTTCTGAGCAGGAGAAAAAAACTAATATTTAGGGCAATACAATTTAAAAAAATCCGTACTGCGATTCTTAAAGGAGCATGGCCTCATTCTAAAAAGGTCTCAAGGCGAAGAGCCGTTTTTTTCAACCTTTTTATTGTTTTTTTGAAGATTCATGATGAGCTTTGAAACAGCAAAAAAATCAGAACAAGTAAAATTTCACAAGGAAAAAAATTAGTGATTTTTTTTCAGATCAACTCCTATGATCCAAAAAGAAAGTTCTGACTCTCCAAAAAAATTTCTGGTTTAATGAAAAATTAATTTCTATAAAATCACTTATTTTGAAGCCATTGCAAATGTTATTTCTTCGATTTTTCACACGATTTCTGAAAAAAAAAATCCGATTTTTCCTGGAAAATCCTATAATTTTCTCAGCCAACTTCAATCTTTCTCAATAAAAAAGACTCAATTTCCCAAAACCGACCCAAAAATGTAATGAAGGATATAGTGCTGTAGGAACGGGACGATTCCGAAGGACAAATCCCGTTTCAGGACGGAAAAAATGGCGATCGCCGAGACGACCAAACTGAACGTCAGGGAGTTGGCCGGGAACATTCCAGCCATGAAATCATTCTGAAAAATCATTGTTTCGACTTTCTTTTTTTGTGGAAAAGGACCTTGAAACGGCCAATCCGGCGCTTGTAGCCGCGCTGGAAGGCGTGCCAAATGTCCCGGAGGAGTTCCTGGTCATAACTGACCGAGACGCCGTCGTGGGTTACTGAAAATGCATTGGGATTCTCTTGGTAAAGCTTTGAAATCGTTATAAAATTGAATTTTTGGCCAAAAATCGAGCAAATTTCAGCTTAGGAATCAAAAATTGCGACTTGAAATTGAAGAGAATTTCATTTTTGCGACTAAAAACCGGTTAAAATTAAGATTATGTTTTTCGAAGAAGATTACGAAGAAAAGCTTGAAAATCGTTATAAAATTGGGGTTTTCCGCCAAAAAAATTAGTTAAACTCCAGCTTAAAAATTCAAAAATAAGTCAAAAAAATTCAGGTTTTGAAACAAGGAACATTTAAATTTCATCGCTTCAAACCAGTTTATAATGAGATTAAAAGCTTAAAAACCCATTAAAAAAACTGAGATTTTTTTCGCTCAAAAATCGACTGAAATTCGAAAAATTATGGCTGAAAAAAATGAAGAAATAATAAATACTACAGCTTAAAAATTCAATCAAATCAAAAAAATTTTTGGCTTGAAATCATTGAAAATTCGAGTTCTATAGCTCAGAATAAATTAAAATTGAGCTTTTTTTCACCTTAAAAATCAAAAAGAAAGTAAAGAATTATAGCACAAAAATTGAGTGATTTCAAAAATTTATGGCTCAAAAAAATGAAGCGAAATCGAGCATTACTAAAACGAAAATTTTGAAAATATTGTCAAAAATAGGGTAAAAATTTGCTCATAAGTCAAAAAAATCCAGAAATTTTCGCTAGAAAGGCCAGAAAATCGCCATTTTTAAACATTTGACCGGGAAAAATGAGATTATATGGTTTCGAAAGGATCGAAATTTGAGAATAACAGCTTCCAATGGAAGATCGAAATCAATGAAGCTTGAAATGAGTTTTTTGAACCCGACTAAGAAAAAGCATTTTTGTCAACATCATAGTGAGATTGACAAAAAAAATTATCAAACCTGAAAGCAGTCCTTTGAAACCGTAAAGTCGTATCTCAGATTATTTTTACTAATAACTTTTGGAAAAATAAATCGTTTAATTTCTCAAATCTACAGGAAAGGAAAAAAATTTCATAACCATTTTTGAACATTTTATTCAAATTAACACAAAAGCGAATTTCTAAAAAGCAATTTTCGGTTAGAAAAAAATTGTGAAAAAAATGAGAAAATTGTTCAAAAAAACTATTGAAAAAAATTTTGGGGACCAACAATTTTCAAACTTTTTACGTTCCGTTGAAAAATTTAAAAAAATATGAAATTTTTCATTTTCTTAACTTTCTTCTCCTAAAAACTGTTCTCCGCTCTCAAAAAACCGTCAAACAAGTTTTTTCAACGTTCAAAAAAATCGAAAAAAAGACAGTTTTCTATCAACAAATTTACTGTCTGGCTACTTGAAATTGTTTCTCAAACTAAATATTTAATTGAAAAATATACATTTTAATGTTTTTCTGTAACTTAAATCACCAGATAAATTTTTTTAAAAAAATCCATATTTCTATTGAAATCTTGAGTTTTTTTAGCCTTTGTAAGAGTAAAATAATCTAAAAACTTGATGTAAAAAAACGCATTTTCCTTTAGAAAAAAATATTTTTGATGCAATTTTCATTCAAATTACCGCATTTTTAACCAACGTAATACACTCAAAAACTGTTCTAAAAATAATTTTTGATGAATTAAATTACCTATTTTGATATTATCCAACCAAATTACCTTCAAAATACCTGAAAATCTGAAAACTCACCGGCAAATGAAAGGGCAGCAGCACTGCGGGCTTCAGCCATCGCCGATTTTTTTCAGTTTAACCGCGTTTTTTTTGCAAAATTTGTACAAATAGAGACCCGATTTCTCCCCGTCTGAAAAAAATTAAAATGAAGATTAATTCAAAAATTCACGTTGCAAATAGAAAAAAGCACGTGGAAACGTAAAAAATTGAGAAAATAGTAAAAATTTTCCATTAGAACAAAAATCGGCGAGAAATTGAAGGAAATAATTTTTTTGAGCAATTTTTTTATCTTCTCGAAGTGAAGAAGGGATAGACTAGAGTCTAGTTATCTCATGAAAAATGGATATAAAGGCGGAAATAACAAAAAAATCTTGATAAGGATGTCTAGAGACTTGAATTTCCATTCATGAATATAATGTGAAGATTCAAAAAATATTATAACTTGGGTTGAAAGAAAAAATTCAGGTCTCACATTATGAGGAGTGAAAAAATTCAACAAAAATAGTATCAAGTGATTATTTTATGACATTGTGATGTTCAATGATAAGACTTTGTCTTTTGCTAGCTTGATAATTAATCACCGAGGAATAAATCGAGTTTAAAAAAATGAAATATTTCAAGTTGAAGCCCAATGACAAGACTTCCACATAGAATCAGAAGTGATAATGAAGGAGCCAAGAAGAAAATATTCTGGGTCACTAAAGTAGGATCAAATTTTCCTTGGGCAAGAAGATAATGAAGGAGAAATGCGAGAAGATATCATGTTTATAAAGAAAACAAGAATCATCAATTAATCTTATCATAATCAAGAGATAAACGGACAAGCCTTCAGTTCGAAAATCAAACAGCATCTTCTATTCAAAAGATCTTACTTTTACATTATCAATGAAGAAAATATTGATTCTTGAAAGCTTCTACTTTTCTCCATGTGGAATCAAATATGAGAGGACAAGAAGATATTTAAAGCTTGAATAAGTCGGGATCAGAACTGATAATGAAGGCGAGATTCTCGGCTTTCAAAGTTAGGTCACTTTTTTTGGGCATAAGAGGATAAGAAAATAAACCAACTTCTTCATCCTACATCCAATGAAAAGAACACAAAGGTTATAAAAGAAGAAAAAATCTCAAGCCTCGACTTTCCCCAGCCTCCAACACGTGGAATCAGAACTGATAATGCAGGGGGAAGACGAAAATTGGCAAGTGATGGGCCCCCAGTTTCTGGGGGCCGACGTCACGCCCAAGCAGCAGGCGGTTCCGATATCGTCGTCACGTGTGCTGGATGCCAAACAGAACGCGATATACTTTGATCTCATTACACAACTCGCTTCTTTTTTCCGCTGTGAGAAGTAGTCTCGAATCTTCTCGAGAAGTTGTTTGGATCAAATTTTGGCCTTCTGAACTTTTGCGAAAAAGGTACAAAGTTCCTATTGAAGTTGGAAAGTCTTCAAGAATACTTGGGAAAATTCTGAGACTATTAATGTGCAGATTTTCTCGGAAACAGTTGCATATCGGCCGGAAAAATCGAATATTCTTTGGTTTTTTCGGAATCGTCATAACGTAAGATGTATAGGGCAAAGGAAAATAGTTTTTTGGATTGAAAACATGACTTTTTGATTGGTTTAAAAGGAAAAGGGAGGTACAAAGTTCTTATTAGCATTTGGCAGGAGTTTGATAAAGTTATCAGATCAGCAAGGTACAAAGTTTTCCTGGAAAAGTTGCTTATCGCATAGATATTTGAGAAAAAGGCGATAAGAAGATATTTTGAAAGAAAGGAAATCATTCATGTTTTTCTGAAAAAGGGCGTTAAAATAACTTTTTTTGCAAAATTCCAAAAATAAAAAGTTTGAACTTTTATTAACTAAAAAGTAATAAAAACATTTTATCTCAGTGAAAAAAATTTTTTTGGATTATTTAAATTTTTTTCTATGTAGCCGAAAAGAAATTAAAGAGAACTATCCAATCAAAAAAATGAAACTCTTAAATTCCAAATCGAAGTGAAATAAACGAAAAATAATGAACCACAACTTCTAAAATTCTAATTTTTCAAAAAAAGCGATCTTCGCCAAAAAGAGGTACAAAGTTTCATTGAAAAAAACTTGCAAACTGTCTAGAAACTGCAAAAAGCGGGATCAAAAACAGGAAGTTGATGAAAATTACAAATATTTACTTTTTTTGCCAATGAAACTTCCGCAATTCAAAATGACCTTTAAATAGAATTTAAGTCGGACGATTTCGCTAAATATTATTTTTTTCCTTTCTTTTTCTTTTTTTGATTTCTAGAGCTTTTTATGCTTTTTAAAGATGAAAAAAAAAACGAGCCTTGGCTTGAGAAAGAGATAAATATTCTAATAAAACTCAGAATCATCTTTTTTTCGAAAGAAACTCACGAAAAAGCCAGGAATAAATAGAAAATCAATGCTTGAGAGTGTACACCGCGCAAAAATCTTTCGGCTTTCCGAACAAACATCAGAAAACATTCAGAGACCACGTGTGTGTAAGCTCAATCCATCTTTTCTAGCTTAAAAATCCTCAAAATTTCGAATTTTAACACAAAATTCTAAAACATAAATTCAAGAAAAAAAATATGTGATACGTTTAAAAATCCTCGTTATTTTTTATCAAAAAGAATAGCAAACCTTATAAGATTCGAGCAGTTTTCATGGTAATTTCAGAGCGAGCTCCTTCAAAAACGCAAACAACAAACATATTAAACAAAAAATAATAAGTAAAAGGATAAAAAATAATAAAAAAAAAAGAAAAAAAATTTAAAATTTGAAAATATCAAAAAGTGGCGTCGGTGTGTTCACAGACAAGCCGATTACAGTAACCCAACATTTAAGTTTTTCTGAAAATTTCATATTTTTCTGGAATCCTTTCAATAAAAGCGATCTTTTCGCGACTACTTGCGTCAAAAGCTTGCCAATCAAATAAACAAAACGGAAACTGAACGATTGATATCGAGAGAGCATGTGTGTGTATACGTGTTGTAATGTGACAAAGGGGAATTTTGCGTTCTGATCATCAAAAATAGCCTTGAAAGTATCGCAAAACGCAAACAAAGACACCCATGATCACGGGAAAACTTTGTCCCCTAGCAAATTAAAGTATAAATAAACTTTTGGAAGTTTTCAAGTCTTTAAAAAAATAAAAGTGCGTTCATACTTGACGTATGTCTCAGCTGATCAAATCACTGATATATTTTAGGGCTTGAAAATGTACTTAATGTGAACTTTATGATAGGGGTACTTGAAAATGTGGAAAAACTCAGGCAAAGTTCAAAGTTTAAAAAAAACCCCAGTGCTTTTTAACCGATTTTGAGCCCTCTTTTTCTTTAAAATCAGTTTAAAATGCTCAAAGGAGCTTGAGAAACACAAAAAACGGCTTTTCGCTTAGAGACCTATATTAAATTGGCCCCTGCTCCTTTAATAACACCCGCTAAAAAGATCGAAATTTCCACTTTTTTGGGCCATAAAAGACAATTTTTATAAAAAAACTATAATTTTTTTCTTTCTACACAAGGTACACATGAACAATGATCAGTGTACAAAAGTGATGATAGAGAAATCAAATCAACACCAAAATGTAAACAAAAAACTTTTCTGCTCGCTTTTCCTTCTCATTTCGAAATTACATATGAAAGGGTTCATTTTAAGAAAAAAATTTTTAAGACGTTTTTTTTAAACATTTTTTTCTGATGGAAACGAGCCAAGAAAGGACAAAAAAGTGTCTTTTATTAGCTTAAGCAGCTTGGGACACCTTTTTTTCACGTCAGTGAATGAACTATGATTATAATTCTTAACATTTCTCAAAAAAAAGCCAATAATTAAATAACACACGTCATGATCAAGGCTAAAAAAATAGCCATATCATAATTTTATCGTCCTTTAAAGGTACATGGAAATGAAAACTACACATTTCGATGTCGATTTATTTTTCAACCTTCTCAATTCCATTTTAAAGGACCTCCACAAGTTTCTAAGACGAAAATTGCGCGGAAAGCCCTTTAAAATGTTTATAATTTATTTTAAAGAAGGCTAAAAATATCAAATGATATCATATATTTTTAATCATCCTTTGAAGATACAGCTAGACAAAAAAACTACGATTTTTCTACAAACTATGGAAAATTCTCTATTTTTTTCACCCATTTTACTATCATTTCAAGGAATTTCCGTAAAATTCTCATCACAAAAAAATTAAAATTGCTCTTCAAAAATTTTTTTCTAATCTTCACAGAAAAAGCTAAAAAAATAGCCATATCTTATATTTTATAATCCTTTAGAGGTCATTTTGCAAGGGAGGTCATTTTACTTTGGGGTTGGGAATTTCTTGAAAATTGGTCAGAACACTTTTCAAAGCTTCGGATGAGGATCCTGAGAATCTCAACCTGCAAAATTTCTCATTTTTCAAGTAAGGACGCCTCAAAATCTCTCCAAATCCAATCAAATGAGCTATTTTAGGTCTCCGATCCCACATTTCTCAAAAACTGGGAAGTTTTGGAGGTTACGACTTTCAGGACCTTCATTAGGTTTGCCTAAGAGTTTTCTGGCCAAATTTCAAGAAATTTCCAGCCGCAAAGTGAAAGGACCTTCTTGTGAGACAATAAATTCCGAAAAAAAACCCTCAAAATTTCTTAATTTTCTTTCAGAGAAGCGACAAAACCTATGCATCACATATAATTTTTTCAAAGACTTTTGAGGGTGCACTGAAACAGTGAAGAAAAAAAGAAGGCTACAAAGTGCGACGAACATTTTACGAGACGGGGGAGACACGCGCCGTGTAATCTCTATCTCATAGGGTCGTAACTGACCATCGATGACGTTGCAATGATAAAATCGCCTCGTTCAAACGTTCAAGTGGATCAAAATTCAGGGTTTTCATGTAGTTTCAGGTCTGGGAATGCTTCAGGACAATTTAAAAAGCCTAGAAAAGCTTAAAATTTAATGTCCTTTTCTTTTCTCTTTTCTGTTTCAGTGCACTTTCAAAAAAATTATAAGAATGCATGCTATGATTGGCTAGATGGCTACTACCAAACTATAGAAATTATATTTTTTTATTTTGTATATAAAGCTGAAAAATCCCAAACTGTTCAGGTTGTTCATAGCGATCCAATATCGACATTAAAAGTGCAGAAATAAGCAATTTTCCAGGCTTTAAGGAGCTTTGATCTACAGAAAAAAATGAATATTTTGAAAAAAATGGTCTCCTTCAAAATTTGAAGACTTTTTCATAATTTCCAATGAAAAAGCGATAAAATGAAGGCAAAGCCAAAAGATTTCAAAAAAATATTTTTTTTCAGATCGCCGTTTCAAAGTTTTGATTTCATGAGCATTGAAACAAACCCCATGCTACACTCATCAACCGTTTGAATCATTAAACGTAGTTTTCAAAAAAAGAAAAAAAGTAATAATAATAATAAATCTAAAAGGTTCGAAAAAAACGTTCCAATCCTGAAGAAAAAAACTTGATTAACTACAATAAATTCATCAAAAATTGCCTTATATTCAGAAATTTATTGAAAAAAATTAGCATTGTCAAAGACAATCTCATTTATTGGCCGAGAAAATGAACGTTTGAAACGTCCAGATAAAAAAATTTCCAAAAAAGGGTTTTATGAAATAAAAATATGCAAGTTTTTTTCCTAACCTCAACTTTTCACTCAAAAAGAAGAGAAGCTCAAAAACTTTATGAAAAATAATGAAAACGAAACGTGATTTTATCAGGAAAAAAAGATAAAGATTTTCTTTTGGAAATTACTTTTTTTAGGAGCGATTTTTCTTCAAATATTCAAGTGATAGGACAGATATAAGCAATTTTTCACAGCTTATGATTGAATTCTATTAAAAAAATAACTTTGCGTATTCAGAAACCGGATAAAAAAATAAAAATAAGATAAAAATCCTATTAGAGACGAGTCAAAAATCGTAGCGTAATTTTTTTCCAAAAATTTCAATTTCTGAAAGATAATTTCCACCTTGGATAACTTAAATCTTTAAAAAAATTGGAAAAAAAGAAAAAAATAAGTGGTGAGCCAAGATGAACGTAGTTTTTTTCTTGAATATTCCTTCTTTTTTTGTTTTTTTTTTTAAGGATATTTCCAGCTTAACCATGAATGACCTGAAGATTCGGAAAAAATCGAGAAAAAATAGGAAAATAAAAGAATCTTCTCAAAAAGTGGCAAGCCAAGATCAACAGCGTGGTCTGGGCGCGCAAACATCGGAAAAGTGATGGCCAAACGCGCCCCCTCCCCCCTCGGAGTTCCCCTTTTTCTCGATGGCGCACGTTTGTCACCGCGTCCGCCGCTAGAGAGATGTACACAGGACAAAGTACACTTTTCGGCGTGGACCTGGACTTTGGCCTCAGTGTAGCCAATGCACGCAAGATTTTCGGAAGATTATTTCGAGAAATTTTTATCTAAATATTATTTTTAGCGTCTTCTAGGAGGATAACAAGCGCTTTTTTTCAAGATTTTCCAAAATGAAAGGTTGGGGTTTTGAGAAAAAGAGCCTAGAAAGTTACTGTTACAAAAAGAGAAATACCTTTCTCAAAAATAATCGTATAACACTGAAAAAATTCAGAAAAATAAAAAAATTTTTCAAAAAACGTCGAAAAAAAGTATTCCAGCGTATTATGGAGGATATTTTTGGTTGACAGAGGCTAAAAATAATTTTTTTGAAAACTGAAAAAAAGCACTGAAAAAAATTAAAGGAACTCTTTTTTTCACGCAAAAATTCAGTTAAAAAAATTCAAAAAAATCCAATGAAAAACTAATTCCTGAAAAATTTTTCATACAGTCAATCAAATATAAAAAAACGTTTCCGACCGTCAATTTCAATTTTAGAATAATTTCTCAGAATATTGAAACGATTTTTCCGCATTAATTAGAGTTAATCAGGTCTTTTTTTCAAACCTTTTGTCAAAAAAATAAATAAATAAATGCGATTTTTTTCTTAATAAGTAACCATAATGATGAGTAAGAAATTTCAATTTTTTCCAATTTCTAAATCGGCATTTCTGAACTTCGATTTAATCTTGACCAGCTTCTATCATTACGATTAAAAAATCAAGGAGAAAAACAAAAAATCCAACTTCCTCCACAAGAAAAAATAGAACAAAACAGCTAGTTATACTTTAAACTCATACCACTCAACCATGAAGTTTAAAAACTGCAAGAAAAAGGGGCCATTTGTCACTTTTCTCACGTGGGAGACAAGGCCGCCGACAGGACAAAGTACAATGTTCTTCTCGCGCATCAACACCGGAAATCGAACAAAATCTTTTCAGAAAAAGAATTTATACATAACAAATACAGAAAGGTAATACAAGCGGAAAAGGCAATACAGAAAGGTACAGGGTCCCAGAAACGAGTGAAAGAGGTGATAAATGACAGTAGGTACATAGAAAAAAGTGGCCTGCACATCTAAAAGTTTCTATTCATTTTTATGGGATCGGGAAAGAGTTCAAAGTTGTTGGAAAACGATGATTTGAGCAATTTTAAGTTTATCAAAAGTTAGAAAAACGAACCAGGATCAAAAAATGATTATTTTCCTCGTCGCGTCAAAATAAAATTTTTATTTTTTTTTCTCTGAAACTTTTTTCTAACGTCTCATCAATACGAAATATCGAAATATGCACATAAAACCGCTCAACTCAACGTTTCCCAACCCTAAAATCTCTCTCCATTTCAATCCAAGTGAGTTTCCTCATCAGAAGCGGTGTCCGACGACATCGTGAGGTCCAGTTTTGGAGAATCCTGTCCAGAAGACATCGAGAGTCGCCCGAAATCCTCCAGTAGGTCATCGCCGCGAGCCGAGAACGGTACAAAATCGATCCGTTTGTTCAGAACCGATTCCACGTAAGGAATTAGGCAGATACGAGGAGGTATGAAGAAAGAGCGGCTGTTACGAAATTCTGTCAGACGGTCCAAGGTTCCAGGTATGGTCACACCTGAAAAAAATTAGTTTTTTTGGAATATTATATTGAAAAAAATTATATTTCCTTCCAAGAAAAAAATTTAAATTTTAAAGAAGCTCATTTTCCCAGAAACGGACAACGCCTAAAATTATAACCTTTGTTTCTATCAAAGCATATCGAAAAAAATTAAAAAAAGGTTTGTTTTTTTCTAAAAAAATTGGCAGCGCCCTGGTTTTCATCAAATCGAAATTTTCTAAAAACTGTGAAAAATTCTTCTTCTCAATTTATTTTTAATTTGAGCTCTCCTGAAAAAAACTTCTCAATTTCTATTAACGATTTTGAAAAAGTTTGAAGCCGAAAAAAATTCTGTTTTGGTCAGATTTTTTTGAGCTTTTTTTGCGTTGCCACAAATGAAATGACAACCCTAAATGCCACAGATACTAGAAAGTGAAATATTAAATAAATTTGTTTTTCACTTCATTTTTTTGACTAGTTTTTTTCTAAAATTCTTCATTTACACCCAGTTTCGTGGACTATATCGCAGCGAGAGTGGCGCGACATAGCAGCGACATATCTCGCTGCCATCTCGCTCAGCTCTAGCAAACTCCCGGCGCGATATCGGCGCGAGGTCGCGGATTATCGATTGGTCACTATTTACGTGCCATCAAAAATTTTACTTGAATTGTTTTTATTTTTGCGTCTGTTAGATTCTCTCTGATTTTTTTTATGTCTATTTTTTTCACTTAATATTTCTAAAATGTTAATTTTACAACTAATGTAACGCTCATACAGTACCGTCAGAAAAGGAAAAATGTTTTTTCGCTCACATCTTCCTCGTATAGAGCTCAATCTTTCTGAAACTTTTTCAGCTGTGTTTCTAAGTTTTCACCACGGTGTTACAATCAACAGTCATCATATTTCCAGAAAGTTTCAAAAGGGTGAAATCCCATTAAAGAAAGTTGTGATAAAGAAAAAGCTTTTTTGTATATATTTTGACGGAACTGCACACCTTTCTTGAATTTGAAAGTCCTTTTTCCGCGTTTTTTTTTAATGTTTCAACCAAGAATTTCAGGTTATTAGTACTTCAAAAAGGCATCTAACCCTTTTTTTCGATCAATAAAAGTCAAGAAAGATCCGTGGGAGATGGCACCGAAACTTTGCTTTTGGATACAATCAATAAGATTTTTGGTAAACTATTTTTGAAACAGTATATCCATTTTTACTTGAAGATATGATTTGCACTTTGGCGTCGATGGGTAAGGAAAAAAAGAAATGAGGCATGATTTCGAGAAAGCACGTACTGCTGTCTTGATACAGTCGCTCCTGTGAGTTATTCTCTTATTCAAGGTTGGACTTTTTTTCAGTATTTCTCTTTTTTTAACCGATTTTTATCATTTAGAAAAAGTTCTTGACGCAGCAAATGAAGGATATGCCGAAAACTATCGAGTCAAAGCTTACAGTAACATTTTTAAGGGAACTTAGTGTCAATCTGATTGTTTAACTTAATTTTTCTTTTTTTCAAAAACTTCTTTCATTTTTCATTTCGAGCCTCCCTCATTCATTTTCTAATTTGAACTTTTAAAGATCATCTACGAGCTTACAATCGGTTTACTTTTTCTGTTTTTTTATTGAACCTACTCTTTTTCCTAGTCACATTTTTTTCCTATCAAAAAAATAAACGATACACATGTTTTTTTCGTCATATTGTCCTTTTCTATTCTTACTTGAAGCTTCACTCTTTCGCCTCAATTCAATCTTCTTCAGATTTGTACATACTTTCCGTTTACTTCGAATTCGAAAAATGTATCATCAACTATTTGGAAAAATTTCTTTAATGCTCTCAAGTTTTTCATTTTAATATATATTGTTTAAATTAAATAAAAAAAGTAAAAGAAGGTTGATAAAGACCGATATGTTATCATGTACAACACAATAAAAAGTATGAAGCATAGAAAGCAAATCAAGAAAAAGCCCAATCGAGCTAAAAAAATTTTTTTGAAAGAGCGACATAGCAGCGAGATGTGAGCGACCTTGCGCCGAGAGGCGAGCGATATAGCTCGCGGCTCCCCCGCGATATAGCGTTTCTCTCGCTGCGACCTCGTCCGTAAAACTGGGTGTATAATATATTTTCGTTCAAATTGCTTCTTTTCCAAAATTCTTCCCATTTAGAACTAACTCTGAGACGTGAGCCACAGATACTGGGCCACCGTATGAGCCAGAGCTCGATCAGAAGCCGCCGGATAGTGTCCAACGTAGACAATTTCTTCGTCGCCAGGACTTCCAGGAGAACAGAACAAAGACCGAAGTTCCCGTTCCAGATGATCGACGAGGGCCTGAAAAAATATTGAACTTTAAGGGGTCCTTTTTTTTGCGGAAAATCAATGGGAATATAACGAAATCGGCAGCGCCTAACATTTAACAAATTTGGCAGCGCCCAATATTCAAAAAAAATTGGCAGCGCCTAATATTCGAAAGAATTGGCAGCGCCTAATATTCAAAAAAATTGGCAGCGCCTAATATTCGAAAAAATTGGCAGCGCCTAAAATTTCAAGAAATTGGCAGCGCCTAAAATTTAACAAAATTGGCAGCGCCTAAAGTTTAACAAATTTGGCAGCGCCTAAAGTTTAACAAATTTGGCAGCGCCTAATATTCGAAAGAATTGGCAGCGCCTAATATTCAACAAAAGTGGCAGCGCCTAATATTCGAAAAAATTGGCAGCGCCTAAAATTTCAAGAAATTGGCAGCGCCTAAAATTTAACAAAATTGGCAGCGCCTAAAGTTTAACAAATTTGGCAGCGCCTAAAGTTTAACAAAATTGGCAGCGCCTAAAGTTTAACAAATTTGGCAGCGCCTAAAGTTTAACAAATTTGGCAGCGCCTGAAATTTAACGAAATTGGCAGCGCCTAAAATTTAACGAAATTGGCAGCGCCCAATATTCAAAAAAAATTGGCAGCGCCTAATATTCGAAAGAATTGGCAGCGCCTAATATTCAAAAAAATTGGCAGCGCCTAATATTCAACAAAAGTGGCAGCGCCCAATATTCGAAAAAATTGGCAGCGCCTAATATTCAAAAAAATTGGCAGCGCCTAATAATCGAAAAAATTGGCAGCGCCTAATATTCAACAAAAGTTGCAGAGCCTAATATTCAACAAAAGTGGCAGCGCCTAATATTCGAAAAAATTGGCAGCGCCTAAAATTTCAAGAAATTGGCAGCGCCTAAAATTTAACAAAATTGGCAGCGCCTAAAGTTTAACAAATTTGGCAGCGCCTAAAGTTTAACAAATTTGGCAGCGCCTAATATTCGAAAGAATTGGCAGCGCCTAATATTCAACAAAAGTGGCAGCGCCCAATATTCGAAAAAATTGGCAGCGCCTAATATTCGAAAGAATTGGCAGCGCCTAATATTCAAAAAAATTGGCAGCGCCTAATATTCAACAAAAGTGGCAGCGCCCAATATTCGAAAAAATTGGCAGCGCCTAATATTCAAAAAAATTGGCAGCGCCTAATAATCGAAAAAATTGGCAGCGCCTAAAATTTAACAAAATTGGCAGCGCCTAAAGTTTAACAAATTTGGCAGCGCCTAAAGTTTAACAAAATTGGCAGCGCCTAAAGTTTAACAAATTTGGCAGCGCCTGAAATTTAACGAAATTGGCAGCGCCTAAAATTTAACGAAATTGGCAGCGCCCAATATTCAAAAAAAATTGGCAGCGCCTAATATTCGAAAGAATTGGCAGCGCCTAATATTCAAAAAAATTGGCAGCGCCTAATATTCAACAAAAGTGGCAGCGCCCAATATTCGAAAAAATTGGCAGCGCCTAATATTCAAAAAAATTGGCAGCGCCTAATAATCGAAAAAATTGGCAGCGCCTAATATTCAACAAAAGTTGCAGAGCCTAATATTCAACAAAAGTGGCAGCGCCTAATATTCGAAAAAATTGGCAGCGCCTAAAATTTCAAGAAATTGGCAGCGCCTAAAATTTAACAAAATTGGCAGCGCCTAAAGTTTAAAAAATTTGGCAGCGCCTAAAGTTTAACAAAATTGGCAGCGCCTAAAATTTAACGAAATTGGCAGCGCCTAAAATTTAACAAAATTGGCAGTGCCTAAAGTTTAACAAATTTGGCAGCGCCTAAAGTTTAATAAAATTGGCAGCGCCTAAAATTTAACGAAATTGGCAGCGCCTAAAATTTAACAAAATTGGCAGCGCCTAAAATTTAACAAAATTGGCAGCGCCTAAAGTTTAACAAATTTGGCAGCGCCTAAAATTTAACAAAATTGGCAGCGCCTAAAGTTTAACAAATTTGGCAGCGCCTAAAGTTTAACAAATTTGGCAGCGCCTAAAATTTAACGAAATTGGCAGCGCCTAAAATTTAACAAAATTGGCAGCGCCTAAAATTTAACAAAATTGGCAGCGCCTAAAATTTAACAAAATTGGCAGCGCCTAAAATTTAACAAAATTGGCAGCGCCTAAAGTTTAACAAAATTTGGCAGCGCCTAAAAGTTTAACAAAATTTGGCAGCGCCTAAAATTTAACGAAAATTGGCAGCGCCTAAAATTTAACAAAATTGGCAGCGCCTAAAGTTTAACAAAATTTGGCAGCGCCTAAAATTTAACAAAATTGGCAGCGCCTAAAAGTTTAACAAAATTGGCAGCGCCTAAAAGTTTAACAAAATTGGCAGCGCCTAAAATTTAACAAAATTGGCAGCGCCTAAAGTTTAACAAAATTTGGCAGCGCCTAAAGTTTAACAAAATTGGCAGCGCCTAAAATTTAACGAAATTGGCAGCGCCTAAAATTTAACAAAATTGGCAGCGCCTAAAGTTTAACAAAATTTGGCAGCGCCTAAAGTTTAACAAAATTGGCAGCGCCTAAAATTTAACGAAAATTGGCAGCGCCTAAAATTTAACAAAATTGGCAGCGCCTAAAATTTAACAAAATTGGCAGCGCCTAAAATTTAACGAAATTGGCAGCGCCTAAAATTTAACAAAATTGGCAGCGCCTAAAGTTTAACAAATTTGGCAGCGCCTAAAGTTTAACAAATTTGGCAGCGCCTAAAATTTAACGAAATTGGCAGCGCCTAAAATTTAACAAAATTGGCAGCGCCTAAAGTTTAACAAAATTGGCAGCGCCTAAAATTTAACAAAATTGGCAGCGCCTAAAGTTTAACAAAATTGGCAGCGCCTAAAGTTTAACAAAATTTGGCAGCGCCTAAAATTTAACGAAAATTGGCAGCGCCTAAAATTTAACAAAATTGGCAGCGCCTAAAGTTTAACAAAATTGGCAGCGCCTAAAATTTAACAAAATTGGCAGCGCCTAAAGTTTAACAAAATTGGCAGCGCCTAAAGTTTAACAAATTTGGCAGCGCCTAAAATTTAACGAAATTGGCAGCGCCTTAAATTTAACAAAATTGGCAGCGCCTAAAGTTTAACAAAATTGGCAGCGCCTAAAATTTAACAAAATTGGCAGCGCCTAAAGTTTAACAAAATTTGGCAGCGCCTAAAAGTTTAACAAAATTGGCAGCGCCTAAAATTTAACAAAATTGGCAGCGCCTAAAGTTTAACAAATTTGGCAGCGCCTAAAATTTAACGAAAATTGGCAGCGCCTAAAAGTTTAACAAATTTGGCAGCGCCTAAAAGTTTAACAAAAATTGGCAGCGCCTAAAGTTTAACAAAATTTGGCAGCGCCTAAAAGTTTAACAAATTTGGCAGCGCCTAAAATTTAACGAAATTGGCAGCGCCTTAAAATTTAACAAAATTGGCAGCGCCTAGAAGTTTAACAAAAATTGGCAGCGCCTAAAATTTAACAAAAATTGGCAGCGCCTAAAGTTTAACAAAATTTGGCAGCGCCTAAAGTTTAACAAAATTGGCAGCGCCTGAAAATTTAACAAAATTGGCAGCGCCTAAAGTTTAACAAATTTGGCAGCGCCTAAAATTTAACGAAATTGGCAGCGCCTAAAGTTTAACAAAATTTGGCAGCGCCTAAAATTTAACAAAATTGGCAGCGCCTAAAGTTTAACAAATTTGGCAGCGCCTAAAGTTTAACAAAATTGGCAGCGCCTAAAATTTAACAAAATTGGCAGCGCCTAAAGTTTAACAAATTTGGCAGCGCCTAAAATTTAACGAAATTGGCAGCGCCTAAAGTTTAACAAAACTGGCAGCGCCCAAAACCCAGCAACTTTAGCCTAACAGAAAAAAAAAATTGAGACTAGCCTAAAATAAACATAAAACACATTTTGATTAAAAAATCAAGAAAACTCGATCCTGAGAAGTTCAAAATCGAGTAAAATAGCTGAACTATAACATTTGGAGCAAAAAAAAAATCATTAACACAACATTCTCTCATCAATCCCATTATCTCTAATAAACCCACCCAATTAACTTTTCGAGACAGCAAAATCTGCTTCGATTTCTTGTCAAGACGTTCGAAGCAGGCCTTGCCCGAGTAGGCCGGATGGTCTGCAATAAATGAATTATTCATAATTCTTTAATCCTTTTTTCACGTTTTCTAGCATCCGGAGTATTTTTCGAAGGCGTCGGCTTTCCACCAACGACGCACCAGCCTTTTTCTTCGGAGTTAGCGTTAGAAACCGCATTTTCGAGGATTTCCAGTTGCTCCTGCTCGTCCTTGGCGATGAACTCGTTCCAGGCCTGAAAAATAAAATTAGCAACTATTTATAATATTTCGAATTATTTTTTATAGTTTTTCTTTTATTTTTTACGTTTAAAGTTTCGAAAATTTTTTGAATATTTCTTTTGCTTAATTTTGAATGGTTCAATATGGAATTTTCCTCAAACTACTCAGAAAATTCACCTTCATATTTTTCCTGTTCAGCGAAAAAGCCGATCAAAAAGCCGTGTAGGTTCGAGGGAAGATATCCGAAAAATCCTCGCAAATGTCCTCCCGATCGGCCCAGTCCAACAGAGAACGGGCTGAAATTGATAACCTCATAATAATTGTTCAGTTAGAAAAATAATATTATCCTTTAAACTATTGAAAAATCTGGACAGTGCTCTAGGAACTTGTATAAAATTTTGATATTTAAATTTTTTTGGTAGCTTTTTGATACTGGGACAAAAAAATAATCTATCTTTGCTTTCTAATATATGAAAAAAATAATTCATTAAATCTAAAATTCCTATAGTCTGTTCAGATTTTTAAATGTCAAGTGCAATGCCGTCATTCAAAAACACTCTGTGGATGGCCTGCTCTCTGATTGGTTTATCGCACCATTAGGGGCGGAGCTTGAGCGGCGACTTGTCATTCAAAATCTGAACAGACTATACTTTTTACAAGTTAACATATAAAGGGCTTTTAAGAATCCTCAGTTTTCGAATGTCGAAAACTCGAAAAAATATGTTTAAAAACCTATATTTGATCAACTTCTCTTGAATCCTTATTTTACTTCAAAAACCAATGAAACCGGGACTTGAGTTAATTTTCGTAAAAATTCTTATACATATGAAATCTTATTTTTTACAGCTCATAACCAAAAACCAATATAAAGATGCTTCTCCTGAAATAAATGGAAAGAAGCCAAATTTTTGTCCGCCTATTTTTTGATATATTTTCGAAGCCCTGTATCAAAAATAACCATTCTCGACGCGGCGCCATTTCCGGGCTCCCATGTTTCGATGGACCTTCAATCCATCGGATTCGAGGTCATCCGGCGACCAACGCAATCTTCAATCAATTATTCAACTCAAAGGATTCATGCTTTCAAATTTAATGAAATCGATATTTCCACATTTGCCGATATTTACGTGGGCTGGATGCCACCCTAGAGATGGGCGGAATTTAAATTTTAATTTTCGGAACAAAAATTTTTTGCGGAGAAGCTTCAGAACTTTTGTACAAATTATAAGTCACTACAGAAGAAAAAAAATTCGACATGTATTTCTTTTTACCTTCAGACGGCATTTTGCGACAGTTAGCGGATGAGAAAAAAAAAACTATTGAGCTATAGAACTTTTTAAAAAAATCATATTTCTGAGAAATCATATCGGAAAACGCGGAAAATTATTTTTGCGGAATACCGCCCATCTTTGCACCCCACTATTTTTGGCGCGAAAAAAAAATTGAAAATGTATTGAAATCGGCCGAAATTCTTCCATTCCGGAGTTGGGATCCAGCCCAATTAGGCGCGTAGATCGAATAATAAATGAGATTACGGTTTCGGCCGCTTATGAAATGGACATATCAACTCCTTTCTTCGCTATAAACGTAGAAACGTTGTCAAAAAAATGAAGAATTCAAAAAAATTTATCGTTTTCTTCTTATACTGAAAAATCAATAAAATCTACTTTTTTTCAACAATCTAAAAACTACAAACTTCCTCTCGGCCCTCCGCTCCTTGTTGCGTCTGGAGCGCGAAGTTTGAACTTCTACACTTTCCGAGGTCCGCCGATTCTCCTCGTCGCTCATTTCGAAGCTGGAAATTGACAACTATTTTATAGTTTTGCAACAAAATTCAGTCTTAAAAAGCTTGTTAAAAATAAACCAACTCGGCATAATTGAACTCGGGGATTTCCTCAACGCGGATGGGCTGAAGTTCATGGGAACGGCGGGTGACACCCATTTTTCAAATTTGGAAGAGCTTGGAAGCTGGAGAGTAAGTTTTCTGAAATAAATAGACTCATAAATAATCACGAAAAGTTTCGAAGCAGAAAAAAATCGAAAAAAAAAATGAGGATTTCCATGAAAATTATTTGAATATCAATGGAAGTTTATACCGTGTTTAAAGTGATTTCCGCGAAATTTAAAAATAATCTCTGACTCTCCAAAAAACAGTTATCTTTTTCATTCTCTGACGGCTATTTTGATTTTCGCGGAATCACTTTGAATCTCTAGTAAACGAAAAAAAAAATAAAGGGTCTGAAAAAAGATTCCATTTTTTCAAAGTCTGTTTGAAAATATTCCAGTGTTCTTAAAGGCCCATAAGCTTAACATAACCTTAAATAACATTGAAAACGGCTTTTCGTTTCGAGACCTTTCTTAATATTGTCAATGTTCTTTGAAACACACGAAATAGCTTTGAAATAGACTATAACTATTATAGAAACTATAGTCGATCATAATTTTTTTAAATCAAGATTCAAAAAGCCTCAACTTGCAAAATGAAAGAATAAATAGTTTTTAAGTAGAACCGACGATAAAAAAAGATAAAAAATAATTAAGAGATTCTAGGAAAAATCATGAACTTAACAAACTAAATAATATTTCAACTTTTTGTAAAAGTCATGAAATCAAACAAGGAAAGAATTATACAATGAAAAAATGAACTATGTATCGAAACACTTTTTTTTTGCTATTTCGACACATGCTCCGGGTTGACCACTGAACACGCCATATTTCAAAAAATGACAATCAGTTTTCCACATCGAAGCAAAAAAAAAGCGATTCCGTAAACTATTTGATACAATTTTGAACGCTGGAGTTTCTACCAAGAAACATATATAACAGAACTAGTTTAAAAAATTAACTTTAATGAAAAATAAAGCGAAACTGAAGGTCCTGAGTGAAGTGGGAAAAATATCGACCGAAAAAAGTTGGGCGCGTAAGATTCGACGTTATTTTCTTTGAAGAAGCTGCAGCTGTGAGTGTCGCTCTCAAACCAGTTTTCTTCGTTTTCTTTTCCTTTATCGTATCAGTCTCAGTGTAGTCATGTGAAAAGAAACTCGATAAATTTTGCCTTGAAGCAATTTTCATCAAAAAAAAAAATCGATTGAACACTTTTCCAACATAAATATATAAGAAAAATGCATTTTTTCGCATAAATGAGAGGAATTTGAGCAAGTTCTGATAGATTCCTCTTGAAACATAAAAAGGAAACATTGTACAAAACCGAATATTCGCGCCATTGGGTCACCTTATCTTATCGCAGCTATTGTATCATAGCACGCAAGTATCCATCGAATTTTTCAGCTCTTCTCTATCGGTTTGCGCTTTTTTTACTCCTGTTAGTGCTTTTTTTCTTATTTTAATAAAAAAATGACAAATTTTAGGTAAAAAAACATGGACAAACTGCACAAGGGATGGTTTACCGAGTTTTCGCCCGATGATTTGGAACGAATGAACAACGAAGGTATTCTAAAACTTACAAAAAGCTAAAAAGCTCCAATATTTCAACTGAAAAATCAAGTAAATGAAATACAAATTATGTAAAATGATATCGATTGATTACACGCGGGACGCGGATTTTTCGCGCATGCATTTTCGAGAGGGCGTGTGCGCCAAAGCTCTGCCCGACCGTATGAAAAAAAAACGATGTTTTCAATAAAATTGATACAAAAAATCAATTTATAGGTTCTGAAGAATCCACAAAATTGCTCAAATCTGATGGACAAGAAATGGGAGGCGCATGGCCTGGTCAGGCATTCTCTCTGCAAGCCAAAAAAGTTCTATTCCATGAGAAAAGCATATTTCAAGACGTCTTAGTGTTTGAAAGGTTTATTTGAAAATTTTTCATTTAAAAATTCATGTTATTTTAGTACAACGTACGGAAATGTCTTGGTACTTGATGGGATAATTCAAGCGACAGAAAGAGACGAATTCTCCTACCAGGAAATGCTGGCTCACTTGCCGCTTTTCGCTCATCCGAACCCAAAAAAAGTATTTGTTTTTTGGAAAAATAACATTTTAAATATTTTTTTCAGGTTTTGATTATTGGAGGAGGTGATGGCGGAATCCTGCGCGAGGTTTTGAAGCACTCCGAGGTGGAAAAAGTGACAATGTGCGAAATTGATCAAATGGTCATTGATGTTTCCAAAAAGTAAGCTTAATCTATCATTTTTTTGTTATATTCAAATTAAGGTACCTTCCTGGAATGTCGTGTGGCTTTTCTGACCCGAAACTCGATCTATACTGCGGCGACGGGTTCGAATTTCTTAAAAATCACAAGGTAATTCGGAAATTCTAGTTTATTTTGCAAACTCGCTCTGTTGAGAACGAGTATGACGTCATCATTACTGACTCTTCCGATCCAGTGGGTCCAGCGGAATCGCTGTTTGGCCAATCGTACTACGAACTCTTGAGGGACTCCTTAAATGAAACTGGAATTCTTTCTTCACAAGGTAACTTGGAACCGCTCCGCTTTACGCGACGCGTTGCGGTTTGAGGCGAATGTCCTTGGTTGGACGTTGTACTTATTCGAAAATTGGTCTCAACTGGAAGAGAGCTTTTCCCAACGGTACAGTACGCCCTTGGAAGTGTTCCAACCTACACATCCGGATTAATGGGATACCTAATTTGCGCCAAAGAGAAGGTTTTGGGCATGGAGAAGTTTGGTGCTGTGGAGTGGAGTTTCTGAGTTGGTTGCTGTGTGGAAAAAAATTTATCAATGGAGCGCAAAAACTCTGTAAAAAATGGTTGTTTTGGTGAAAGTGATCGTTTTCTGCTTCCCGGATTTTTACGACAATTCGTAGTGACCTCTTTAGGGTTTTGAAATTTTAGTGGACACTATAGTGGTCACTAAGACGTGAAATGAGGGTTCTTAGTGGCCACTTCAGTGTCCTGTCCATGTAGTCTTTGAGGAGCCTCTTAAGGGACCACTAGATATTTTCACAGTCACTTGGTAACGTAAGCCTCTGAGCGTTTCTAGGGATCACTTAAGGGTAGTGACGCCGCTAAAGTGATCACTAAAAATTCCCAGAAACGTCCGGTTTATCGAGGCTCCACGAAATTTATCCATAGGGCGCACTAACCCCAGAATAAACGGCTCTTTCGCTTATTTTTCCTCTTTTTGCATGCTCAAGTTCAGGAGAGAGCGCCTGGCTGCACCTGAAGTTGATCCAGCACCTGGTCCAGTTCAACCGTCGGATCTTCCCGACCGTCGCCTACGCTCAGACGATCGTCTCAACCTACCCATCAGGATGCATGGGCTATCTTGTGTGCTCTAAATCGGTGATAGTCTTAGTTTTCTTTGGTTTCCTTGAACTCCAGGTCATGGTGAGAAAACTGAGCTGGTTGAAGCATAGGACAAGGCTCAAGCCGTTTTGGGTCGGTTGCGACAAAGTTTGATGTCTGAAACGACTATAAAAAGCTCAACTGCCTTATTTAAGCATAGTATAGATCAGAAGTCGTTTTTGGTCGGGTGCAATGAAAAATGAGCCATGAGTATTTGGCCAAAGTATACCGAAAGTCGTTTTGGGTCCGGCACAAAAAATCGAACTTTCTTTTTCGTAATAAAGCATCAAAAAGCTCTGCAAGCTCATTTTGAGGCATAGAAAATCGCGCAAGTCGTTTCCAGTCGGGTGCATAATTCCAACCGAGCCATTCTCACTGCGGCCATTGAACGGAATATAAATTCGCCCTTGTTTGTCGTTCTTGACTCAATTTCTCAAAAAATGAAAGAAATCACTAAAATGATCACTTCTAGAGCCGTGACGTCAGCGTTCCTGCGCGGGAATTGACGGATGATGACGTTAGAGGAATGAAATTGAGATTTTACAATTCTCAAGTCCATCGAGCCGCCTTTGTTCTTCCACAGTTCGTCAAAGCGGTCAGTTTCTCTTGGTGTAGTGGTAGAAAGCTGAATCGACGCTTGGAAGGTCGAGGGTTCGGATCCTCTGTCGGTTTTTGCCATTTTTCTTATGTAGAAAGATTGGTGTAAAAATTTGAATAGAGCGAGAGCAGGGAAAAGTTGAAGAGACGCCAGAGAAAAAAAAAATTATGACTTCTCTGGCGTCTCTACAGGGGTTGTTATCTATCGCTTCGAATCATTCTCTCTAAATTCTTCAGAGACTTATTCATGTAAAAAGATATCAGTGACCTCCTGAAGAGACGCAGAGAAAAAAAACTTTCTGACTTCTCTGGCGTCTCTCAAGGCGGATGTTATCTCTCGCTTCGAATAATTATTTCAAATTTTTGAGAGACTCATTCATTTTGAAGATATCAGTGATAAACTTAAGAGACACCAAAGAAAAAAAAATTTTCTGACTTCTCTGGCGTCTCTACAGGGGTTGTTATCTCTCGCTTCAATCATTATTTTAAATTTTCGAGAGACTTAACGATGTAAGGGGATATCAATGATGGGCTGAAGAGACGCCAGAGAAAAAAAAAACTATCTGACTTCTCTGGCGTCTCTCATAGCGGCTGTACTATTTTCTTTCACCAGTCGGATACCCCGTTTTTTTTTACAATTGATTAAAAAAAATGAATTTTTCAATTTCAGGCCCTCGAGGAAGCTTGAGCCACTACTACATCAGTTGATAACCAGCTTTATTTTATTATAATCTGTTATTTTTTGTTGTTTTTTTCTTGATAATAAACGTTTTTTCCAGGTGTGGATTTACACAAAAAAAGAGGATTTTTATTTCTTCTTCCAACTACGGCAAATAATTTGCGGACAATACGTTCCCAATTGAATAAGTGCAAGTTTGGCATTATCGTCGCCGACAAAAACGTTGCCATCGACGTCCGTTTTCCAGCCGGCGGCTTCATAACCGGCCCGGATCGCGTTGTAAGTTGTGGCTTCCTGAATTTTTCAAAGTATCTGGGCAAGAAACATGTGAAAATGAGGTTTTTAAGCAAGAAACATGTGAAAATGAGGTTTTTAAGCAAGAAACATGTGAAAATGAGGTTTTTAAGCAAGAAACATGTGAAAATGAGGTTTTTAAGCAAGAAAAAATGTGAAAAATGAGGTTTTTAGGCAAAAAACAATCCTTAAAAGGCCTATGCGCAAGCGTGGTATCATACAACGCATAGAGACTTGCGAAAATTGCGCCCGACCAAAAACGACTTGCGACGGGGTATTTTCTAAGTATTAAAGAAAGGTGCCTATAGATGCGAGGTGCGCGATGTGACCGAAACGCTTCTCGAACCATTCCAAATGCGACCAAACAAATCCACAAAAATCTCACCTCAGCAGCCGCTTCAACAGCAGCTGCAGCTCCGGCAGAAGCAGACGAAGAAGCTGCAGCTTCTGGAGTCTTCGAAGCTGGAGCTGCAGCTGGAAGAGCTGGAGCAACTGGGACAACTCCGATAGTTCCAGGAGGTCCTGCCATGAGCAACGGGGGGACGCCGCCGGCGCAGGCGTAGGCATTTTGGCACGGCGAACAGTTGGAGCAGCCTGCCGTTGGCGCCAGGAATCCTGACACGATTTCTACCGTAATCAGTAATAATAGTGTGATTTTTCTGGAGGACATGGTTGCTCTGAAAGATGGAAAGTTCTCAGGACGAATTTTACTGAAGAAATGACGTCATTGGAGATGATGACGTCATAAAAAAAGATGAAATAACTTTGAATATTAATGAAGAATTTTTTTAAAAAAATTAAAAATGACGTCATCAGAATCAGAAAGGGAAGCATTTTTAGTGTTAAACATACCTAATTTTGAAATAAATAAAAGGAAATATTTTTTATTTGAACAACAATATTTGCTTCATTGCAACAGTTTTTGAGATGGAAAGTTGAAAATTTGATTTGATCGATTTGATCGATTTAAAAAGACACAGAAAAGGGAAGACCGTGAAAAGTGACAAGATTGAAACGAAATCTCGAGAAAGCACGAGATTTGGATGGATAGTGAATTCTTATCTTATCAACGCTTCTCATCCCGTTCCGGGGATGAAGTTCGATTTTCAGTTGGTTTGATCACTTGGGTTTCACTTTTCATATCGGGAAAACTGAAAGCAAAGAAATAATTGAATTTTAGGAAATACCATGGAAAATTTATGTACTATTTATCCAAAACTTACCTTTAATTCTCATGGAAAATGATTTTGAAGACTTTTATCACCTTTACCCAAAAAAATGTGACGTCACGAGTAAAATCCCTCAAGTTACAACTTCCGTTTAAATTTGTGAGTCCCTTCTTTATTTTAAGATGAAAGTCGGGCATCTGATTGTCAAAATATTTCAGAAATGCAACACGAAGAGCTGAAAAATCCAATGAATTTTCGAATAATCGCCAAGATAATCCACCCGTTAGCGTAAACCAAACGCGCCCCGGACATCCCTGAGCATTTAAGTGACCACTTAAGAGTGGTGACGCCACTTAAATGATCCCTTAAATAACACAAAAAAGTCAGGGACGTCCGAAAATCAAAAATAAAAAAAATTGAATAAAGTTCGCTGGAGCGCACTTTCCAAAAATATTGCACATTTGAAAAAATTAATTTTCCTTATATTTTTTTATATTTTTTTTTCATTTTCCAGTTCTTTACGGAATATTTTCTTCAATAAACTCGTTCGAATCAGAAAATTTGATCTTCTCCAAACGCGGTGAGAACTTTCAGAACGATGCTCTGTTCTTTCGTCTGGGCCCTCCGGCTCCGCAACGCTCTTTCCTCGCAACGGCCCTTCCAAAAGGTTCCCTCATGGCAAAGACGCGGACAAAGGCCGTTTTTCGTTCGTTTTGAATCCGTTTCCCTTTTTTTAAAGGTTCTGACAACATAATTTGATTCAAACATAATGAAAAATTTGAATTTATTGCATATTTCAAAAAAATACATTCCAGGTCCAATTTTATTTTTTTGTGATCATTTTTCTTCTTTTTTTAAAAATTTTCAAAGATTGCAGGAAATATCAAAAAAATTGATAAATAGATAAGAAAAATTTGATAAGAAAAAGTTGAAGGGTATTTTTTTCCTGAAGTACATTTTTTTAAAATTATAGTTTAAAAAAAGGTTTATTGACATTTAATTCTGACTAGAAAAAAAGCGATTTATTCCGCTTTCCTAAATCTGTCATGATTATTCAGCTTTTTTTGCAACTTTACTGGTGAAAAAAATTCAGCAAGCCCAAATTTGACTGAAAAAAAGATCAACAAAAAAACGAAAAAAAGATCAAAAATTTTTCTTCTTCTTTTCTTTTTTTCTTAAACCTCTTTCTATATGTTTTATATTAATTATACAATAAAAAAACTTGATTTTTCATGTTCCTACAGGATGGCGGTCTCCTCAGAAGCTTCAGAAGACGTCGGAACACTGCAAAAACCGTTCAAACATCCCTCGACCTTCTATTGGACCGAACAAGTTAGAAGTCGCCGCGAATACATCAAGGTTACACCTTATTTCATTCCAAAATAGAATTTCTGTTGTTTTATAGGATCTTCATACGAAAAACGATGAAATAAAAGAAGCACTTACCAAGTATTTCGATGAAGATGCGGCGAATCCCGAGGAAAACGTCTATTTGAATGTCGGGACCCTTTTTTCGAGCATGCCTGACCGACATAGCAACGATGATAGTCCCGACAACTTGGCAGGTAGAAACAAAACCCAGAAAAATAGAAAAAAATTCGATTTGAAAAAGAAAACGAGAGGTGCGGTGGGGCGCGAATGCTCCCAGTACCCTTTTCAACATTTTTTTCTATCCATTTTTTTAAATTTCAGGAATTTTTTTGTTTAACTTTCAATTTTGACTTTTTTAAATTTCATATGAGAAAATGTAAAAAAAAGTTAGCAGCATTTATTTTTTTAAAAAAATTTTTGAAACATTAAATTTTCCTTTTTTTTGTGTCACCATTCTATCTCAATTGTTCGTAAAAATCCCTGTGAGCCCGTTTTTTTATTAAATTTATGATTATAAATATTTTTCAAGCTTATTAAACTTCAGCTCTGGTTCTGTCAACTTTCGCCGAATGGCTAGAAGACAAAAAAACTTTACCGAGTTGCAGGAAAAAGTACCTCAACAGCGATATTCAGGTGATTTAATTGTAATTAAAAAAATAAATTTTTTTCCATCGTGATTGACTGCTATTCCACATGATATGCTTCAAACTAACAAAATTTTAAACATTTCAGGAAAAGTCAAAAACTGCAAATTTGAAAAAAAAAATAGAGTATGCGATAGTGTGCCTCGGTGTGTATACACCATAAACATCATAATTCACGAATTGACTTGCGTTTTGAAAAAAACGCCGTGCTTTTTGATTATATTCCAAATAATAATACCCTTTTTTTCAGACTGAAGCGATAAAGTCATGCTCCGGGAAAGCGTCCGTTCATTTAAAGGCAGTCAGTCAGATTTTCGACTTGAATGAAGAGAAGATTGACCTACTTATTAGCCAGAATATTCAGGTTTCTTTTTCTTTGTTTCTTGTATAATTTATTTTTTTAAATTCAGAAACTGATCGACAAGAAAAATGTTTAAAGAAGCCTTGGACATGATTGTCCTTCACAAAAAGGAGTCCGAATTCAGTTTTGAAGATTTGATTATTCCGCTTTTGTTGCAAGTTAGTTTCAGGCCGAAACATTAATTTTTTTATAATTTCAGGACAAGGCTGTTTGTGTCCACGAATTCCTTCGGAATCGTCCAGATTTTCAAAAAAGCCTTATTGAATTTTACGACGGCCTGGTTCTGAAAAATGAAGAAGAAGCTGAGGAAATTCTCAAGCCTTATGCAGAAGTCAGAACCTTACCATTGGAGCGGTTTTACGGTAAGAATATTCGAAAATTCGTGTTTTGAAGAGCTTCAAAGCTTTGAAAATATGCATGTTGCGAAAGTCGCCCAAGGTCGGGCGCACCTGAGAAAGGAGTTTCGAAGTTTTATTTGTCAATTTTATGACGATTTTGGGTCATTTCAAGCCGTTGAAAATCGAAATCAAGAAATCAATTCAGGAAAGACCATGGAGAAGGTGATGAACACCTTCTTCCAGAAAGTCGTCAAGCAGTACGGATTCACCGTGGACTCGACGATGGCCCCGAATCTCTGCCGGCTGAAAATCAAAAAATCGTTGCGGCATTACATCAGCACTCGGCATGATCCGACGTCGAAGATCATTCTCACCGATGATTGCTATTTTCAGATCATTCAGGTACTTGGAAAATTGGGATTTTATTGATTTTTAAATTTTCATTATAATGGTTACTTGATTTTTTTTCGATTTTTGCAGGTCTAAAATCATTGGAAAAAGTTCTAAAAAGGGGGAAAACATTTAATTATAGTTATCAGAAGGTTTAGTCCATTTCTCGCGACTAGAAAATGCTTTTTTTCTCTGCGCCCTCCTCGTCTCTCGGCGACCCTCTCATGTCTCTGTGCTATTTTAACATTTCTCTGATCCTGGTGAGAGAACAGAGAGACTTCGAAAAGTCGCGATGAATAGACTATCTTAGGAACTTTAGAGTGGTCCCTATAGGGGCCGGAAAATGGTCCCCCTGGGGTAAAATTTAGGTGGTCCCTATAAGGGTCAAGGGCCTCGCCCCTGAGCCTTTGAAGCTCAAGTGGCCCCTAGAGGGATCGATTCCTAAGCCTCTAAAGCTCAAGTGGTCCCTATAGGAATCTTTTGTTTTTTATTATTCACTACAATAATCAACTACCATGCCCCTACATGGGTTACTGACAGAAACCCCTGTAGGAGCCACTTTTGCAAGCTTCAGTGGCCCCTATAGGGGTTGCTGAGGTGCTCCCTAGAGAAGACCCTCCAAGGGCCCCTATAGGGACCACTCTGAAGCTTTTAAGAGAAAAAAGGATAAATCCACTTAGCAACAGTTTCAAGGCCTTGAAATCCATTTTTTTTTTTCAGAAAATTTCAAAATAAAGTGATTTTTTAACTTGAATAAGAAATAATCAGCATTTTTCAGCAAATAATGAGCCAATCAGACTTGAAAATGCAACGGTCATTTATCGCATTTCTGGGGAATTCCTCTTGTCGGGAAAGAATGTGAGATTTTGAAAAGAAAGTTCTAAAATCATTCAAATTCTCAGAATCGACGCCATTAGTTTGAAAAAGTACCTGAAAATTCCGGACACGTTTTTTCCGGAGATTCTCGAAGCGGATCCGGAAATTGAACGTGAAGCTGATCTTCTTCTGGAGAAGCGATTGTGAGTTACGAAAATTGAAGAAATTAGGCAGGGAAGATTTATTTGAAGTCTGGAAACATTGGAAAACCTTGAAAACTTCTTAAAAACTCCAGAGTGGTCCCTAAAGGGGCTAGGGAAAAAGCGCTTCCTAGAGAGGTAAAATTTAGGTGGTCCCTATGGGGTTTTCATCCCTTTCATAACATCAAACGACTAGACCCCTAGAGTGACCACTTTTGCAAGCTTTGATGGCCACTATGGGGAGGTAAAGTGGTCCCTAGAGGGGAACTTTTAAGAGGCTCTAAGATTGCCCCTATAGGAGTCACTTTGGAGCTCCCAAATTTGATGAGATCCCTTTCCTTTATTCACTGTTTACTGTTTCAAATGTTTTCTATAAATTGTGATATTCGAATTTCCGCGATATGGCATTCGTATCGGGAAAGTAGTGATTTTATAGAAATTTACATTGCGAAGCGGTTTTGGCGCTAATTTGAAAATTTTGAATTTTCGAACTATTTTTGGGATAGATCTTCATTTTTTATCAAATAAAAGTGCTGAAGCAAATCATTTAAAAAATTTTTCGTGTCAGGAAATGTGAGAAAAATCCAAAAATGCAAGAAATTCTGTTTTACGCGAAAATTTGCGACCGCTGTATGGCATAAAAATTGAATGTGCAGAATTTTTAGGAAAAATGAATCATATTGAACGAAAACATCTGCAAGAAACGTAAAGACAAGTCTTCCAAAAAAAAAATATTTACATTTACTTTGTTTACCGTTTCTGATGTATTTTGTTTTTGTTTTACAAAAAAGGTCATTTCATTCGTGTATGAAAACTTCTATTAAAATTCCCTTCAACTTTCCTTAAAATTCAAAAAAACCATCCTGAAATTCTCAACTTGTAAAACTCTCTAGTTCCGGAAAAATGACACCTCAAACTCAAAGAAAAACCTCAAAATCCGTGAAAATGTGTTTTTTCTCTTCTTTTCTCGAAAAAAGAAATTTTGAAGGTTGACACTTCCAGAGGAACACAGAACCTTCTTCCAGTACATCAAGAAGTTTTTTTGAAAAAAATTCTGGGATTGATCAAGGGGGGCGTAAAGTCAGAGGACTCCATGGCGGGGGGATATCGAACTTATGGGGGAGGGGACGATATCCAACTTATGGGTGTTGGGCGATATCCATTTTATGAAGAGGGAGGGGCGGTATTCAACTAATGGGGGCAGGCGATATCCAACTTATGGGGGTGTGGATATGTAACTTTTGGAAGGGGGGGCGATATTTAACTTATGGGGGGCGATATCTAACTTAGGGGGTGTGGATATTTAATTTATGGGAAGAGATTTATACTCTAACACACCCAGTTTTTTACCAAATAAAAAAAAATAAAGGGACCCACCTTTTTCAGTTTTTCTCAAGCCATAGTGAATTTTTGAAGTTCACAAACAATTCTCCTTCAGAAAAGCCCAAGAAGCAGCAACGGACGTGGTGGAACTGAACTGCGAAGGTGTCATCACCCAAGTTTACTTGATAAATACCTTGGAAAAATTCCAAAATTTCGTCGAGGACCTTGAAGGATTCGTCGGCGGGTCTGGGGAGAAGCTGATCGGATTTGATACCGAATGGAAGCCCGGCCATTCCCAGTGAGTTTTTCTGGAACAAAAAAAGAAAAATGGCGAACTTTATGGAAAAAATGAGCCTGGAAAATCTTGTGTATAGCTTCATGAACCTTTTTAAGCATTATATCCGTTGAAATTTGTTTTTTTTAAATTTCCTTTTTAGAAACTTTTAATTAGCTTGGAGGTCTCCCTTATCAAAAAAACCATTATTTCTAAAAGCCTTTTTCAACCCCTTTTTTTGAATATTTTGTAGATGCTTCAACTTTTTTTTTTCTATCTACATTAAGTTTTTCAGTTCGGCCTGTCGATCGGCCCTATTACAATTGTATTTTGACGACCGGGTCTTCATAATCGACGTTGTAGCTTTGGAAGAAGAAGACTCTGAGATTTGGTGCCGTTTTGCCGAAGCATTTCTTTGCAGCGAGACTTTGAAAATTGGTGGGAACCAGTAAAAATCTTGAAAATGGACTTTCTTCGGCTTCTGAACCATAGGCAAAGTCGGAAATGAGGAAAAACAGAAATTTTCCTTTTAGGGTGACAAAAGCTCACATTTTGCGCCATTTTATAGGCTCTTATGCACCATTTTTGCTGCCTCTCCCGTTTTTCACCATTTCTCGAGCCTTTAAAATTCTAGAAAAATGGGTGGTTCGATAAGGGGACTTTCTTTGATTCCTTTTTGCTGCCTTTCTGCGGCCTTTTTTGAGCCACTCCCTTTTAGAGGCCTTTATCCACCATTCCGACTATGCCCGAGACAGAATTGGGCCAGGCTAGGCTTCACAAAACATTTTATCTTGTCTCAAAATTTTCACTGTAAAATTCTTTTCACTTGTTAAATGAGAGTTCATGTTTGGGAAAAATAACAAAAATTTTTCTTTTTTGCCTTAAAAAAGTTTGATATTTGACTTGAAGAAAATTGGCACCTTTTGGGCCGTACAGGCTGTTTTTTTGATTGAGGCCGAGCCATACGTCGGCTAGATCCCACCCCGGGGTGTGGCTCACCCCCAAAGAAAGTATGTCTAATTCTTTTTTTGCTCGCAAAAAAATTGGGGTCGGATCCAGCGGGTGTATGTAGGGGGCGCAAAGCCCCGCCCCTTCACGCCACCAATATGACGATTTTTTTGTTTTTGTATTTTTTTGTCTAGAAACGGTTTTGAGGCGTTTATACTAGCTAAAGTTCCACTTTAAAAAATAAACTGTTTTTGTTAATCTATGTAATCGACAACGCTCTACAAGACTGAAAAAAATTTTTTTAAACTATGTATTTTTTTCAAAAAAATAAGCGAAAAAAAGTAAGATTTAACACGAAAAAAACTGACAAGTTTCACAAAATCGTCGCGTTTCAGAAAAACCAAGTGAGGAACGCTTCTGAATTTTGAGTATGTTATACATTAACATTTTCTTTATTTTTTTGAATAAAAAAATAAAAAAATCTAACGACGCGAAAAAAATCGAAGCTTGTAAAGTGACACCAAACTTTGAAGCTGAAATGCGAAAAAAATTTCAGCGACATGGTATACTTTTTATTTGATTTAAAAAAACTCACAATGTGCTCACAAAACAAAAAAATTCAAAAATGAAAAATAATTATTGGGACAGCGAATCAAATTATATTTGAATTTTTACCAAAACCTCCTTTTTTTCGTCTGCCTCGTTGACGCATGAGAGAATAGGATCGCGTTTATACTTTTGATCAGGTTATTAAGCGTTCAAAACTCTATCAATGGAAAAATAATGAAAAAAATCAAACGACGCGAAAAAAATAACGGCTTTGAAAACCTCGAAAAAATGGCAATTTTTTTTGAAATTTCGGAAGAATTCGTGCAAGCGTCCGTAGCAGTGTTTGCGTCAAACACACCGATGCGCACTTTTAAATGTTGCAGGAGCCGTTTTTTGGAGTCAAATTGCACTTTTTCCTGTTTTATTTCGAAATAACATTATTTTTCATTTTTTCCTTTTTCCAAACCAAATGATAATAATTTTTCTGATTAGAAAAAAGAAGAATAAGCTGAAAATTCCTTCTGACCTTTTTTCTAGGTAGTTTTTTGATATTTTATCGAAAATTCTTATGAGGATTGTACAAAAGATTCATATCAAAACATGAGGCTCAGTTCGGACAACCTCTCAGAACAGAAAACCGATTTGAAAACGGTTCAGAAATGCGTAAAAACATTTAAAAAGAAAGCGTGCGGCAGCGGGTAAACCGTGAGATTTTGCCTCCAGTTGAACGCCGCGCGCGCTCGTTTTTTGGCCATAACTTTTTTCTTAGTGGAGCTTTTTTCTAAAACTGAACGGATTATGAAAATGGACAGTCTCCTCTATCGAACAGTGTAAAAAACATATTTTTTGGATCGTTTTGAAGAAATGGCTTGCGGACCCTAGGTGTATGTGTCGGGCTCAGAACTTGCCCGGGACCTGATAGGCTGACAGGCTAGCCCTTGCCCAAGCCTGGATTCACAGAAAAATTTAACCAACCTCAACTTGAGTTTCAAAAATCACCGCGACTTTTCGAAAAACGCGATAAAATAATCATTTCAAACCCATTTTCGTCTAGTTTCATGGAGTTTTATTGTTTTTTTTTTACCCCTTCAAGGCTTTTGTGGTAGATGACTCTTTCGAAATAAGGTCACTAGAAGTTGAAAAAAAAATGGGTCAGAAAAAAAATTCCGGAAAACGTGTTCCTTGATGAAAAAAAGAGCTTTTTACACCTTTTTTGAAAATAATTTCTTAATATCTTCATTTCTATAGTGTTTCGAGGTTACCACTTTTTTATGACAATATTTTCAAGGATTCTCCCTGAGACCGGACGTTGATCTTTTCCTGGAGCTGCCACAACTCCAAGACTGGACCGGTAGGGACAGACAACAAGGAGTGTTTTGCATAAAACGTTTCGGAGAAAAGGTTCAAAAAAACACTTTCAAAACGCTCTGAACGGCTTCTTCTAGTTGAACGAGGCCAAGCCAGGCGCCCTCGGCATGGAGACGTTCAAACTCGGCGATTTATCCGCGAAATTCTGCTCGGTGGTGCTCAACAAGTCGGAGCAGTGCAGTGACTGGTCCGCAAGGCCTCTGAGAAATGGCCAACTCCTTTACGCCGCCATGGACGCCTACATCGTTGTCAAAATATATGAGAAGATGAAGGAATTCGTCAAGTTGGTCTTAGGGTTTTTGGTTGGGAAAACGGTTCAGTTAAGGGCTATGAAGATTCACAAGGCTATCTATAGAGACCATCATTTTTTGAATTCTTATAAAGTTAAGATTTTTGACTTGCCAACTTTTCAAAAGCTTATCAGTTTCTCTTGAGTAAAAGATTTTATCCAGAAAAATGGGCCAGTAGGTTCAAAAATGCTGGGAGGAATCAAAGATTGAAGAAAATCTGCAAAAAGAGCGTTTTTGCTTTGTAAGGTATATCTTGAGACTTTTTGACAAGACTCAAAAATCTGCAGGTTTTTCCTGTTTTCATTGAAACCTTGCTTTTGAAGTGACTTTGAGAGATTTCCAAGCGAAAGATTTTTTTTTGGTGCTTCAAGCGATTTCAAAGATTACTGTAGGTAAAAGTCCGCAATCGGCGTGTGTCATAGCCGTGTTTGCACACTCTAAAAGGTCTTGATAATTTTCACGTTTTTTTTCCATTTTTTTTTTCTAAGCTTCATCGGAATGGATCTATAAGAATTTCAGCGTTTTCAAAATTTCAACTTTCAATTTCAGCAACAGCAATATTCTCATCAACATGAAAGAAAATCTGAACAAAAACATTTTTTTTTAAATTGCGTTGACTGAACCACCAAAAATCTGCAAACACGCACACGCCAAATGCGGACTTTCACATACAGTAATCTTCGAAATCGCTCTTGTCGCAGCACCTGTTTTTTTGGCGGGCGCAAGCAACAGTTACACTAACCAAGTGCCACGAGAAATTTACTGTTCAATCTCGAAAAAGCCCTGTTTTTCCAGTGAGATCGGTTTAACCGAAGAGGAAGTTCAATCCGTCTCCGTGGAGGCCATGACGGCGCAACCAAAAAAGGATAAATCCAAGGCGAAGAAGCTCGATCTGATGTCTTTGGAGGACTTGGCTGAGGTCCTCCGAGACTCTGTAGACGTCGAAAAACCTACGATCCGACCCCAGGACTTGAAATGCATCGTCGACGTCATGCTCAAAGGCCTCGGAAAGCAAATGAAGTACAAAAAGCACCATTTTAAGATTTAATTCGTGATTTTAGACGTTTCGGCGTTGATGCCCTTATTCCGACAACTGCTAGTGAATTTGAAACCGTCGTTGCTCAAAGAGGCGACCGGATAGTTATAACTTGCTCCGGCAAATCTTTTGTCAAGGTAGGTTTCTGAAGAAAATGAAAAAACTCTATAGTCAATGCTTTCTGGTCTGAAAAACGGTTAGAAATGATTGAAAAAAATCTTAGAAAATCTTTTACAAGCTCAAATGGCACCGAAATGCTTGAGAAACGTTGAAATTTTTTTTTTCGAATAATTGGTTTTTAAGTTCAACTTCGAATGAACTTTGAAAATTCAGGAAAAATGAAATTAAACGTAAAATAGAAAAAAAAAAATAGATCCAGGGCGATTTTTTCCTTTTTCGAAGAGTACTGTATGTAAAAGTCCGCATTTGACGCGTGGTGTTTGCACATTTTTGCGTTTTCCATATATTCATTTTAAAAATTTCATTTTTCTTTCATAATGAATCAGAATGAATAGATTGATGTAATTCAATAGTTTCCTATAGTTTTACCCTATTTCGATAAAAATTTTGAACAAAAATGGAAACGATACCACTTAGAAGTGTGAACACGCCAACTGCGGACTTCTTAAAAAAAAAAGCTCCTAAAAAGTACTTCAAGTAGTTCGAAAGTGATATATTTTTCCAGCTCCAAACCTCAGTGGAACCCGATTCTTTGCTCTGTTTGCCGCCTTGTTTGGATATTATGGAGCAACTTCGTATCGTCTTTTCCCATTTTAATATCAAAATTAATTTGTAATTTTTCAAATTGTACATTTATCGAACTTTTCATCATTTTCTTGTTATATAATTGTTGAACTTTTCATCTACGGATCTCACTTAATTTATTAATTTGTACAACTTTGTTATTTTCCCACGAGTTTGAAGTTAATTATTTAATTGTTGTTAGTAACGTGACTTTAATATTTGCATATCATGTACCTACTCGTTCCCCTCATCTTGAAAGCCTTGAAAACGCGTTTCTTGTTGATTTCTTGTTGTTTTGAAACACCTGGTATTGTTGATTTTTCCATAAAATTTTGATATTAAACTTTTTGGTTAAAAAGACGACAAGCGTCCACGAATCTCTGAGAAAAAGGGATAGAAAATGAAGCATTTAATTAATTTCTTGAGTTTATATCAGGCCAAGTGGTTTTTAGCTTTGAAATTTGGCGAAAAAAAGGGATTATTATAAAAATTAACAAAAAACTTTTTCAAATTTTATATTTTTCAATGAAAACCAAATCATTTTATGATAAAAGAACGTCGCAAAAATGTAAAAATTTCAAGAAAAAACGGGAATAAATGCCGTTTTCAGAAAGTATGTCTAACGAAACCTTAAAAAGTATTTTTCGTCGTTTTTATGTTTTCCTAATCAAAGCGGTTTTTATTAACATTTTCTTCGATTTTCAAACTTCTAGAAGTGTTTAATAATTCCCGGAGTATTTTTAATTTGTAAGATTTGTTCGTTTAATTGTTTTCTGTACTAGTTTTACAAGGAAATCGCTCTTTTTTTCTCATCTATGCTTTTTTAGAAGTCTCAATGTTTCTCGTAGAAATCTTTAATTTGAAATTTCGAATTTTGGAAACTAGTTCGAAATTCAAATTTCACGATTTTTCCGTGCAGTTTTTAATTACTGAGCGAAATTGTTGATTTTCAGGAAGTTGTCCACTTCGCGGCTGGAAAAAACTTCAGCGTGCGTTTTTTTTTTCTATTTCTTTCATTTTACCGGTTGATGACGTTGTTGAAGACGCATGACATCGGAGGATTTTTGTCAGAATTTTTATTTTTCCCTACGGAACGTTAACCAAAAATTTTTTTATAAAAAGTGGATTTTAGGTTTCAAAAATAAAGTTAAAAGAGCTTCAAAATAAATATTTTGACCACTTGAAAGTCAATAATGTAAATCAAGTTCTAGAGCTTAAAAATTATTAAAAAAATGGAGATTTCATATATTTTCTAAGTCTGAAAATCTTCAGGCTTCAGAATTTTTCAAAGTTGTATTTTTTTTTTGTAAACTCCAAAAAGCTCACTTATTAAAGGTTCATAAAAAAGTCAGCGGTTCATAAAAAAGGGCAATAAATAAGTGAAATCAACGGTGCATATTGAGGAACTGTAACACGTAGGGGGAAGTGAAGAGAATGTGGTTAAGGAATAATTTGAGAAGAGAGAGACCATTTAAGGAGATTTTTCTGGGGGGAAGTGAAGTATATTACAAGGAGGGTGATTTTGCTTTTTGGTTAGTAATTTTTCTGAAAATCGGTCAGGATATTTTTTGATGTATTAGAAGAAGATTCTGGAAGTCTCAACCTTTAAAACTTCCCAGTTTTTGAGAAATGACCCCTTAAACTTGTAGAAAATCTCAAAATTGTCTAAAAATCGGCAATTTTGAGCCCTTATTTCTCAAAGACTAGGTAGTTTTGCAGGTTGAGGCTTTCAGAATCCTCACCTGGTACCTTAAAAAGTATCCTACCCGATTTTCAGGAAATTCCCAATCCAAAGTAAAATGACCTCCCTGCTAAGGGAAAAAATGAGTATAAACAGTATTTACAATCTTATTTCACCAAACCGACCACAAGTGATGGACCAGGAAGTTGCTGTCGTAGGCTCTGAAAAAAAACAAAATTCAAGAGAAAATTTCTATGCAAAGAGAGATTTTTTTTTCCAGAGTACTGTATGTGAAAGTCCGCATGCACTTCGCGTGTTTGCACACTTTGCACGGTACCATTTTGATTAATAGTCATCAAAAGTTTTTTCGTCGACGCTATGCCCACTTTTTCTCCGTAAAGTGTCGTGTGTCGTGTGCATGCACTGCGCCGCTTTCGCGCAGAAAATTGCGTTTATGTAGAGAATTTCGATTCGTGTTAAAGCAATACGGCGGCCTGCGCCTTTGCTAAGCCATGTTATTCACGCAGTTATAGCCGAAATCTCTGACGTCACGTGGGAACGGCGAATATTTTGGCTCCGCCCACCGTGTTTTTGGTTTCGCTTTTCCTTCCAATAACAAAAACGCTGTGGTGTATTAGTCAGAATTTCTATAAAATTCAGGTAAAAGTTGAGTTGACAGGACTACCCAAAGTGTGCAAACACGCTCATCACATACCGTACTCTTCGGGAAAAAAAAACGCCTCGGGTTACTTTCGGCTGCTTCATTTTTTTAAGCGTGGACCTTTTTAACTAGTTTTCAAGCCTTAAAATAAAAAAAATGTCTTACGCCCTTTTAATATTCAGAATTATCTTTTTTTCAATTTTTTGGAGGCTAGTGGATTTTCGAGAGGTTTTCCTTATAAATATTGATTTTCTGCCATTTTACTAGGTTTCTCTAATGAAGTTCTTGGCTGTGGATTTATAGGTTTTTTTTTCAATTTTTTATTAGGATTTTTGAAGGGACAGAAGCTTCGTATGACCTCAAATAACACTGAAAAGTGCTTTTCGTTTCAAGACCTTCACAAAATCCAAACGGCCCTAAAAAAAGTCTAGAGCTCCTTTTTGAGTACCTTAAAAGGTGTCAAAATTTTCTCGAAATCTCATTTTTTCACCTTTTTCTCCTCCTGAAGGTCAAGAAAAAAGAAGCCTCTGAGACCTTTTTTCCGAAGGTTCCTTTTGCGCGTGTATTTTAATGTATGCGCCTTTAAAATATTCTCCAACCTTCCCAGGAAATTTTTCCTTTTCCACTGAATTTTAGCATTGAAAAACGCCAAGAAGATTCTTAAAAACTCGAAAAAACGAACAGATCCAAAATGTGCGTTTCGAAATTGTCGCCAATGACCCGGTCCTCATTTTGCTTTGTCCACTCGGTTCCATTGATCCTGGTGCAATTCGACCGGATATCGTGTCCCATGAACATCAACTGCTTATCGTTGTCCATTATCGGTTTTCCCATCACTTTCTCGAAATCTCCCGATTCTGTCGAGGGTTCTAGCCTGGAAATGGTCATTTTTAATTCAAATTAATGGTTGAGATGTTTTTTTTCGTTCTCAGGATTCCTAAAATGATTTTATTTTTTATGATGACTTGATTTTTTTGTGTTGAGCCTTATCATTCACATCACTCAGAAAAATTTATTTTAATTGCTTCTTTTATCAGGTTTCCTAATTTTTTCTTGCTTTTGTGGCTCTGGAACACGGAGTGTTAGTGGAAGAAAATGCAAAACCAAAAATAAAGGGGGCATGGTCAAAACCTCCGCCGTTCCCATGTGACGTCATGGGAAAAAGGCGTGAACAAGGAATCATGAGACGAATTTATTTCTCCTTTAAAAACGCGATTTTTAGGTTGTGCTGAAAAGTAATTCCGCGAAATTCAAAATAGCCACCGGAAAGTGAAAAATATAACTGGATTTCAGAAATTCAGATATGATTTTGAATTTCACGAAAATTACTTTGAACATGTGCGAGAGCGCCGCGGTGCATACCACACGACACACTAACTTTACGGAAAAATATGAGCGGCCACGCCATACGGGAAGTATATTTTATTCATAATTACGTTAATTGAACTGTTTTGAACTTTAAAATGGTCAAGATAGTAGTCAAAATCGTACTTTTAACTTTTAACTATGGTTCCAAGGCGGGAAAATGACCTTTTTTCATCAAATTTAAGGTTCAGAAAGTTTTTTTGAAGTGAGTTCTTTTCATTTTCAACTATTTCATTTTTATCTTTTTATTTTAAAGGTTCCCAAAGTATAAATTTCACTTTTAATCATGAGTCGGGTGTACTGTATTAGGACTAGAATAAACGTTTATCTTTCAAATCGTTTAAATTTTTTTATGCGTATTTTTTAAACTCTCTCTCTCATACTAAAAGCTCTACCTCTTGCTAAAAGCTCTGAAAATTTCGAAAAAAGAAAGGACGAACATGATCCTGAGGCTCCAGAGGAACTCGACTTGCTCCCAGCGCAAATATTCGTCGAGCTGCGACGATTCGTTGAGATTCGCCAGACAAAACTTTTCTGCAACTTTTCGGCTTTTCCAAACGCGATTTGTCTTGATTTGCAAGCTCAAAATTCGATTAGAAAGGAGGAAAATGAAAAATTTTCCAATTTTTTGCTTTTCTGGATGCGATTTGCAATGATTTTCTTGCTTTAAAGGGTTGGAAAAATTAATTTAAAAATTGAGATTTTTCTGATCTCGGTTATTTTTGATTTCCTAGCCCAAGAGGCTTAAAGTTAGTGGAAGATCTAAATTTTTCCAATGTCTCCTTTTTAAATACTTTTTAAAAGCTTGATTTGGTATGATTTCCACTTTTCCTGATCGGTTATAGGCTCAAAATTGAGTTTTTCAAAAATTTCAAAAATTTATAAATTTTCCTGGCTTTTTCCTAGAAGTGAACATTGAACTCCTTCTACTTGAAAATATTAAAAACATACCTAGAAACGATTTGAATTCACTTTCAGCCGTAGTGGAGGATCTGTAGATGGCCCAAAGACCATCTCTCGAAGATTTTCTGAAAAAGAAGGAAATTTTCAAATTTCTGTTAAAAATGATGGGTAAAAAGGTTTTTTTGATTTTTAAGAAAAATTTTGGCTCTTAACGTTATTTCAATGTTTCACTGAACTAATAAAATCTTTTAAAAGAAATTTGTAGCTTTATTCACTTTTTCAAGCGTGTATAAAGCTACAAATAAACAATATTAAAGAATAAAAAGTTTTTCAAGTCATGAAAATTTGAGTTTTGTTAAATCATCTGTAGCTCAAGTTTAATAAGAAGGTTTATTTTTTAAAAATATCTTGAATAGAATTTTGCATTTCTTAGCGGTTTTTGAATCAGTTTCAGTGAGAAAAACGATAATTTTTAGGATTTTGAAGGCGATTTTTCAAGTTTACCTAAAAATTTATTGAATTTAAGACTTTTAGGACATATTTCTGATTTTTAATAAGTTATTGTCTTTCAAATAAGTTATTCTGAGCAATAAAATAATTTTTCAAGTATTTTTCTGAATTATTAAAAATGATTTTAGGGTTCGGAATGAATAATAAACGTCTTTTTAATCTAGATCATTTTTCGAATTATTGATTTTTGAACGCCGCAAAAACCTAAAAATTGTCCCAAAAATCGGGTCTTTTTAATAATTCATTTTTACCCTGTCAGAATAATTTCCGAAAAACTTACCATTTTGGCTAGTTGTTCCTTTGATTCGATAGTGCTTCCGCCAGGATTACTGTAGCTAAGAGTACGGTAGCGGTCCGCATTTTGCTAACATGAGCAACTGAAAAAATTTGCATTCGAATTAGATATTACTCACAAATATTCGCTTATATACGAGAGAGAGATTGTAGTGGGAAGAGAAAAATTGAGAGTAATTTTTGAGGAAAAACAATTTTTTAGGTTTTTATTGTTCGAATAGAGGTCTTGTGACCAGAATCCATTAGGAATGAGATTGAGAATTTTATTGGTTGGAATAATTGAGAGGAGGAGTAGGAAATCAGTTGAAAAATGAAGTTTTGGACCATTTTCACTCATTTTTGAACGATTTTCTGATTTTTCAAAGTTGATTTCTCCTTTTTTCAATAATTTTATCAGCTTTTTAAGGATTTCAGACAATAAAAAGACAAGTTTTTAGGTCTTTTAAAGATTTTTATTAAACTTGGGCTCTATTGAGTATATTCAAAAACTTTTTCAAATATGATTCATTTTAAGATAGCTGTTTAGAGGCCATGAAATTCATTGAAAAATCTTAGAAAAAATGAAATTTTTAGCGAGTTTCAACTTCTTTAGGTTGTTTTCGAAGATTTAAGATTTAGAATCAGTTCCTTTGGCTTCCAAAAACTTGAGGATTGCCCAGGGAAAAACGGCTTTCTGCTGCGAGACCTTTGGGGTATGCTCCTTTAAAATAAAGCTTCATCAGGGCTTTTGGAAAAAGCTTCTACACGGAAATACAATAGGTAAAATCAAGAAACCTCTAAAATAATTATGTATTTTAAGTTTAAAAATGGTTCCTGTGGCTTTTGAAAGCTTATAAAACGGCTCTTCGCCTCGAGACCTTTAAGGTATGCTCCTTTAAAAACTTCAGCAGGGTTTTTGGAAAGGCTTTAACACGGAAAAACAATATGAAATATCAAGAAACCTTCAAAATAATTATGTATTTTGATTTTTAAAAAGGTTTATGGGGCTTTTGAAAGCTTATAAAACGGCTCTTCGCCTCGAGACCTTTAGGGAATGCTCCTTTAAAAAAACTTCAGCAGGGTTTTTCGGAAAGACTCTAACACATAGAAGGATAAGACAATGCAATAAACTCTTGAATAATTAGATATTTTAAGTTCAAAAATAAGGCTTTTTGAAAGCTTATAAAACGGCTCTTCGCCTCGAGACCTATGAGGAAATTTCCTATGCTCCTTTAACAACCTGAAGAAAACTTTTAAACAAACTTTGAAACGCAAAACAATGAAAAAATCGATGGCAAATCTCAAATTCCGTTATATAAAAATGACGACAAATGGGCTCCATTTTGTACTTTTTTGCGCGGCGCGCGAGAGCCAAAAAACAAATAATGCCTGAGCAAAGTGCGGCAAAAACAGAATTTCCCTCTGAAAAAAAATTGGATCGAGGTGTTTGAACTTTGTAAGGAGGGGAAGTTCTTTGCGAGGGTTTTTCAGTGGTTTCGTCTGTTTGGTCAATTTTTGACTTTTGTTTAGTTCATTTTCATTTTCTTTACTTTATTGCGAGTTCCTGAATGTTCAGATTGAAAAATCTACAAATCGAATATGTTAGTGAATATTTTTTTGAAAAAATTTCCAACACCAAGCATAGAAAAATATTAATGGAAAATCTGAAAAATCAGCTTCATATCAACTTTAAGCTTTAGTTCAAAAATTTCAACCTTAGAATCCTTCTCAGAAACGCTAAAAACCTTAAGGACCTTAAAACCCAACAAAAATGACTTTAACGTTTCAAATGAACCTTAAAACTTCTTAGAAAAATTTCTTTGTGTTCGAGTGGTAGTTGCAGAAATTTCAGTTAAAAATATTTGGAGAAGGTTTTGAACAAGGAATTTAATCAAGATTGATTATTCGCAAAGTTTTTCCTGAGATAATTGTCAAAAATGAAGGAAAAACTTCAAAAAGAGGGGGGTTCAGAAAAAAGGTAAGAGGGGGTAAAAACGTTCCCAAAGTTAGCAAGAAGAGGCTCAGGAGGAAAAATCGAGAAAGTTGAGGGAAAAAATCCAACTAAAAATCCAGAAAAAGAAAAATTTAAAATCAACAAAAAATGTTATTCTAAAAAGCTTCTAATAAGGTAGATATGACTGTAGTTCTTTTAAAAAAGGCCTAAAAAAAGTAAAAAAATACGGGTCTTCACGCGATCCACGAAATAGTATGCAAGAAGAAGAGATTCAGACAGCTCCACGTCATTTTTTGTTCCCAGGTAGCAGCAAAGAGCATTTTGAATTCGGATAGAAAAGAAAATAATGAAAAAAATGTTCCCCTTCCATGCTTTTATAAGCATTGAAACTTGACGAATCTTAAAGCATTTTTTTCAAAAAAGAAGCATTAGAAGATCGTTCCAAAATAACAAATCCAAAACTCCATTTTTTTTTTCCTACGGATTCGCCCCCCGTCACCTTTCCTGCTATATTATATTCTGTTGAAACGTTTTTTGACCACGAAAATCATCAAAAAACATGTTTTGGAACGAAAATGGACCCGTAATCCTGGTTGGATTCGAATTTGCAAGGAGTGGAGAAAATGGATTATTAAAATGAAGCGAGGGAGAAAATGCGGCGGATTGGAAGCTTAGAAACGTTCCTGGGAAAGACGTCATTTTGAGGGTTGAAAAATGTTTTTTTGAAGACTTTAAAAATAGTCTTGAAGTGCTTAAATAGCCATAGTGGTCCCTATAGGGGTTAAATTAGGCACTCTTAAGGTACCCCTCTAGGGAACACTTTACCTGTCCCTATAGGGTCACTAAAGCTTGCAAAAGTGGTCCCTATAGGGGCGATCTTAGGCAATCTTAAGGTACCCCTCTAGGGGACACTTTACCTGCCCTTAGCGGCGCTCTATAAGGGTAATTTAGGGACTCCTAAAGGTACCCCTCAAGGGAACACTTTAATTGTCCCTATAGGGATCATTAAAGCTTGCAAAAAGTGGTCCCTATAGAGGGCGATCTTAGGCAATCTTAAGGTACCCATCTAGGGAAAACTTCACCTGTCCCTATGAGGGTCACTAATACTTTACCTGCTCTTATAGGGGTCACTGAAACTTGCAAAAGTGGTCCCTATAGGGGTTAGATTAGGAATCTTTCAAGGTACCCCTATAGGGAACACTTTACCTGTCCCTATAGGGGTCACTAAAGCTTGCAAAAGTGGTCCCCATAGGGGTAATTTTAGGGCTTCTAAGATACCCCCTATAGGGAACACTTTAGCTGTCCCTATAGTGGTCATTAAAGCTTGCAAAAGTGGACCCTATAGGGGCGATTTTAGGAACCTTTCAAGGTACCCTTCTAGGGAACACTTTAGCTGTCCCTATAGGTATCACTAAGCTTGCTAAAGTGGTCCCTATAGCGGCGATCTTAGGAGCTCTTGAAGGTAACCTTTACCTGTCCCTATAGGGGTCACTAAGCTTGCAAAAGTGGTCCCTATAGGGGCGATCTTAGGCAATCTTAAGGTACCCCTCTAGGGGACACTTTACCTGCCCTTATAGAAGCTTCTGAAGAAAAAAGGTGCAAAACAGTTACAAGGTTCTCGTGGCCAGAAATACAGTTTTGAGAAGTCAAGCCTATTTTGGAGACGGGATTTTGACCTTTGGGACCATTTTCCATACGATTTGACGGTTATTAAAGGCTTCAGAAGCTCAAAAACAGTTCTAGAGACACCTAGGCTAGGACTATCTAACCATATTTTGAGGACTTCTAGGGGATTTCTACAAAGAAGGCTTGTAACTGAACTTTTTTGGTTGAGATCGAAGAAGAAGAAAAAAATCGAAAAGAGATTGGCGTGTCCATAGTAATGGTTCCATACAGATTTAATACGGATTTATAAAGAAGGTCAAAAAGTCATTTCTTCATGAGAAGTCTTGATGAAAGACTTGAAACGAATTTTGAGCTTTTTGGGACATTTTTAGGACGATATAAATGTTCTCAAAAAGCTTCAGGATGATGAAGAACAAATCTAGTTATATTAAAATAAATCAAATTTGGACTTTAAAGGTATTTTTTAAGCGGGATTCGGACCTTTTTTGAGAGAAAAAGGAGCCATTTTTCGTCAATTTTTAGTGTCTTTAGAAGCTTAAAAACAGTCCTATTCACTCCTAGGCTAGGAATCTATCAGGCTAGGACTATCTAACCATATTTTGAGGACTTCTAGGGGATTTCTACAAAGAAGGCTTGTAACTGAACTTTTTTGGTTGAGATCGAAGAAGAAGAAAAAAATCGAAAAGAGATGGGGGGAGTGGGAGTGTTCGTAGTGGCGGTTGTGAAAGGAGGTTTGACCCTGGCTCGTCGCTGCGTCCTTGTGCCAAAACAGACCCGCTGGCCTGTCTGCTCCGCCCTCCGAGATTCCCCCGATCTCTCGCCTCCACCAGCACCGGTGGTTCTTTTTTTCCATTTCCTGTTACGTGGTTGAAGCTTTCACTGAGAGACTTGGAAGCTTTCTGGGCCATTAAGTGGGTTTTTGAAGGGATCACTTAAGTGAGAGCTTCTTTTTTTTCTTCCATGTTATTGGTTTGAAGCTTTCACTGACCAGTGGTGAGGGACGTGAAATATTTCTGGACCCTTAAGTGCCCCCTTGAAGGGATCATTTAAGTGAGAGCTTCTTCTTTTTTATTCCCTGTTACTTGGGAGTCTTGGAAGCTTTCTGGACCCTTAAGTGGGCTCTTAGAAATTTTACTCAAGGGATTTCTTTACCGGAGTTTTTTTGTAGTTAGAAAAAATATCTTGGGTTCAAAAGGACCATGAACTCTCCAAATTGAGTTCTGAGTATCAAAAAGGTTTTAAGATCCCTTGAGTAGTCCCTAGGACAGGTTACAGTCCATGGTTGAGGTTCGTTGGACTGTCTGCTCCGCCCTCCGAGATTCGCCTGATCTCTCGCCTCGGAAATTCTTTTTTCCATTTCCTGTGGTTGAAACTCTCACTGAGGAACGTGGAAGCTTTTTGGGCCATTAAGTGGGTTTTTGAAGGGATCA